TTGATGAAGTGTTAGGACGAGGCCTTTGTCGTCACGGTTGTACACAGCTCACACCTCAAGTGTTAACTTCTGCGTCCTAACCCACTCCACTTTATTACTATCATTAGATGGATCGCTGCACTTTCCCTACGGTGTGAACTGCTATCAATTATGCAGCTATCTTTCAATTATTGTATATTGTTAAAGTAGCTGCTAATGAATTGTGAAACTACTGTGTTATGGTGTGATTGTACCAGGCAATATCCAGCTACTGTACACTTAGGCGGCTTTTTCAATTAGGTCCGGGTGGCGGTTTTTCAGTCATTAAGCACATTTGGTGTAAAAGGATGTCCACCTTACACTTAGCCAAAGGTGTTTCTGCAGTTGCCGTTAACTTGCACTAACTCAGCCCCCATGCAAAAGCCACCGCTGCATGTAAGAGGACTCTGAGGACAACACAGGAGTACCCACTGCGATTTTCACGGGGGATTTTGATATTCACACCTGTACTAGGTGTTGTTTGAGAGTCTGATAAGCATGTGTGAAACCAGTGGGGTGATTAGAATGAGGACCTTATTTTGAAGGGATCTTTTTCTGGTCTATCTATCAAGGACAGCTATGTTGTTTTTATGTTTTCATAGATAACAATAAAAGGAAGAGACAAAAGGAATCGTGCAACGTGTATCTAAGATACCAGCCATGTGTCTAATTGAAGCTGCACACGGCCATATGGGCATGTGCGAAAAATAGAATGTCCAATAACTGCATAAGGATTCAAGCAGCAGTACGTAGAAAATAAAATATTTCCTACATGAATGCCAGTCTTACAAGCAGAGAGGATTTATCTCAAAGCTATTGCAACAATTCATGCAAAACCGGACTTTTTCAAATCAGTGCATACAGCAAAAATCATTTCCAGACCTCATCATTACAGGATCAGAGGCTGAAAAACAAAGTGCATGAGAGTTGCTCCTCCTCTTCCTACATTGGTGATGTTCAGAGGCAGCCTGTTATTGGAGGTGTTAATTGGCAAATTCAGTACAAGTCAAGAGCATGTTCCCTGACGTCCTCGCCCAGCAAGGGCTAGGTCATTAAACCGAGAATGGATTCTTTCATGCTGCCTTAACCCTTCAATTGCAAGTTACCATTCTGCAAACATTCCCCATGCTCCATCCCACCCCCATGTGTCGAGAAGAAAAACAACCTACACTTGTTTAACGGCGACAATAAAATAACAGGAGGATGAAATCTTGAGAGCCAGACTTGTTCGAACTATTTCAAATTGGCAATCAAATGTCTTAAAAAAGTTCAGAAGTTTATGAATATCCAACAGCAAAAGCCTCCACAAGTAAATATTTAAAAGTAGTTATTGCTATGGTGGCTGAACAATGGGATTCTCAGAACAATGGCTTCATCAAACCCCACCGATCAGAGCTTTTGTGTATTGAACGAGCCTGAAATGTGAGCCTCCTTTGGGGTTCTGGGTGCGATCTCACCACTGCCTCTGTCATCACTTGCTGTGACTGCCAAATCTCTGCTCCAGAAATCAGGGTTTCTCAGACCAAGCACGGCAACACACACAAACAGGGGAGAGAGGGGCCGTCCTGAGACTTTGCACAGCACATCGACGGCTTCAACACGTTTAATCGAACACAAAAGTCAGCCCCGGCGCTTCTACGGCAGAGAGCAAGAGAGAGCCCAACGCATGGCAAGACAACTGTGAGGTGATACTCGCAGCTCGCGACGCCATGAGAGTTGGCAGTCTCTCATGCCAATGGTGACCAGTGCACAGACAGTTGAATATGCTTCTCTCCTAAGTTGTTAATTATCGAAATGACATTGATGTGAAGAGGCCATTGTAGCCAGGTGACCTTAAACCACTTGCTATCTCTTTGTTTTGTTTCCATTTGATTAGACCCTTTAACAATCTCTTTTTTTCCACGCTGGTGTTATATCTTCTTAGCAATGGCATGATCTGATCACCATTGTTTAAATATGTAGAGGAGTAATTGTTGGGAATAATGACTTTGTGAATTAGTTCCTTATCAGGCTGTTGTTTACTGCAATTTTAACTCATTAGTGGCCAGTCAAGGGAGGGTATGATTGGTTGATAAAACCAAAATGTGGTAGATATAGTTGTTGTGTGCAGTTATTTATAACACTTCTATTCTTAGTATTAAAAGAGGATATTTTAAGCAGTGCTTTTTTTTTCATTTTGTCATAAAGCAGAAAGGCTTACATGTAAAATAAAAACAAAACAGGGCAGTTTGATTTATGAATGTTGCATAAAAGAAAATCTGTAATCTGATAGCAGTGAGCAAAACATAAGCCTTCTAATGAAATGAAAATTAAAAATAAAAATAAAAAAAACCTAAACATCCTTTTTATGAAGTTTATATAACTGCGCACTGAACTCTAAATGATTGCATTAAATAGTTCATTGTTTAGCCGAAGGAAATTACAGCCCTGCTTTAAAGCTGTTCTGCAATCACTTTCTTATCAATTTCCATTTGATAAAAAAAGATGGATGAGACTTGAATTTAGTAAACAATTAGGTTATGCATTTCACGTTCAATGATTGAAAGGGTGTTAAAATTAATCCTATAAATGTAAGATGCAGCTGTATTTTTTTTAATCTATTGACAGTATTGTTTTGTAACTACCCTGCAGATATATTGAACTTAATTAAATGATCTTTGAAGAGTTGTGTGTGACATTTCCTTTCTTGGTCCATTACGTTTTGCAGTCATGACTCTGATTTAGAGTTGTATTTTCTTTTTTCATCATTAAAGACTGCAGACGGTAATGTATTCTTTTAACCAGGTTTCAATTGAGGAGATGTTCATAGAGATAATTTATCATATATTCCTGTTACTGTCTCCTTTCTCATGCATTACATCCCTTGTCATTGCTCATTTTAATAATTCAACTTTTACTTGATAGTCTGCCTAAAAACCTCAGTGAACACACATACTATATCTCAATTACGATGATTGAAACTTTACTTTGAATGATCATACCACACGTACGCTCTGTATTTCCCCCTATAGGTAACTCAGTCCTTCAGAAAACACTCTAGTAGCATCATCTCATCTTTGCAAGTACAAGCTGCATTTTCAGGCTACAGAGATCAGCTTCTTTACAGGATAACCTACAGGCTCACATAAGCAGTGGTAAGAGTGCCAACAGCTATACTGTGCATCACTTTTCCTCCCTCTCCATCTCTGCTTGAGAGCGACTGCGGTCCCCTGAAGCCACTGACTTCACTGTCTCCCCGAACTCTGTGCAACAGCGACTGGTGGTGCAGAAGCACTGCTGATTAGCATGCAGTAATGATGGTGAGCTGGGCTCCATTGTTCTAACACCTCCCCTCTCCTCCGCACCAATCTGTCACCATTCAGTGGGCTCGAGCTGCCTCAAATGCCTCTCTCCACAAATGAGATGGATAATTAGTTGCCCCTCACGAATGCTGCACTCTTCTCACCCCTGATTGCTTTCACCTTCTTGCTCCTGGCAATTTTGACACCTTGTAATCAGCCTGCTACTTCTCCGTCTCTCAATCCATATCCTTTTTTCCTCTTCTTTTTTGTGCCCTCTTTTATTTTTTGAAGCTTGTAAAACTACTTCATGTCTTTCCTCTCTTGTTACAAGCATCCCACGGAGAAAGATGGCACCTTTATCTCCTATCCTACTGAAAAAAAAGGCCCTGGAGCAAAAATGTTCCTATCTCAAACAGTTCTTACTGTGTGCACAAGCGAGTAGGTATACAGTGTGCAGGAACATGCAAAAAAAAAAAAAAAAAAAAAACCCTAGCTGTCAACGTGGGTTTCCTCTTCCAAATAACAATGAATGACAACATAATTATGAGCAAGCAGCTGTTCATGATCCCAGGGAGAAAAGCATGCAGGCTGCACAATGTTCAACTCTTCACAGATTAAGCAGACAGCGTCATCAGGGATGTGTATTTGCCAAAAAAATATGAATACATTCTCCCCTAAGTGTCCGTGATGTGATGTGAAATTATGAGGTTTGTGCCATTAAAATAAACATGGGTCATTTATGGCATGTTGCATCAGATCAATCTGTCTTTAAAAATTACATTTTACAAAGAGAAACTCAGATGAGAAGTTATTTTGTCTTTTGTCTTTGAAATAGTTAACAGCACTACTTTACTGCATTTTTTTTTGCATCCGTCTGTGCTATTTATGAAGCGCAGTGCTGAAATGCTCAGCGAGAAATACCAGTTAAGGTTAAAATCAATCAGTCTATTAAGCAGTATGTGATCACGAGAAGTCAGTTACAACACCCAACACTTTAAAAGAGGGAAAAAAAAGGTTGTTTGCAGTGTTCACACCAGCTCATCTACCCACCACAAGTGTTACCAACCCATAGCAAGAAGGGCTGTGAGGTCCTCTCTGCACAACAAAGTGCTCTAACACACACAGGGTCTGCGTTTCCTTTCCTAACATCCTTAAGCTGAGCGCTGGAAATCACTGCAATTGTTTGCAAAGGTGTGAATAAATACTGCAAAAGCTGATGCTCCTGCGTAGAAAAGACCCAGGTTTAGTCAAATGTTGTCGGGTTCTTACAGTAGAAGAAGTGGGTTCATGAAATCCACTGTCATTGAGTGAAACATCAGCTGTTCAGATTTCTCATGTTTACCTGTGTTGTATCATATTGTGATATCAGTTTTTTACTGAATATACACTAATATAAAATACAGTTTAGTATTAATTAAAGTGAAAACAAAAGCTGCACTACTGTTGAAGCATGGCACCCAATTAAACAGTGAGCTTGATTAATATAAGGTGCAGCCATCTGTGTTTTCTGCTTTAATACTGTATTTATACAAATACAAATTAATAGTTAGTTGTTGCTATAATGTTTAAATTGTTTGAGTTTCATATATTTAAATTATTAAAAACACTCCAAAATATGCAGTTTTCTTTTTTTTACCGGTCAAATCTTCATTTCTATTTACCTGAGAGTTCATGTCTGTAAAAGAAAAACAAGGCTCGATATTAATGCAATAATGCTTTCAATTAAAAATGTGCCATCATGTCAGAAAAAAAAGGTTAATAATGTTCCACCTTCTGCTCATCTTTTGCTTCATTAAATACTTGGATAATGAAAACTTAAAAGATAAAATAAGAGAGTACATGTCGGGTTTATTTGCTCATGTATACCATTATTATGCATCATCTTCTCTCAGTACTAGAGTAAAACTTCAGCGCGATAATAGAAAAATATAATGGGCAAGAAAGTGTACCATTCAATTCTTCAGTATTAAATAAATGGATTCAAGTCTTATTGCAGCGTCTTTTTTTTTTAAATCCAGTACAGCGCATGTAACTTGTGGCAGGCAGGACGAGACCACGATTACAGTGATGAGCACTCGTGGCCTTCGCCCGTCAGTCTCTGCTTCAAATGTCAGTCCTCGGCTTCATTCTTATGCGAAAAATGCGAGTAGAGGTGGCTGTTCATTCGGTCCTGAGGAACCACAGCGTGGCAGAAAGCACATTTATCAGGACTGCTACTCTGAGGCGTCGCCAGCTCTGTCCACACGTCCACTGCATCGCTCAGCTTAGGGCTCCAGAGGGGCTGGACCAAAGAAAACAATATTTTATTCTCCAATAAAAAGTATGCAACATGGTGTGGTCTTTAAAATGAAGTATCTGTTACCTTGAACACTACAACATGTCCTCTTTCAACCTACGTCTGCAGAAATACTTTGTGACAGGAAAAGTGAGATGCTTCGCTCAAGTATTTACAATGTGTGTTTCCTTGTTTTAAATGTCTGTGTTTATGTATTCCAGGAATGGAATCATACTTTTAGATCCTACAGCATGTCATTCACATTTTTTTTTTTTGAGCGTTTATACACATCAGCAAATAAAATCCCACTAAACCATCATACTTGTATCAGATTCAGACACTCTAACGTGCCTCCATCTGGCTCACACGTTTCAGCAAAAATGCCAAATATAACCAGAGCATCCATGCCTGAGTAAAAAAAGAATCCGCACACGTTACACAGTGATACAGATAAGCCAAGGGATTTTTTTTTTTTTTTTTGGACTTCACACCGTTTCACTCCTCCATTAGCAAAGACCAATCACAGACTGATAATTTGCTACTAGTTTTCTCAGACCTTCTCCTGTGATTCTCACCTGCTGGGGTCCCCACACACCCTCTTGGGAAAGTGAGGATGATGTGGAGTGGGAGGGGGATGGGGGGTATACGAAAGGCATGGGCAGCTCGATGGGCTCCTCCTCTGTCAACGTGGAGGGCGGGTTGATGAGAGGTCGCTTCACGGGTACGGTCAGGCCCATGTGCCTCTCAGGTGTGCTGTTCAAGAAGTCATATTCACTGTCCGCAGAGGGCGGAAATTTGACGCTGAGTTTGGTGAGAGAGTCTACTAAGTCTCTGTCTTCGGGGCTCGCGCCACGAGACGCCAGAGACGTGGGCGGGAGCGGGACATCCACTGCTGACCTCAGAGCTGTGGAGAAGGGTCTCTCTGCTTCTGCTGTGTGGTCTGTGCACTGGATAGGCATGGAGAACCGCTGATCTGTCAGACAGCAGATAAAACATGAGATTTGACACCATTTCTGCCTCTCTGTTGACATGCCGAAGTGTTCCAGCTCTTAATTTACGGACATTTAAGCTTGGCAACCGTTTGAAAAGTCACACACATTAGCATTTTTGAATATGATAGAAAAGTATTTAAATCACACAGAAACAAACATATATTTTTCTGTGGAATTATTACACAGTGTATATCCAGGCTATTTTTACATTGGAGGCCAGTCAGAGTTCGAAAGGGCAATGAGGCGTTCGTATACAGTCTTAGTTAAGGTGTTATCATCTAATTATCTTTAAGAACAAAGCAAATGAACTTAAACTCATAAACTGTTATGACATATAAACCTTTTTAATTCCTACACATTCACTTTTAAGTAATTGAATTAAAAAAACAAGCAGTTTTAGGTGACAGGACTGAAATACAGTGGGTAATATTTGGCTCAATTGTTTACTACCGTTTGACGCATCATTTCCTCCGTGGAACCTTTTTAAGTGATCCTTTTGTTTTCTGGTTAGCGACTGAATCTGCCGGAATTTCCCTTGGATCGCTTCGAATGCGCCCAGCATGTCCTGACTGACCAAAACAAAAAAGAGAGCGAGAGGGAGAGATAGAGAGAGGGGGAGAGGAAAAAACCTATTCCAGTGCTGTTGTTTTGGATTACTTTTACTGAAAAGTCTTCATGTAAAAAAGAAACACATACTAGTCAATGCTGCTGTTGATTGGAATATTAGGTGAAACAGCAACAGTGCCCATTTTCTCCTGAAAAAAAAAGACACATTACATCAACAGTAATCATTAGCATCAATTATCCAATGACATATGGGTATTACATCTGCAGTTTCTTTTACACACCACTCATTTTTTTCATGGTGAAAAATGCTTCCTGGTTTGTTAAGTAAAAATAGCGAGACTGAAGCTGCTGAACTGTGCAGCGATATTATCCTCTAGCACCATCTGGTGAAGTAAGAGTGGATACACCTTGGTAGGAGTAAAACAGAGAGTGAGTACTGACACAGCAGCAGTGTTATCTCAGGTTTACACTGTGTTGGATCATTGAAAAACAAATAGGTGGAGGCATAATAGTGAAAACAGTGAAAACATTTCTCCTAACTTTTATCCACAAGCTGTGTGGAAAGGAGTTCAAATAAGGGGATATTGTAGCCTGACCAGGATTGATTAAAGTGCATTTATTCCGTGAATGATCTTGCTATGGTAAAGTGAGAAAAGACAGTGCGCTTAAACTGTGATATATCAACCATACATGTTAAGTGTTTTATTGATGCTCCATTGGTCTAATGTGTTCCTCTTACATTTGTGTCAGACACAGAAGTTCTGCTAACATGTCTGTTTGTATACTAGAGGAAGCTGTGACTGCGCTCTTGTATTTCAGAGTGTCAGAGTAAAAGAAAAACAGATCTGAGACCGTCAGAATGCAGTTTTTACACAGTATAGACAAAAAAGAGCACAGGGAAATGTAGCATGTGGGACATACCGTGTACTGTGTTTTCCTATAAGCGGCCTCATCTAGGAGGTGGTTGCAAGGCTCGCATTTCATCTCCCCTTTAAATCCAAAACAATAAAAATGAGCCATTTACATAAAGATTAAACAGATTCATTGTGATTTATGATGATTACATTCAGTTTCCATGCCCAGATTGCAAAGCGATGGGAGATTTAAAAAAAAAATAGTCCAGTGGGCATAAAAGTGAAGAGATAATTTGGCACATTTTACCAACCTGATGGCTGCCTTGTTGCTAACTTAGCTTCAAGTTTAGAAATCAACTGCTGCTGGTCCTCTATCTGCTTCTGAAGCTTTTGAGTGTATCGCTCGTAATATTCAGTCTGAAAAAAAAAGAGGGTTCCTGTTACATTTTGCCAACCCTCAAAGTGTGATTTGCTTTACAATGTCAGTTTTTCATGTATTCTTCAGTGGGTTACAAAACCCAAAAGTAAAATGTAAACCTGTCTTGAATCTTTACCATTTGCTGCAGCTCCCTTTTAGCATTGTCCTTTTCGATGGAGACCTGGCGATAAGCTTCAAAAGCTTTATTGAGCTGGTCTCCGATGTTCCTTTCCATGCCGTGTGCTCCACAAACATCACTGACACAGCAGACGTGCCCTATGAGCAAGATAATAAAATGTACACCCACAGTTTGACCCTGAAGAGATTGCATAAACAGGAACAGAATCAAAGTTGATAAGTTAAATAAGCATGATGATAGTAAGCCTAATAATCTGCGTACAATGGCCAACTTGTCTGTACATAATTCAGAAATAAAACACATTAACAGCGCCCCAAGGTTGTGTCAAAATGACCAGCCAGACTGAGCAAAAACTGAACTAACATACTTCCAGTACTGTTATTACCAAATATCACAGGCAGTTCCGGTGGAATATCAGCCTTTTTGCAAAAGCAAAGTTGTATTCACATTTCCACAATCAGTGCCTTCTTTTGAAAGAAATAATGTGCTTACTATGTAGACAAAAATACTGTCAATGAACATGCAAACTTTAGCACAAGAACAGCACCTCTGTCACATTCAGTTGGCTAGAATATTTACTTTTTGCCCTTTTATTTTGAAAGTCATTTGGCAGCTATGCGATCAGAAACTTAAGGATGTACTAGTCAACATGGACTTATAGAGATAATGCAAATAAAGCAAAGAGGTTGGTGTCATCTCACCAACCTGAAGCAGCTCATCAATTAGTAAGTAGGCTTCAAAATAAGAGCGACAATGACACAGTATCTGTCAGTGATACAGCACAGCAACGACTCCTGGATGAGGCAGCAGTAAAGCCAACAACACACTCAGCCTGTTAAAGGACATTAACATCATTGTCAACAACACGGGAGCCTACCGGGAAACAGTAGCGGAGAACTTTATGTGTTATACAAAGCCCAGTCCTCACAGTTCCGTATTCTTTAAACTTTAGGTATCCAGTTAGCGATAGCTCATTCAGCCGGCGGAGTCTAAAGCGACCAAACAACAACTCCTCACCTCCGTCTATCTCTCTGCCACACTCACTGTCCTCTTACCTTCATTCGAGTTACTGTTGAAAACGACTTTTTTTGTTGTTTTGACACCACCGCAGCGTCGTCGCCTAATCTTCAGATGCAAAGTTACGAGGCGCTGGAGAGGATATGGCAGTGTGTGTTTTACATAGCCTGGTTGAGTTGGGAACTTCCCTCGGGGAATCCCCCTGATCTGTAGACTTCCGCCTTTACCCGGGCTGAGCCAATCAGAGCAGGGCTGGATGTTTAGCTGGTTGAGGGTTCTTCCAACCTACGCGTCTGCAAACCGACTGTTGTGCATAAGAAAACTGTCCCCAAACTAGGGGTTAAACTGTGCTCATTTCACTAAGCAACATTTTCTCTTGCATTATATAATGTCTATTTAGTATACTGGGTAGATTTATGTCTGCATTGTATTGTGGTGAGAAAGTTATCTGTGAATTAGTTGTGACACTCCTCTGGCGCGCTGTCATGCTACAGAAGGCCACAGAGGAACTTAGGATTGTGCATGTGCTCAAGATTCCTGTTTAAAAACGACTGAAATGCAATAAGTAGGCCTATAGACCTTTGCAAACCAACAACTCAGTTCTCCTTTTACTGCACTCTTCATAAACAAGTTGTGTTTTGCAAAAGACATATGCATGGAAGCTTAACACAATATCAACACTTTCTCAACACTGGTAAAAAAAAAAAAAGGCTGGCTCTGTGGTAGGACTCAAGCTGGACTCAGTGGAGGATGTGGTGGAGAGATCTACACTGAGAAAGATGGAGTCAATTTTAAAGAACATGGATTACCCACTTCACGACACCTTGATGGACCAAAGGGCCAATGGTGGTGCACGGCTCCTCTCTCTTCGCTGCAGGACAGAAAGATTCAGAAGATCTTTTGTACCAACAACCATCAGACTTTATAATTCTTGTGTAAATAGTAGATAACTTTTAGAGACATATTTTGTGAGACAACAGACAATTGAATTACCCTTCGGAGATTGATTAAGTTATTCTTATTCAAATTCAAATTTATATTGTGCACAAGTTTTGAAATAGAGAATAATATCAACTGGGTATTGCACCCCTGTGGCCATGTGATGTGCTCACTGTTTGATCAAATTAACACAACATAAGTGCACCTAAAACCTGGTGCATGCCAACAGGAGTGTCAGAACAAAGTTACAAAAATAATAACAACAAGAACAAGAAGAATAGTGTGCTGTGTCTGAATGTTTTCTTAGTGGTAACCTAGAGATGTGCATGCCGGCCTATGTCACACTGTCAGCCATTGTTGATGTTACTGACAACCATCTATGCCTCCCCTAGAATGAAAAGTAAAAATATAATGTTGACAAAACATACTCGAGTCCATCCAATATCTCTCTGTTATTGCAATGTTGTGTTTGGAAATCTTGGATGATTAGATCATGACCGGGAAAAATCCATGTAACCAAAACTTTTGGTATTTCCAGGTGCTGCACAGTCCATTAGACACTCTCTTCTGTATTATGTATGTGCACATGTGACAGCTGTAGAAGGTTTAGGACTAGTTTAAACACTGCAATCTCTAACCACAGCTAAATGTCATGTCAGAGTGATTTGAATACACTTCTATAGGTCTGCAGCAGGGTGAGAGCTACTGCCACCGGAGGTCAGCAAAAATGAGAAACCTGTAGGTACTGGGCAAAAAAAAAAAGCATTTGTTTTTCTATACAGTTCAACTGATCTGGGTAAGATTTGGATTTGTGCTCTGTGCCATCTTTTTAAGACAGCAACAGGATTAACAAGCACACCACAGAGCCTTTTGGGGTTTTTATGATTCAAAGAGTATGTAATTGCCCAAGATTACACCACGTGGGATCAGGATTTTGGTCTGCTTTACACAGAATCGTTGACTTGCAACACCATAGTGAATGTATGTCTCATATGCTATTCATAGAGGGGGAAAAATGCGAAAGTCACCAAGGACTCTTTTCTTTTCGAACAAAGATGCACATTTCTTTTCAATCAATCTCATTGAAAAAGAGCCAAATGTAATCTGAAGGCCCTTTACAAAAAGAACAATTATTGAATGCACTCTTTGTTTTTATGATTTATTTGACCCGACTTCAAGACAAAATAAAAAGCAATCCCATCCTTTTTAAAGATCCTGAAACATATTCCTTCTTACAGACAGATACACCGAGCAGAACCAGACCGGTGTCAGGTTAAGAAAGAGGAAAAGAGAGAAATGCAGAAAGAAAGAGGGATGGAGAAAACAACAACAACAACTCATGCAGTTGCAGTCCCTGTAGCGGCATTTCCTCTGGATGTCAAAGCCACAAAAAAACTGCAGGTAACTGAAGTCTGTGTGAAGATAGAAGATATATTTAAATGATCACACAGTGGCTCTAACAATCCCAATGATAATGGTAACAGTATACGTACTATTTACAGGAAGTAAATAAATGATTATACACTGATCTTAATATCCATGGCAGTTAAAGTCAATAGGTCCAATAGCGTTTGTTGATAATAGTAATGGGAATGGGTATATCAATTAAAGCTGGTGAGGTAAAGTTGTTCTAAAATTAACATTTTAACAGTGATAGTAATGGTGAAACTGATATTCATGACCAATATCAGCCAGTGAAACGGGAACCTATGAGATAAGGGAGTTTGGGGACTCCCAGAAAGACTTCTGGTCAGTTACATGTAGACGAAGAGAAAAGAAAACGTGAGAGATCGGAGTTTGCCGTGTCAGTTCCTCTGGTTGTCCAAGCCTATAGCAGCATAACTAAGAGCTGGCCTGAACCATGATCTTTATCAAAAAGGAAAGTTTTAGACCTGTTCTTAAGAGTGGCATCTGCCTCCTGGACCCTGATTGGTAGACCATTCCAGAGGAGAGGGGCCTGGTTGGTTTTGTTTCCATTAACTCCATAAAACTTGAATGCTTTCATGATAATTAAGATGTTAAGTATTTTTTTCCTTTGTGTCCTTTTTTCAATTTGTCAGCAGAAACTTACAGGAAGAGTGAAATGATGCAATACTCAGTCCTGGTGACACTATGCTGAATACTACAGATTTCGACATAATTATTGCATTTACCATATGCATTTCCTTAAACCTCTTGAGTTTAATGTCGAGATTGTGGCTAGTATTTCTCATGTGTATTACCCCTTAGCTTAGCACACATCTTCTAACATGCATTGCGCACCGAAGTGAGAACTCTCCATCTGCAGGACAGCTCAAATTATGCTCGATGCACAGAAAATGACCAGCAGATGGCAGCTATGAGTGACTTGTTGAAATACAGTCTCTTGTTAACATCTGTGTGGTGATGCTGACCATAATCTATAGAAGTTCTTACAGGGCTGTAAAGTATCGAGTGCAGCCCACAGACGTTATGAGAGTAAGTAAAATAACTCTTTTACCACTTAGTCTCATTTGATCATTGAAAGATAAAGTAAAACTTCAGCTTATTACCTCCTCTACTACATCTTCAATGTAATATGATTCATGTGATAATGTCTTATTGAGTTTTTAAGGTGGAGAAAATAAGGTCTCTATCAAGTCATGATACTATCCTCACAAGGGTCCTTTTGTATTGTTCTGTTGATGCATCTAACTGTACACAGTAAACATTTGCACCTTCCTAGGGGATGCGTGACAGCGTCTCTGGGGATATTTTGTGACCTCATGGTGGCCAGGAGGCGCAGATGCTGGAATTTCTGGTTGACATATTCACTCTCCTTCTGGGAGAGAAAGTGGAATGCTGGTTTGACTGTTCAGCAGGAAGGACACCACAAAAATCAGCACTTTTTATTTTAAAACTGCTCGGATATGTTCAAAAATAACTCATATACATCTACTTGGTTGTTATACATTGGATTCATGCAGAATGACACTTAATGTTTGTCCAGGACCAGGATATTACTGTTTAAGCACTTCGTGTTCTTATCATTAGTCTAAGAGTGGGTCAGCACGAACCTTGGTGTGGTCACTCTTGCACAGTGGGACTCCAGCGCCCTGGCTGCTCGAAGGATGTTTTTCTGGTGTCCTGCCACAGAGGTTTTCATCTCTGACCCCTCTGACATTCCAACGTCAACCTCTGATCCCACTTTGAATGACTTACACACCCAGAGTGCTACAAACAACCTCAGTTCATAAAAAAACTCAAAGAATTCCTTTAAAGAGAGGAGCAGCAGCCCATCTTCTGGGTTTCACATATCTTTCTTTGTCGCTTTGAACTCTGAATTTACTGCAATCTGACATAAGTCTTGTCTTGTGGTTCTGGTGCAGACAAAAGCCATTTAGATTGTGGTAGACTTGAGAAGTAGTGACTTGATAATAGAACAGTGAAGCCGGTTTATGATTCATATCAGTACCCACGTAATCCTTCACCTCAAGTATCATTTTCTATTTTTGTTCAATCCTCGGGCCCTTTTGTGTTTGTTTGGCTCTAGCAGGAAACATTATTACTATCTATCTGCATGATCACCAAAAAGAATGTCCAATAATGATTCATCAGACCATGGAGCAGCTTTCCACTTCACCTCAGTCCATCTTAAAGAGACTTGTGCCCAGAGAGATCTCTGGCATTTCTTGACCATCTTTAAATATTGCTCTTTCCAGACATGGTACAATTTCAACCTGCAACAAGCTGTATTTAGAAGCGATTATGAGCTCATTCAGTGATTTCCACTACAGAGTCATGTCTGTTTTTTAATGCTGTGCCTATTTTTACAGAGATTCTTCCAGATTCTCTGAATCTTTTAATGATATACAATTAAACGCTAAAGAATGTTAATCTGTAATTGCTGAACTGTCTCTCACATAGTGGCGAACCTTTCCTTGTCTTTATTTCCAAGAAACTCATCCTCTCTGAAGTTCCCTTTTCGTACACAGTCATGTACTTTTTCTTTCAATGACGAAATCACAGCTGTGCTATTCTGAACAACATCATTCCCTCTTGTGTGATGTTGCAGCTTGCAGACCTGTAATTAATCTCTGTTAAATGTAGCCACTTAAACCAGAAATTTACACTCAATCTACCAACTAAAGCGCACCGAGAGATGTTTGTTCTGTTAAGAAATGCATCTCTCACTGTGATTTTTATATTATACCCTGACCTCAGCACTTACAAGAGGACATCAGAGGCAGAAAGGCCTCATAAATTTTGCCTGAAATGATCCCGGGGGAAATGTGGAGTCCTCTTTCCTGCAGCATCCAGATGACCCCGGGAACACATATGAGAAGGTCAGATGTGAGGTTTTTGCTCTTTGTCCCTTACAGGATGCTGGTATGATGTGCTCCCTTAATATCCACAATTACCAGTGAGTTATTTGTATGCACAATAACATGAGGCTATCCATTATCCTTTGCAGCGTTAAGGACGCTAAGCCTACTGTCATAAGGGGCCCTGTTCTAGATACACATCACTCTGGAGCCTGACCGCAGCTAAGCAGTAAATCTTGAGCCAATGAAGGGCCCATCCATGTTTCCTCTGCGTCTGGCAAAATAAACAATCCGCTGTAGGTCTGCAGAAACACGAGATCAGACAGAGGGCAGAGCTGAGGACTCTGGCATGCCGGGGGAAAAGGAGGGGGGAGAGGGGAGGAATGCAGGAAGAAACGTACAGATCAGATTTCAGCAGCCAGGAGGAAGGTGGTAGAAAATGAAGGGAACAACACTGCCAAGAGACCAAGTAAAAGCTCATAAAGGGGACAAAGTAAACACTATCTTCTTCATCTTTGCACTATTTTAATAGTGTGTTATACAATTTTTCTCTGAATGAAGAGAATTAGTATTTTTTTTCCTGGAAGATGTCAAAGTAAGAGTGTGTGTGTGTAACATCAAAACAGACCAGTGAGCCACTTTGGTTTCTGTCAGAGGCTAAAGCTGCACACAATATTGTTTTGGTTGAGCTCTTAGCCTCAGGGGCTTCCTGCTATTTGAAGAGGATGGGGTGGGGATGAGTAGGTTGAGAAACTGTGAGAAGATTCTGTAGTTCTGAGAATTTTACAGGATTTGTCATTTGTTCTTGATCATTACGGGGCCTTTTTGGAGGGGCTCTAAGCCGTCCTGGAGTCTCAAAGATAGTGGTAGACAAAGGGAGTTTTTGTTCGGGGCAAACTCCAGGGAGGATCAAAAACACACAGATGTCTGTAGTGAATTATTCTGTGCTAAACTTTAAAAAAATCATAATTACATTCATTTAAACATGCAAAAAGATCCAAATGATGCTCTTGGTGATTTTTGCTTCTGCAGAAAAACTGCAAGAGCACCTCTCTGCATGCTTATAGGATTTCCTGACTGATAGTGAGGGGAAGTCCTCTCCCTGTTTCTCTTATATAACCTTCCGTTTGACAAAATGAAGTTAACAACATGTGCAAATAATAAGTATCAATTTAATCAGTCCTAAAATGGAATTGGAAAACTCTATATCCTGGAACTATCTCTGAATAAATCCTTGTTTGTATCTGTCACAGATTTTTGAGGTCTTATTGTAAACACAACACCTTTACCCTTGTCTGAATCATATTATATTCGGCACACACACACCTGCAAATCCTTATGTATTTGACCACTGGCAACAGTCCAATACCCTCAAAGTGAGCCAGCAATATATAACTGGTTGTCCCAAAAATACCTGCATTGATTTTTAATTTGTCAGAGTGAGATTAGGCATTTTGAACGCCCAAAATCAATAGCCATGCAGAGAGGGAGGTTGTCAGGGGTTGGGTTTTCCCACAGAGGCTGAGATCCAACAGATGCAGCTGTGGCACAATCACCTCAATAGCAGACTTACTAAATATTTCTTTACCCAGCTTGATTCTAGTCTATATAGGTATACAGTTAAAATGGTGAGCAGTTCTTGAAGAAATGTACCTGGGTCTGGCCCTAGAAGGAACTGATAAAAAGAAGGACCTGTATTTTTTCAAAATACTGATCTTGGCATGTAAGAAGACCATAACAAGAAACTGGCTGACAATTGACCCTCCAAGCCCAGGACAGTGGCTGGGTATTGTTGAGGAGATTTACTCGATGGAACAACTGACTTATTACCTCAGAATGAAAGCAGAGACCCTGAACCAATAGTGGCACAAATGGACTGTGTATATGAAGAAAGAAGGGTCTACTACTCAACAGACCTAATAGACAGTGGAAAAAGCTGAAAAAACAGTGGAATGCCCCACCTCCATTTGTTATTATTATTTTTTATTTCTCTATTTTATTTTATTTTTACCCAAGTTGCCATTGCATGGTTGTGCAGTTGACATTGTTTGTGTAAGAAAAAAAGCAAAATAAATAAAGTTTAAAAAAAAAAATGTCGAGCAGAGTCTTACTGGTGACAACGCGATCCCTCTCATCAAATTAAATCAGTCCGCAGAAAGGAATCAGGCACATTTTCATGGCACAAATGTCAATTTCCATTTTTATTCTGAATTGTTAAACAGCATTGAGGACATTTAATATTACTTTAATGTACGAGGAGAGTGTGACACTTAACTTTCATGGCTGATGGCTGACCGGTCACCAGTAAAGCAAAGAGAGGGAAAACAAGGTAAAAACAGCACAAGAGACAAGAAACAAACCCTGAACAAACTAAACGAGACAGAATCAAAGCAAACAGAAAAAAGAACATGGAGTGAGCTTTGTCTTGTTTAACTTAACTATCAGTGAGAATGCTCCTTTAATCTGATGTGCTCGGTTTGATGGTAACCTCCAGGCTGATAGTATTGTGTTGTTAGTGAAATCTGAGAAACCATTTCTAGATGTGTTCAAATATATCATTGTAAAATCAATATTAATAGTTTTAGTCTAAAAATCTGCGCCAGCTTGTTTATTTCTTCGGTTGGTAGCCAGGTGACAGGGTGTATAACCAGCTGCTCACTAATCCTTGATTTTATTCAGCATCATGGGAAATTGTTTAGACTCCTTCACAAATCCAGGACTTGCCCTCCAACATAAAGTCTGTTAGGCAAACACAACAAATAAAAAGCTGAATTCTTGTTATTGTAGATGTGATAGTCAAACTTTATTTGCCCTTCAGAGCATGTCCTGACTAAACCCTGAGATCATTTCTGACTATTGATTTTGCTAATGCCTCTTATTAGTCATTACGTGGGAATATTACACCGATAGGATAAAAGCCTATGCCGGTTCTGTCACCATGAGTGATAAGATAGTCTAAAGAGTTAATGAAGATAAAACCACCTAGAAAAAAAAAAAAAAAGAAAGACCATATGAGGTTATAGAGGAAAGTCCCCAGCTGACCTGTAGGCCTCTCTGCACACATAGAGAGCTCTGTAAAGTGATTCATTACTCAGGCTCATGAAAATTTTATCAGCAGGAGACTTGAGGCTCCTCATAGATAATTTCAACCAGCAACAGAAAACACAAAGCATGCTTTCACACTACTAGTTATCTTTCTTGTTATGCTTTTTGGTGCATTTCCTCCGAGATGTGAATGGACTATAGCATGGGACCCTTGATTCATGTAATCTTATAACTTTCATGACTGAAAAGAATGATTGAATTCATCTGAGATATGATGGAAAATAAAGTTTAAACTGGATTTCTGACATTTTTAGGTATAATTAGTTAATGTTTTAAAATACTCAAAAGCTCGCATTCTCCGCCCAGGTAAAAATTTAATCATTGTCAAGGTGAGCATATTAACTGCCATGGTGAAAATGTGGACAAAGGCTTCATCCTGGGGCTAAAGAGCTCCACACAATGTTTACAATAAAGTTTGGAGAGTTGCCTGGCAGCAGAATGTACACAATGAAACAGCACAGCGGGGCTGCTCTTTATATCAGCGTCAGGCCCTGAAAGGACAGCCTTTGTACACATATGACTCTCATTCTCAGGTGCAAAATGAGGGCCACGCTGCACAATGAAACCTTTCCTGCTGCTGTCAAGTATTTCCTCTCACATATTTGAAATTATTTAAGAGAGCTTCAGATGTGTTTTAAACCTGTCATGTTAAAGACATTTAAAAAAAAAAACTCTCATAGAAGGTCCCACCAAACAGCTCTGAGCTTAAATTAAAAAGAGACGCCTGTTTTCTTTGATACTGTGTTGAAACTTGCATATTTGAAACCAGTGTGGACAGATGATAGTAGTGAGACACAATATATTGCGATATATTGTGGTTCTGGCTCTTACGATACAACTATCATACCTCTGGCTCCAACTATAGATATTTTATTTGACAAACAGTCAGGCTCTTTGAACAATTCCATTCCAACCCTGGTGTCTGTGCCAGTACTTCTTGAATCCTCATGATGGAACTGATGACATTAATCCTGAACTTTACCTTTAGGGGACATTTCCCAGTCGTCATTAAGTCAAATACTGTGATGCTTCAAATCGAATTACTTAAAACTTAATCCTATCATATTGTGACTTAACCTGTGATTTCATCCTTGTCATATAGTGATTGTCAATCTCCAGTTACTTGATGTCTGCAGTGTCTTTGTCTAACCCTGAAAACGTGGCTTTAAATATGCCCCACATTAACCTACAGCTGCAGTATAAATATATTCTGGAGACATGTGATTATAAGTTTTCTGCTGCCGTCTGCAATGACTAAGCATATGATGACAATGTTACCCACAACTATGTGAAAATATCTGTGTTCTCCACTGCTGTGAATCAAACATCAATATGCACCACATGGTGTTATTAAGACCATGAAAAAAAAAAAACATCTTGAGTTTCAAACAACCAGCCATGATCCATAACATAGATCTGATTCATTGAATCCACAGTGATTACTACAAAGGGCCAGTACAGTGACTCATTCACTTTTGGATAACTGAGCAGTGCTGTCATAAACACCACCCCCACCACATCAGCTCCTCAATGAAAGACCGGAGTTGTAAATGTGGTCCTCCTTTTCTTTTGGTGTGACACACTCATACAGGCACTCACATCTTTCTTTTTTGTGGCTAATTTACAGTCATAAGTCGAGGGGAAATGAATGTGCTGCTGCCAAAGAGGGGTCACACACACCCCTAACCAAACCTTCCCTCCTGGCAGGAAGGAGCAGGAGTGTTACTAAAGGCTTCCTGGAGCTGCTGAAGCTCTGTGCTGCTCCTGAGGAATGTCTCTCTTTTTCTCTCTTTTGCAAGATGAGCTGTGAGACTGTAATTGCTGTTATAATTTGTGAAGAAAAAACTGTGAGCAACACTTTCTTCATACGTGCCTTAGCTGTGTTTTCTGGTAGAGGTGTTTTTTCATTAGTTCACGGGAGAGTGACAGCAAGTAGCACAATGTCCTAGAATAACCTCACTCTCTTATTTCCCTTGGAAATACCCTGTGTGCGTGTGTGTGTGTGTGTGTGTGTGTGTGTGTGTGTGTGTGTGTGTGTGTGAGAGAGAGAGAGAGAGAGAGAGAGAGTGAGAGAGAGAGAGAGAGAGAGAGAGAGAGAGTAAACTTGACTGTGTGTTTTTCGTTGTGTGCATTGAGTGATTCATGCAATCTTTGCATCTCGGCATGTTGGGGCCTGTCCGAGCTCCCATGTATGTACGATCTAAACGTGCATCTCAAGCAAAGGGACATGGTAGAGTCTTTGAATATCTGATGGTTCCTGTATTGGCCTCTTGAATTAAAACAGTATAGTATGATGGTATTATATAGCTATGTCATAGGTTTTACATTGGAATGAGGCAATGGCTGAAATCGTGTGCTGTATCCATCTTAACTTTGGAGTCATACAAATGCAGGGATTAAAGGTAACCTTAGCTTTCACTGTTTCATAGAAGGTAGTGGTTCAATTGCCTCCCTGCCCCCACTTCAAAACCCAAAGCATACCGCTGAATCAGACCTTTGTGTCGCTCCTCTAATGCTGACCCATTGACTCCTGATGGCCTACTGAACTTCTCTACATGCTCCGCTGGTGACCTTTGCTTTCATTTAAGAGTGACATATCACATATTATACCTATGTGCACACAATTTGCTGATGCATCTAATCTACAGACACTGATGCTAGAATGGGCTTGTAAGAGTTTCAGTGACAATGTGAACACATAAGGCAGCTTCTTACGCTATAATGTTCTTGGTTATTACTGTGTAGTTTGATGAATCAGTGTGAGTGATACTGATTTTGTGACTTGCACAAAATATTGAATTTGGTCAGTCTCATTGATCTAAATAAGAGATGTGACACAAAATAATAGCTGCTACCCAAACTCATCTGCTTTTACCAGCAGGTTAAAGTGTTTACTGAGACTATAAAGGGAGAATAAGACAGTGCTTATAACACAGGGCTTGTACCTTCCTGAAGGTCGCCATTAATTCACATTTTCTGCCACCAGTGTTGGTTTTCCAATCAGCAGGTGACAGTGGTGGGTAGATTGCCTTTGATTTATTGCCTAGTCTGCCCCTCTTGCCTTCTCCAATAAAGAGCCCCCACCACATACACACACACACACACACACACACACACACACACTTGTATACACACTAACACATACGCACACAGCAACAAACAGCCGTCATTCACACTAAGAGGGTCCCACTGCACATATTAAACAACAAGACAGACGCCATCTTGATTAACAGAATTTTACTGAAGTGCAAACCTTTAAAAACTATTCTGTAGCCCTTTAATGCCTGACACCACAAATTATGGCCAAAATTCAAAAATTTTTGGAGCTGAAATGTTTATTTCACTTACAACTGAAAACCGAAAAAATAAAAAGGTCCTTAAAATTTAACAAATATTTTTATTTTTCTCGTTTGATACATTAGATGATTTTTCAAAACTGATAAACTACAAGAGGATATTATTTATCATTTATCAGACTGTATTCAGGTGTTTTTGGTGGTTTGTTGACCATATTGATTTGATAGAAGTATATAAAAGTATGTATCACATATGATACAAAAGGCATTCAAGGGTTAAGGATTAGCTCACAAACCACTTACAAATGGTTTCACTCATACTACAAATATGAAATTCTAATTACCACTATATTGGTATGGTGGCAGTATTTGCATGATAGAATTGCTTGAAAATGGCAAATAAAATTGAAGTATATCTGGATAGTAATGTTATCACTCATTCAATTTCTTTTTAATTAATGTAACTATTTATCCGTACAAAAGGTTCATTTCCTTTTTCACTATGATGTCTACATGCATGTAGGTTTTTCATCTAAATACAGCTTGATAAGCAGGGCTTTTTGTAGTAATTGAATTCCATTGAAAATAGTATGTGCTATGGCTTGTTCAAAATATGTTTACTTGTACTGCGTATTCTTTACAAGGCTCCGATTCATTCACGCCACATTAAGTGTAAGTCTAATGGTTGAATAGACAAAAACTCACAATAATTGATCAGGGGTTGACTATATTTTCTAACTTATAGAATGATGTTTGAGTTAAACGCAATAAATTCACCAAACCTTGACAGAATATCACAACCAGGACCAGCCGCACGGTGGAATGTGTGGTATGTATTCTCCAAGAGAGGAGCAACATCAGAGAGGTGAAACGATGTTTTTATATAAAACGTGCTCTTATCACAGAGGTGGTTCAAAGTATACTAAATGTCAGGGCGGATTCATACATATTTTCAAAGCTGCTTTACATCATAATAAAAGGAAAAGTATGGGATTTATTTTTTAATTTTGTGTATATCTATCAAGGCCACCCCTAGGCAGCTCGGTAAATGGTTTCTCCCACCGTAACAGCGTCTGTCCTGCGCAGCGCTGACTGCAAATCAATGAAGCCAGTCAAACAAACGGGGCTGGGCAATCGAAGTTGGGACAATTTACGGAGGTCTCCGTAGCCGGATAGTCGACGTCAATTAGGATATGTTTACAGTTAATATGAATAAAAAGCGTTTTCTTAGCACCTCCGCGGAGTGAAGTGGATATCAATGTCGATTATTATCCGTCGTATTCGAGGACTTTGATGTATTTGTGTAGTAATTTGTAGCTTAACTGAGAAACTACCCTCCCTTCTTGGAACTGAGGATGATTTTTGCCAATTCTGGAAACCTGCTAAGGACACCGTATCGCAAACAGGTACAGTTTTACAAATGCAAAGAGCAGCCTTTACAAAATAACACCCTCAAGACTGACTTCGTGGAAGTCGCTTTAGTGTTTGTGAACAGAGGCTTGTCTAAACAAACTTAAACGGCGCTCAAATAGAAAGAAAAACTTACTTTTGTTTATCAAAGCCTTTCGACACGGTAATGATGCGTTCACGTGTGGGATGTAAGAGTCAGAAAGCTTAGTTTCGTAAAATGCATATGCAGATACCTGCTGCTCGGGCTGTAGTCCAGGGCCGACTAGGCTACACAACAAAACAGCAGTCTAACCTCTACCAATTGAATGTGAAATCGTAGTGAGAACACAATATTCTCACTCTTCAGTCAGAAATACAGTAAACGTGTCTACGAGGTCATGTTTGAGGGCCTCTTTCACCAAACTCAATTTCACTGTCAAATGCTAGTAAACTTATATTTTATCCTTTAAAAATAAAGTGTTTATTTTCCTGACTCTTGTGCCCACAGCAATTAAACACCATGGATGACAATTATCCACTGGTGCGTTCACTTTGTCCCACTTCCATATAGATTTTTAGAAACTCCCTTCAGCCATTAGATTTGAATGAGCATATTTACTGTGTCGTGCTCATGCTGTCATCCTGTGGCTGTAGAGCTCTGTGGGCGAGGCCTGTTCCTGGAAGCACAGTGTATTTCCAGCTCGGATATGACGGGGCTACTCTGGTCTGGAGCTGCCTGATAAGATGCCGTCCTCTCCCCCATCACAGTCGCTTACAGTCCTGCTCCTGCACCCTGAGTAGTCAGTGAGGCAGATGCATGAAAACAAGATTTCCTTTTGATTCTGCAGAAAAGTAGAACTTGATAATGCACGGTGAGGCTCTGTGACACCCATTCTCAATGAGGCTGACTGGTCCCCTTTGATAGTATTGATTATTAACTATAACTGTAGTGCAAATTGCAGTTAAAAGTAGGGCCCGACCGATATGGATTTTTTTGGGGCGGATGCCCATACCGATTATTGGGGGGGAGGGGGTCCGATTACCGATTAATTGGCCGATTTTTTAAAATGTTTTATGAAGTTTTAAAATTTTGTTAATTTGCCTCAGTAAGAGAACTAGCTCAATCACGTAATGTGTACTGTTGTTTATTCTGCCTACTGGCATGGCTAACAGTGTAGCAAGGCTAATAGCAGGTGGCTAACTCTAACTTTAGCTTGCACATTACATGGTGCTTCACGTTAACTCAGCGTGACCGAGACCAGCACAGCAAGGAACATCGTGAAGTGGGTTGAACTGTGGATGAAGATTGTCATGAGGTCGCTGCGCCATCTACAGGATAAGTCGGGGAACTTTTCAAATGAAGTGAAACGGCATCTTATTCTCTGCATTTTGTTTCTGAAAATATCGGCAAAAATCGGTGAGTTTTGGCCGATTACTGATAAGTCTCAAACAGGCTAAAATTGGCCGATTTAATCGGCTCGATGATAAATCAGTTGGGCCCTAGTTTAAAGTCATTATAAGGTGTTTCTGCTGACATACTTATGCCTCAAAAATGGATTTTATCATGTCACAACAATTCAATACCTGCAAATGGTCCTTACTCTATCTCCAGCCCTTTTGATCGTTGTATTTCTATATATTTATTTAATTGTGTGTTCTGCTTCTCGGGTCAAAGTATCACTGTGTTCTGTTCCAGTAGCTGGACAGCATATACCTGAAATTCATACTGTAACTTAACCACCCAGCTCACACTAACGGGGAAGCATAGAGTAACATTTTTCCAGGTATGTTGCATTATTTAGCGTCACTAGTCGGGAATAATATTTTGAGTTGTTTTTTAGGTCTGAATGGGAGTTTTAAGAGATTGATTGATACATTATATCTCAATAATGTTGCAGTATTTTTTTCTTTGGCATTTTTGTGAAAAAAAAAATCGTGTTTGTTACCAATCTGACTGAGTTTGGATGATTCTTGTGTTTTTGGTTATCACAGCCAGGATTAGCTGAATACAGGCTTGTCTGTGGTCCATTGCTGGTAATCGCCAATCTAGGAATAGCATTCTTGAGAGTGACTATGATGTATTTCAGGTTTATAAATATGTAAAAGGCTGTGATTAGATTTTTCCAAGTATTGCTTAGCGTTTCTCGGCTTCTTTTCTGAAACCTACAACCTACCCTCCAGGCTGAAGTCCAGACTCGAGTTGCTCAATCCTGTCACCACTTCATGCTTGGGATTCCTTGAGCTTCCTCTCAGCTTGTGATTCCTCAGTGTGTGTAAGGGTGGGGGCGGGGGGGGGTAATCAGAGCCAGATAGAAAAAAGGAGAAGACAAATCCCTGAAGGGGACAGCTCTTCCTGACATGGACATCTGTATCTTATAGACATTAAGGATGAAGTTGCTCAACTGTTGGATATTTCTACCCCGGCCCCTTTTTGGGATTGGAGGCCTCTGCGGCTATTATATGTAATGGTAAGACTTGAATGGAACCGAAACTAGATGAAACCTGGAAAACCCCATTTCAATTGTCTGAAAAAGTAGTAGTTTTTTCAGCCAATGTGCTGTCTTGACTAAAAGGGAAAACACAGAGTCATACATGAGTTCACTCCACTCTGAAAGAAAAAGCAAAGCTACTCTGAAAGATAAAAGTGCCAAGGGTCAAGAAGTCACACATGGTTGTTTATGTTGACCTGTGAATGGCTTATTCTGCACCTCCAGGCAGCATGACATCAGCGTGACACTGATGTCAGAGCTACAAGCCCCCGCAGAGTCTGATTGTGCTGACTGTGAATGTGGGGTGGAAATAGATCTGTTGATATGGATCAATACTCAGTAAAACATTCAGCCTCGTACTGAGCAGAAGTCTCATGATAGAATCTGTCATTGTTTTCTGTCTCAAATCATCATAATTGTAAGAAATCAAGTCATGATGAAGCCATACTATATGTAAAATCAGACATTAGTCATGTTTATTCTGTGATGAACCTTCAGATAACAACCTCCTCCAGTCTTTCAGTGTCTCGTCTTTCATTGTTTGAATTTGTAGTCTGCAGCTTTAAATGAGACCTATTATACTTATCTTATCTCAAACTGTTGCCCATTAAACCTTCATTTTAATCCTATTCAGCTTTTGCATTGTTTTGGCTACTTTTACACTGATATCAAGTTAGGGGTTGTTACTTTTTACACAGCTTTGCTACACAAAATGACCCAAAACTTGTGCCTTTAAAAATATGTCAGGATAGCCATTAGCCTCAACGTAGCTCTCCAATTAGCCATGTTTTACCAATAACTTGTGGTTCTGAACCTTCACGGAGGGTCTTCATAGATAAAACAGCCCAAGATTTTGGGAACAGTTCAGATACAAATCCAGCTCGTACTAGTCCTTGTTTACAAAGAAGTCACCAGTGTAGTGGTTACCATAGAAAGCTTTATGTGCCCTTAAAATGTATAAACTTCTCAATGTTTTCAGGTGTCTGCGTCATTAGAAATGGAAGAAAGCTGCAACTTTCCAAGGCATACCATTTCAATTAAATGCGAAATGGATACAAATACCAAGTGGTGTTATAGATTTGCAAGCTTTGTGTCCTTGACAGAGCTGCTTGTTGGACTCTCCCTCTAGTATTGTCTTAATAGGACAGCACAACTTGACATTGAGGTTGTGGCCATGACTGGAATGAGATGTTCGGAAAAGCACATGTGAGGATTATACTGCCACCCGTCTGTATTATATCATGGACTTAGTTGCTGTTTAGTATAAGCATAAAAGAAATGCAGCATAATTTATACCTATTAAAGCTTTCTGAGAGGTTGAGAGGCTCTGTACATTCTCATTGCTTTCATTTGTGTATTTTCTGGATGTAACCAGTAATTCTTAGCTGTAAAACAGCTCCTGAAAACCATCAGTAAGCTCCTCACCTTGCTGCTGTGATACGAATTCGATCACGATACGATAAGTTATGATACGATACAGTTTCTTGTCCCTTTAGGGAAATTTGTCTTGGACTCTAAGAGCTGCACAGATAAAGCTACCAACTAAAAGTGTATCCTGGTGCATTCAGTACAGTATGACATTCAAAGCACACTTCTCATCACACTTCACCACCTCCATCAGGAATGCAGGGTGTGATCAGAGGTTAAACAAACTTTGAATTGTAGAGGGGAATGAAATATAACAGTTTGATCTGGTGTTGAGATTTTCTTAATGGGTTCACTTCACTCCAACTGTGTTTTGTTGTGTAAAGTCAGTTCCTCAAGTGTCAAAGCATTTCTGGCTGTCAACAGGCACATTTGAGGCAAGCTGATGTCATGTTTGTCGTAGTGTAATTATATGGAGGTTTAAAAAAGGATAATATCTCATAACCACTTATATTTAACCCGTTTTTTCTGATCCTCAGCCCCCTGCTGCCCCATCGTCACACCCCATGGCTCCACCCAGCCCCAGCACCAACAGCAGCACCAACAACAGCAGCAGCAGCAGCACTGCAGGCTGGGACCAGCTCAGTAAAACAAACCTCTACATCCGTGGCCTGTCCCCTTCGACCACAGACCACGATCTGGTCAAGCTCTGTCAGCCGTGAGTACCACACTTCCTGTTATTATTATCCACCATTGAACAGATATTGATTTTTCAGCCCACTTAGTTTGGAGTTGAGTGCTAATTTGCAGTAGCAGTCACTTTTTGAAAGACAATTGATCATTCACTAAAATATGCTGTGATAAAGTTGAAGTTTTATTTTAGAGCAGTTACCCACATTAAGTAAACATGTTTCTTCTCTCATCAGCTAGCAGACAAATCCGCTCAAGTCTGTTCAGATATTGTATATTTAATCAGCTCCTCATAGCAAAAGGAGTCGTTTACAGCCTTGCAGAGAGTGGAAAGAGACATCTTTGGATTCTTATGTTTAGTCATGATGAAAAAATGTCAGCTTTATCGAAATATGGCACAAGAAATGATCACACAAAGACCAAACAAACTGCAGTCTTCCCATATATCATGTATGCATAAAGGAGAGCTACTGTCAGACCTGGGCTCATCCAAAGCTCTCTTTGTGTGCTGAATGTGTCGTTTTCTCCCCCCCGATGCCTCATAAACATCATAAGCTTCTCTTTCCTTAGGCCCAGTCTTCTCAATGTGACATTGACTTTGCGACACAAAGTTCATTTTGTGGCTGTTTGGATATATATTACCCATAGAAATCTGCAGTTGCAGTGACATATCCCTATATTCAGATGCCAGTGCAGTATAAATACAGCTTTGATGGCATGTTCAAATCTACAAAAAATGCAGCAAATTGGAGCTAAAGAATTGCATTGACTGTTTTTTTTCTGCAAAGGCCTACATAGAACAACCCCAGACAAGCCTGGTAATTGTGCATGTCAAAAGCCAACCTGCTGTAGCCTCACCATTTGAGATTAGAGTTCAGATGTAGAAAAGGTCACAAGTTCATGCTCTCTCACCCAGTTTAGCATTTAGCCTAATCCCTGGCTAAAATACCCTTCTGGTGGAGCACGGGGCACATCATGACCTGTATCTCTGTCACTTTGAATTAAATAGGTCATTTTCAACATGGCGCATACTTACATTAAAGTGTAGAAAATGCTGCTTATGGGAACTTTTTGCTGTTAGGACTCTAAAACAGCATCTGAACTAAAGCACAAACAGCAGAATCAGCTATTGATATTTTTTTGTTTGATAACACAGATTTGCACTTCACTGTCCTGCAGAGGTAGACATGCATTAAATATTTAATTTATTCAATATTCTTGTAGTTTCAGCTTTTGTTTTTTGAGCTCTCTATTCATCAGCCTGCATCCACAGAGTCGCAGAAGCACACACTTGAAATATAGGAGTAATCTTAAGTTTGCAAAGTTTTGAATTAAGGGGCTTTTAGCATAAGAGGTAAACATGATATACATTATATTGATAAATTAGTTTAAAATCATCTGTAATAAGAAGATTGTTCTCTTATAGTTTACTTGGATTAGACCTGATATATCTACAAGAGCAGGCCCCATCATGAGAAGACAAGCCTCGCTGTATCAGGATAATGAGAAAAATTAATCCATTATAATGAGAAAACCATTTTTTTATCCAGAGGTAATGAAAAATAAATAAATTGACATCTCAAGAAAACAACCAGAAATTTCTCATTATCATGGGCAAACAGAGGAAATAAGTGGAGTTGCACGAACGCTTAAGGCTTCTGTGTTATTCAGTGTAATACCAATAGATTTTCAACAGCTCCAGGGTCAAATGAGTTTTGAGAAGTGCTGCTTTAGTAACACGCGTCATGTTACCACCACTACTTCCTTTGTATACCATGACTGCTCTGTTGAAACCTTTAAGACAACATAAACCAGAAGAGACCATAAATGTCTCAATCTTTTCATTGAATCAGGCACAATGATACAAGTATACAAGTGAATGACAGTTCTGATCCAAACCACAGTAGTTCATATACTAAAAAAGAATATTTCATATTTATTCATGTTTTAAAAAGACTTTTTCTTATGAGACTGCTTTCTTTGAACATGTTATAAAAATGGTGTTTTATTGACCTTTTTTTCTTATATTGAATCAGTAGTTTCTTCTTAATCTCCACATTTTTTTATTTGTTGTTGGCCTTTTGTGTTTTGTAGACCCCCCTTATTAAATACAGATATACTTCATCAATGTTGATGTTTAAGCTTTTATATGAGAAAAGTTTCCGTTTGTTTTAAAAGTTGACGTGGTCCCACATTTCTCTTGAGATGTTTTTGAGTTCAGCCGTAAGAAAAAAAAATGGAGGGAGGGGGTCTCTTTTGCTTTGCACTCACATTGTGGGGATTTTTCAGCACCCCATGGAAACCACTTCCTGTTTCTCATATTTTTGCGGTGATGTCATAGATTGTTGCTCAACCCTCCCTCTATGTGTGTCCGTATGTGTGTGTGTGTGTGTGTGTTTTATAACTGGCTCAGTCTGCTGCATAATCCAGCTAACAATGCCTCGCCTTTCTGCTCCTCCCCTAGGTATGGCAAAATTGTATCAACAAAGGCCATCTTGGACAAGACTACAAACAAATGTAAAGGTGTGTGACGTTGTTTTTTTTCTTTCCAGCCCCGCCCTCTTTTATCTGGACTCTCAATAGATGCATATCAACACAGTTCCCCACACCTCGCAGTCAGAGAGTGAATATCAGTCGAACACTGTCTGTGAAAACATCAGGTCATTCAGCAGCTATGCAGTTGTCTCAGATGATAGGGGCTAGTCAGGAAACAGACATCCAGGCTGCTCGAAGCTGCCTCCCAGCTCATGTTATTTTAAGCCCCAGCCCTGGTCTTGTGGGTGTGTCACTGTTGTGGGTGGGAAGGACATTACAACTCCTCCCCTTTCTGCTGGGTGACAGTGATGGTCTTGGTCTAGTTCTAGTAGACTAAAGAGGGACTTAGTGATTCTCACTGGTGCTGATGGGATTAGCAGAACGCTTTGTCACTCTCCTCTGGATTAAACAGATGCCAGTTAATCGAAAGCTCTCAGTGAAAGGCGACACCATTTAAGACCTTGCAAAGCTGCGGCTGATTTTTAAATAGACGCCAGAGATCACTTTGGCAACAACCTTGTGAGAAATTGAGTTTGATAAAGAAGTTAAAGCCGTTGTTTATTTTTCCACTTATTTCAAAATGATCTGGGACTTTTAGAGAGACCTAACACAAAGATTGAAATCAAACAAATATGAGACATTATTCTGAAATGAAAACACCCCTGACATATTCACAAAAAAATGACGCCTCACTAGGTTAAATATAAACGCTGCAGTAGAGGTCTGCCCTGTTTGTACCCCCGAGAACAAAGACTGACCTGAACCATGAATGTCACGCCGGTATCTGCATCCTCAGCACTTTTTTACCTCTTTTCAACACACATACACACACAATAGCACACATGAGCACATAATTACATAGTTAAAGGGACCCTTATACTGTGGTAATAAATGTTTATCATGTAAAGTCACATGAGGATTATGTTATAGCCTTCAGTAATTACTCACTACAGCATCATCAACCACAAAGAGGACTAAGTCAGCCCACACTGATGGAGAGTCATCCTAACCCTTCTGCTTACTCCTCAGGGTACGGCTTTGTGGACTTTGACAGCCCCGCTGCGGCTCAGAAAGCTGTAGCTGCCCTAAAGACCACTGGTGTCCAAGCTCAGATGGCAAAGGTGAGGATTCATTACAGTCTAATCCTGATATCACATCCCTACAAGACACCCACCGACACTTTTGCTCTACCATCTGACCACAGAGGCAACTTAAGCCCTCATCACGCTGGTATTAAATATCGAACCAGCGTGTATCATCCTCAACTCTTGGTCTGGAGACGGCTCACTGACTCTAAATTACAGAGTTCAATCATGATGGAGGCATGTGCAGAAAACATCATATAGCTAGGCATACTAGTGAAACTTAATGTGTGTCTTTGATTTGCAGAGAAAATGTGCACTACTTAGCTAGCAAATAACCAGAGTGTTGGCAAATATGCAGCAGTGTTCTTTCTGTATCATGTCTGTTTGACTACTGCTGCATTAATAGCTTAGTAAACACAGCAGTAACGCAGTGTACCACTTTCTTAGTGATTCTATACAATGGTGATGACATTTAATGGTTTGTTTGCTCACAGCACATATTCATTCATATATAGTTTATTACGTATTTAACTGTTTGTAGAGTTACGAGCATATACGTCATTAATGCTGTTTGTCAAAGGCTCTCTTGTCAGCTGACAGCTCCCAGCCAGGCTTTAGATCAGGTTCAGACGACAGAGGCGCCGAAAGTTTGGCTATAGGGTGTAGAGACTAGTGTAGCTGACAGTGAGATGACGTACCAGAGAAACTATCCGCGCGTGAACATGTTTCTAAAGTAAGCCTTTCCATGAGCTGAAGGCTAGTCTTTCTGTCCTCTCTGAATAAACATTACACATACATTGAACATCTCAGCGCAGGTTTATTTTCCTTTAGATTCTCAGAAAGCCACGTGCAGGAGAGATTGCTTCAATCTTAGAAATGTTTCACTGCATTTCAGGGAATTGAAATAAGAGCCTCCCTTTGCATTCAGCAGATATTCATGGTTTAAATACACTACAGATTCTGCACAATTGAGCAGATTACTCCTACTTTACTACTCTAAAACAGGACTGTGTAACTTGAGGCATCTTCTCTCTCTCTCCGACACGAGAAAAGGAAGTAAATAATTGTGTGTTGTTATGGTTACAGGAACCAGCCAGGGGAAATTAGTTCCCATACAGCACCGAGCAAGAGCCCTTGGCCTCATTTCCCTGTCTGGGGATCTGTGGAGCTTCTTGACATGCCTCTGTGCACCCATTTTACTTTTTTAATTAAAGTAGAGCAGCTTTGAGGGGCATGCCCAAGTTTAATCTTTGTATTGTGAAAGGTAAATGCCTTTATAAAGTGTGAGCCTTGGGCTTAATGGACTCTCTGACAAAGGTCCCCTTTCCTGTTTTTTTATTTTATCAGCTCAGGCTGCCTTCAATGGGAAAGCTCTCATTATTATTTCAAAGGCAGGTGGTGGGAAATGGCGAGATAAGAATTTCCCTTCGTTTTAGTTCCTCTGTGTTTTCCTCTCAGAATATACGTAAATATAGGCGAGTCACCCAACCACATGTGAGAAGTTATAAATCAAGTGAAGGTGGACCTCATGGATCTTTAACAAAGTTTTGTCAAGTGTTGTGTAGAGAATCTATAAGAAACATCACTTTTTGCTTGTGTTTCTCCAGACTCCAGTGTGTGTGGATCTGCAGGCTAAATAAGGGTTAGGGAAGTGAAAGACCAGCACATGCCCGTCCTTCATTACCTCTGTTGCAGTGCTGCTGAGGAGGACTCGTAAAGTCCTAACTGTTCCAGCAGAGCTGCTCTGAGACAGTTTGTTCAGAAAGTCATGATGTTCAAAATGCAGACAGCATATACTTTCTTAAATAAAGAGCCAAAGACAAACATTATTGCATACTCCCTTTTTGCTGGAACAAGACAAGTAGTAACACCCCTCTGTCAGCCACACCCCTCTTCCTCAGAAATGTGCTTCAGTCACTGTTCAGCGCTGACTGATAGGTGGTATCTGATATATTTCTGTATGCTGAACGTCTCTGAGCTCTTTCATTTACCACACGATCGACTCGTCAACTCTTAGTTAATTTGGGGGATTTTTAGAGGTATAGATGCACAGCTCTGCTATAGAAAACCTCCACAGCAGCTTTAAGACAGGAGTGTTTTGAGCTGTCAGAGCCACACAGAGCTGAGATCCAGATCACATCACTTCATCTCTCCTCCCCTGATTGGACACCCTCCTTGTGTTTTGTTGCGACGCTGACTTTCACTCATCCGTCGCCCTCTAAATCGGGCATGTTGATTTTACTGTCACTGTATTACTTTTAGTAATCCAACCTGTCCCTGTAGCTGACTCTGAACAACACAGCACTGATGAATATTAATGTTGAGAGGCCGCTCCCCAGGGACTCGTAGCCGTGTCTTATGTTTCTGCTGATGCTATTAAAATACAGCGAGAAATTGGCTGATGTGAGCCTTTAGCCATCGTGGGCTGCATGCAAATCTCTGTTTATATCTGCTCAGAGTGACCCTTTACTACCTTAAACCTCCAACAGAGAGGCAGACAGGAAAGAGCAGAGACTTAACAACCGAATTACTGATGTCCACATAAGAAGGACACGGTCTCCTTTCTTCCTCTCTTCTTCTTTCTTCCCTTAACATGCTACTACAGCCAGTGTAAACGTGGCAGTACAGAGGTATGTGTTTGTGTTTTCGAGGTGTGTTTAAAGCATGTCCTGTAGTGTAATTACATTAATACCTCTGCTGGCTCCTCCCTCGCAGCAACAAGAACAAGACCCGACAAACCTGTACATCTCCAACTTGCCATTGTCCATGGATGAGCAGGAACTGGAGAACATGCTGAAGCACTTTGGCCAGGTCATATCCACACGCATCCTGAGGGACTCCAGTGGAGGCAGCAGGGGAGTGGGATTTGCAAGGTTAGACCCTTCTGTGAAGTTTCTGTCAGTGTCCAATGGTGCTGAAGCAGAGACTGTTTTTCATGAAGCCACTATACAAAACACTAGCGAGGTAAAGCAGTATCCGATTAACAAAAAATAATCATAAAATAAAACAGTCTTAAGGTAAATTGGTGTTTTATGAGGATAACACAATGATGACAGCAGATAGAAGTCCTGGCTATCAAAGATCAAGTCTGAAGATGTCCAAAAAGACCGCAACCAAGTTCACAATCTGATTGAGGCACACACAGAGGTGTGTCTCAGATAAGAAGGTAGGAAGAACAGGTCATGTGTGGACAAACAGTTTCTTCTTTAAAGGAATAGTTTCACAATGACTGGTTTAATATAATTATAGTGGTAAATGCTGGCTTCCGCTCTTCACACTCACGTAACCTGATGGGGTCATGATTGACGAAAGCCATACATCAAAGTGCACCTAAGGAATGTTTGTGGGTGTGAGTGTGCACCAGTACACTCATGTGTGGCCTTTACTGACTGTGCAGATTTATTACAAGACGATGACTGTATGTGCACATCAGGTCTGCTTGAGTTTTATATCAACCCCTTCTTCTCATCCAGTAATGATGCAGCTCTTGGAAAGTACCAGCTTCGCCTCAAACGGCTGTATCACTGATAGTCGTTCTCTGTGCGTCTGTTGTGATTTCAGGATGGAGTCAACTGAAAAATGTGATGCAGTCATTTCTCACTTCAATGGAAAGTTTATCAAGACACCTGCAGGTGTTCCAGGTAAGAAAGACACACTCTGTGACTATCTTATACTCACAGGCGCACACTGCACAAGTGTGATGGAAATGCTTTTCCCATGAACAGAATAAGCGGAATAATTTCAGACATTTTTCTTGTTATGGATTCAATGAGTGTGACGGTAATGGATGGAGTTCAAGTGGTCAGCCAATAGGAGTCAGAGGGTCTGTTGGTAAAGCTCTATACACTGAGCCCTAAGTGGCAGAGCACAGACAAAGAGAAGCAGAGAGAGCAGTGCTCTGTGTGGCCTCCACTCCCTCTCTAAGCTTTTTAATTGGATTATTAGACTGAAATAGTCTCTGCTGGCCTTGCCTCCTTTAGGAAGGGGAGGGGATTACAGCTCCACAGCTGCCAAATTAGATGTCTGCTTTCCCAGGCTGGCTTGTAAATACACTCCCAGGCTTCAGGGAGAGAATGTATAGCACGCAATGACAAACAGCACTGTGTGTGTGTGTGTGTGTGTGTGTGTGTGTAACTGTGTGCACGTTTGTCATGGTTTGACACCAACACAAACCTTTTATTTTATTCTCTGTTTAGCACCGACTGAACCCTTGCTGTGCAAGTTTGCTGATGGCGGACAGAAAAAGAGACAAAGTCAGAATAAATTTGCTCTGAATGGCCGGGGGTGGGGGAGGGACGGTGACTCCAGACTGGTAAGTGGTGCCTAAGATGAAGTGAGTTGTGTAAGCGGCTGATGTTAAGCTTTGATTAAACAGAGTCATGTAAAGGAATAAAAAGGCATAACTGTCACTGTGCAGGTCCCTTTATCGAGTGTTAACCCTGGTTTTGTTCCTTCATGTTTATTATTAAGCGTTATTGAGTAAAGAGCAGCCTTTTACATAGGTGTGAGCACAATAGGTTCAAATGGACTATTGTATGATGATGTTGTGTATGTGAAGTGATGCGTGTTTGAGTTTAGTTGCCAAACCTGTGCTTTCTTTTGCTCTCAGGCTGGAATGACACTCACATATGACCCCAGTGCAGCTGCTCTGCAAAATGGGTACGTTTCAACAACAGTTTTTGTTTCATCCTCCTGGACATTTTTATACATTTTATGTGCTAAATCCACTTTGATACTCTGTTGAAAATGCACTTTTTTTTGTTTGTACACAGATTTTTCCCACCAGCATACAGTATTTCAAACAGGATGATCGCTCAAACGTCCATGTCTCCTTACATATCACCAGTTTCAACATACCAGGTCTGAATCCTTCTCTCTGCTAAAAAAAAAAAAAAAAACTGCAGCTTTTCATTCTGTAATACAGCAACTCAGCATTTCTGTCCATAAACCATGTGACATCAGGATTTAGAAACCCATCCTCTGGGGTTTGGGGATGTGGGTAATATGTGTGACAAAGGACGCAGTGGCCTTTCATGCTCTTTGCTGTGCCAATTGCTGTGGCATGTGATCTCTGGAAATAGCAGCTGTTCAGTGCCAGGGTGTTTACAGAGTGTGTTTGTGTGATGTTCCAGGTGCAGAACCCATCCTGGGTGACCCATCAACCCTACATAATGCAGCACCCAGTAAGTGCAAAATCCCTCTTCATCGCTGTCTTCATCACAAATCTTTCTCTCTTTTTTTTTTTTCTTGTTTGATCAAAACATTTTCCTCTGTGGTCGTAACAGAATAGAAACATTTTTCTGTAAACAGACATACACAATATGGATAGTAGTTCCACATAAGGTGACACTGATCCTGGAGAGTTTACAGTACTCATGTGTTTGTATAGGAACGTAAAAACGACTGCTTTGGAAAACTGCGTGTTTGATGATGACAGATGCCTAACATTTTACAACAGATGGGGTTGAATTGAGAGAGAAGAGTCCTTTCTTGCTTTGAAATTGAGCCAGCAGAGATGAGAAAACACTGCTAGTAGCATCAGGACAGCCAAGATGCTTATAGACAACTTGCTCAACTTGTGACTAGTCACCTTCTGCTGTTTCGAATGAAATGAACCAATTTCTCTCCAGTCCTGCGAAACCAACCATACATCGACTTGCTTGACACTGAACATGAATGGTATCTTTAATCTCCATGTCCTCAAGAGTGTTATGGTCTCGCAGGATGATATTAGCTGACCTTGTGTATCCACCTGCAGCATACTTGTACAAGTATTTCTCTCAGCTGCTTCCCCTTTTTCCTCCAGGGTACAGTAATATCGCCCTCTATGGACCCATCCATGTCACTACAGCCCACTTCTATGATGGCTCCGCTTACACAACAGATGAGTCACCTTTCTCTGGGCAGTGCAGGAACGGTGAGAAAATTCTGCATGGAATTGGAGACGAGTGTGAAAATGAATACGATCTTAAAATGAAAAGGTGCTTCATTTAAATATAAAAAACACGTTTTTTTTCTTTGCTTCATTGTACAGTTTATGGCCGCCAACACAGCTATGCAAGGAGCATACATCCCCCAGTATGCGCACATGCAGACGTCAAATATTCCTGTAGAGGTATGTGCATTAACGTCACTGCAGTCTGATGCATTAACAGTTAATTGACTGTTGTTGAAAAACTAATCTTGGTTATTGTATTTGAACCTCCAGGAAAACGGTGCACAGTCACAAGTGGACTCTGGTAATCATTCCCCATATTCCTACCAACAAACCAAGTAGCGCTGAGGTAACATTTGGACGACAGCTTCAACAATCATGTCTTCAAAATGCAACGGATACTAAAGATCTTTTCACTGCTTTTGCACGGGATCTGCAAATATTGAAGTGAGACTATTTTTGGTGTCATTTTCAGAGAGAATATCTGCGTTCATCGAATGATTCTGGTCGTATGGAAAAGAGTGAAAAAGTTTTATTTTCATACTAGAAAACGTTTATTTTGTTACCAAGGATTTCCATAAAATGCAAGAGAGACGAATCATGTGACTAGATGTTCAAAGTGCATGACAGTAAACATGTCTGTTGTTTATATTTCCAGATGTTTTCTTTCCTCCGAGGATATTTTTGAAAAATGATGTTTTTGTGCTTGCTGTGTGAGTGTTGCTATGGTGAAGTGTTCAGTGTTGTTTTTATGTCAAGTGATTTCTCTTAGTGCTTTAGATTGATCTTGCTGTCTGATTAAAATTTGCCTTCATAGTTTTTGATACAGCAGTTGTACAGACCATCACTGAGAGCAGCAAGCAAAAGATTTTCAGAGCGCTTGCCTTTGAAACGGGCTATGTAGGAGTTTTAGATAAAAATCTGTGTTTTCGCTTTTACCCTCAAATAGTTAATAGAAAAAAAATGAATTTTTAGAGAAAAATGTTTTGATTGAAATGGCTCTGCATCTAATGATGTTATATTTATTTAGTGAAAGGACCTTACATGTTTCTGGATTGGGAATGAGTTAGAAATTTTGCAGAGGAATCACCTTTTGAATCTTGCCTTTTGATTTTTTTTTTTTTTTTTATTGTTGAATAGCAAAAAAAACTTGGGTGGGGGGAAGACACGGGACTAATGTGTTTCATTGACTGTCGTGGTGTTTGTCTTGGATCATGTGAATTTTTATTTTGTCTTTTACACTTTTATTTGAAAAAACTAACAGGACAATACAGACTCATGATTGTGCAAAAGCAAAAAAAAAACATTGAAGCCTTGTAGTAGAATTTAGGCAAAAGTCCAGTGAGTCGGGGGGTAAATGAGATGAATATGTGTTACATGTTGCACCTCGCTCTTTGATAGGAAACAAACAAACTTGGCACTTTCAATCGTAATTTACTACACCAAAGAAATAGCTTTATCTCCTCAACCAGGAAATATATTTAGGAAATAAATTGACACTGCAAGCTAGATTGCAGTTTGGACAGTGTGCCTTTTTTCTACATTTACATTCAGTTGCTGTAACATGGACACACACAAGCATGAAGGAAGGCCTGGATCGAAGAAGTGCCACAGATTGATTTAATACCTTGAGAGAAATGGTGAAAATATAATAGACAGTGCTACACTTGCAATCCAATATGACCTAGCACTAAAATTAAAAACATAATTTTAAGCTTATAGTACAGAAAAGCGGGCTTTCTGATTTTGGGATCCTCCACTAAACCTGTGATTCGATCCTGGTGGTCAGTCAGACCAGATATCTACCTCAGAGTTTTCTTTCTCCTCTGTACTAGGTCGGGTTTGCAGGTCCAGCCCGCCCTTCCAGACCAAAAGCCACGCTCAGGAGCTGGCCACATACAGCTGTTTCCTTAAAGGTTGTTTTGAATACTTTTTTAGTTTCTTCAGACCTTTTTTATGATGTATTATTGTAACCATTAGGGAATGGACAAAATGTTACCATTCATGTTCACAAATTCAGTTTGATCATTTTAAAGGTGCTGCTGCCTATAGATCCCAGAGGGTGATCTCAGATGTTCAGTCCCAACAATGACAACAAAGCGCTTTGATATTTATCTGGTCTGCGCTCCTTTAAACAAACAATGTTTGTTGCTTTGTCTTGGGTCTAGACAAGCTTGCAGCAGCAGCATTCCCCCTCTGTAGTCCAAGAAATATAAAGGGCCACTGTGATCATACTTGAGATTTTCCATGTAATGCCTGAGACTGAGAAGTAATACTGTCTTGTGAGCTTAATGCTGCTAGTGGTGTCTGAACCAAGTGCCATAGAATCTGGGTCAAGAGTTGCAGAGGTTGCATAAAAAAACGCTCATATAAGTAACCACCATGTTGAACAGTCATTAAGTTATAAGAAATATTTCTAATTTATGAAGATTTTTTTTGTACAGACAGCTTGAGGAAATAAGAGATTTTCATAGAGGTATACGAAAGTCTATTGTTTTTTATTTTTATTTCTACTTGTGCCACATAATTGCCAGTGGTAACTATGTACAGTTTAATAAATCTTCCTCTGTTTTTGTTTTGTAGTGTTTGTTAAAGCCAAAGACTTTTTTCAGTAGACCGTTGCCTAAGGTTAATTTTTTTTCAATTCTTTGACACATTTGAATAAAAAATTTAAACTTTTCACCTGTTTCACTGGAGTCTTTTGTGGAAAATAACAATAACCTGGGGCGGATTTTTTTTTGCTGATCCTGCATTGGTTTATCTTTAAAGATGCTGTCTGGAATTAGGACTTTATTTCAACATAACCGAAGTTGTTGCTGGAGCTTGGCTGCAGACTGAGCGGGATGAATTCCAGGCACTATCCCTATCAGGCACTGTCTCTCACCTTCAGTTTATGCTTCACAAGAAATCTGGCTTCATTAGAATTTGGAAATATGCATGCATTCTTAATTCACTGTAAAACAGCTTGAAACTGTATCTGCTAGATAGAAACAACACTAAATATACACAATTCAAAGTTCGCATCTCTGAGTGTGTGATTGTGTCAGCTGAAGTATAACAAGCAACCCATGTTGCCCCTTTATTTGTACAACACAGAAGCAGTAATAATAACAACTATATTTTTTTCAGAATGTATGTTTAACCTATAAGGTGAGGCCTCAGTCATCACTGTTGCATGGTATTGACAACATACATGGCCTGACAGGGTGGGTTAGGGGTATCAGGAGGTATAGTGTAGACTGGATGGGGTTGTCTTGTGCAGGCCTCGCCATGACAGATGGGTCCCCACAGTATCCTGCAGGGTGTTGTGCCACCCTACGGGAGGCCGGCCGCTCCAGACGAGGAGCAAAACTCACACTCCAGCTGCCTGTGCTTGTGCCACCTGCGTCTACTAGCAGTAAAGTTATACCCCTTATTCCTCCCATTTAAAAAAAACAACCTTCCTTCATAAAGGCTCTGTACTTCCTCTTCCTCTGTCCATTACACAGACAACCCAGAAGTCAGTTATGAGCCATGATGATTAAGAATATACAGCCCAAAGACATTTGGTTTCCGTCAAAGTACAGAACTGCAGCCAAACAGGCTATTTAATCTAAAAACCAGGGTCCCCCAATTGGGGAATCCTAGCCGATTCAGAAAATCCTACAAAAAAGGCTTGGTTGTCAGAAAGTTAAGAAGCTGGAACAAGTGTTTTGACCGATAAATTAACTTTAGTTATGAGTCGGTGATCAAAAAGGCTACAGATTAGTCCCAGCTCTTACTGATATACAAAGATAAGGCTCTGATCTGTGCTGAAATTAATAAAATAACTACAGTCATTTCATTCATAAATGATTACTGCTCTTCATATTTTCCAAATAAAGACCATTTGGATATGGACGTTTCAAGATAATTCTGTTTTTGTATTTAGTTTGCTCTCTGAGTTCTATCTAGTACCTTAGTTTTTTTTTTTTTTTTGGTTTGCACTTTGTGGCCCCATGCTTTCCCACTGGGCAATAGATGGCTGATACACATCTAGTTTTTTTTTTTTTTTAGACCTACTGTCAACCATCTAGATTCTGTATATTTTCAGACAGAATTTAGACGTTGCACTTTAACCCATTATTGGATAACTATTTGTTTCAAAGAGCAACTGTGAGTTGCATAACTGATCTCCAATTATTTATCCAAAACAATTATGATCGCCGTTGAACAATATACAGTGTAGTACAGATATAGCCCAGATTTAGACTTGGTCCAAACTTGGTCCAAATTTAGACGTCTAAAAACTTTTTACACCTGTGGTTGCCTGATTTTAGACCAGATGTCAAGGCTATATTTCTGTCTATTAGACCTCTTTTAGACCAAAAAATTCAGTGGGTTGTAATGGTGCTATAGTAAAAACAATGACAAATTTATTGGTAACAGTAGTATTGTAAGTATCACGTGAGATCTTATGGGCAATAAAGACCTATGAAACAAAAAATATTAAATACATAATAAAGGAAGAAATGTAGTTTTGGGAATGTCATACACTTTGGTAAAGACTGTGCCTACAGCACCACCCAGAGGTCGTTGATTGTATGAAAAAATCTGATCCTAAGAGTGTATTATTTACCTTTTTTACAAAACTAATTAAATTATCAGCGTCTTTATCAAGCATTAACCAAAAATCTGCTTCAATCTGTAATTCTACAAAATATATTAACTTTTAAAAATATATATATACTTATTATTACTATCAAATCTGTTCTCAAAACTAGTGTCCAAACTGTCTTGGTTGCCATTTATATGTCCAGGCATTTGACTGAGCAGTGGTGCCCTGCAGTGGAACAATGCAGCTCTATCTCTCCCCGCATGTTTACATTGCTGAGGCTCGACTTCTCTCTGTGGAGCTGAGGCCATGTTTGTGCGCGCTCGTGCTGTGTGTGGGTGGGATTTCACTCACGCTGCTGCGGACACTTGAGTCGAGAAGCAACAGTCAGAAAAGTGGAGCCACATGATTTTTATGTCTCCTCTGACTGTCATGGAGTCGCAGAAGAAAAAACACCATTTACGACCGATGTTTGTTTTTGTTTTCCTGTTGGGCACGCAGCTGCATTTGGTCCTAGCGGGAGGTAAGGAGGACTGTCTGTGACTGTATCGTGATATAGTCAGGTCGTGGGCATAGCTGTGCATGAACGCAGCAGTTGAGATTAGATTTGTGCAGGCCTGTGTCATATTAAGTGTATTAAAACTCTCAATGTTTGTGTTTACGTGTTTTTGGTGTCGAGTGAAGGGCATGTCGGGACATACTGACGACTGGAGGACGCGAATGTCTGAGCCAAACAACTTTCCTGAATGTCGACACTGTTTGTTGTTGCAGTGTAGCAACCTAACTTTTGCACAGGCGTTAAATCACACTCAGTTCGTACACGAATTTGTAACCTTATCAGAAATTATGTGGTTTCCACTGTTGCGAAAGACTTTTAATGTGGTCGAGTTAAATGAAAGTCGTTGTTAAGGCCTCCGGACTGGGTGTACTGCGAATAGGACTCTTTGCTTTGTACCTGAAAGAAGTGCCTGTGGCTACTTTGCAACACAAGCTGCAAGAAAACCCTTCAATTTAAAGCGAAATGGTTTCAAAATGTGCAATATGTTGACGTTTACGTGATTTAAAACGAACCACAAGTCATTTAAAACTGTCTCAAAACAAAAATATCAAACTACGTTTATTGTGTCTGGTGGTCTGACACTACATTACAGGTGCAATAACCGAAAAACCACAAACTCTCGACAAAGAACTGTCTAGATAGAAAAATAAGGTACCACTGACTAATCAGACAAACTGCTCGTATAAAGAGGAAGAGAGGTCACAAGTTAAAACTGATTTCTTTCGACTGTACTGGGTCTATGCTTGTAGTCATAAAGTAACAAAAACTGCAATGTACCATCGTCAATCAAAATGTGGACAGTTTGATCATCTTTACCATTTTTTTGAGCGGTAATGTCAAACTTGGATGGTTTAACCCACTCAAATGAATAGATTTTTCTATTTTTCATTTATGAGGTGCATCAGTCCGTGAAGAGTTTCAGGTTTTGGATCCTTTCTGCAGAAAAAGAAGCAATGTGAATAAGTCTGTGTTCTGTCGAACAATGTGCTGGGCACTTTTCTGCAATTATTTTATATTTAAGAATGAAATAGAACCACTCATCATGCAGATAATCAGCAGATTAATTCAAACGAACTGTCTTTGCAGCTTTAAGAATAAAAGTATATGACACTTAAGCAAAACAACACACAAATGTGCTGTGGTGTCTTATAAATCTTTTTCATACAAACTTTTTAAAAATTTTAACTGTATCATAGGTATTTATATATGCCATGAGTTGTTCACATACAGCAGGTAATTTGCCAGTTCTTTCCATAATACTGTCACATATTTTTTCTCAGACTGTCCTGCAGATGGGCGCACCTGGGTGCCATTTGGAGACAGATGTTACCACTTTGTCCATGGAGATGAAGATAAAGTCAAAATCTACTCTTTTGAAAGTGCAAAAAATCTATGCCAAGGATTCGGTACCAGAGACAACTTATTTCTTAACATTTTCTCCTTCCTTGTGCTTTATTGAATTTAAATGAAATGCTTACAGTGCTTTGTTTCTGTCCAGAACTTTTGACCATCCAGAGTAAAGAGGAGAATGACTTTGTCATTAATTATTGCCCAGAGGTGTGGAAAGGTCTGGTCAACGTGTGGCTGGGAATGTATTATGATACAAGCAGTAAGTACCATGTGACTGGAGAACAGAGGAAACTGGCTTGTCTGAGATAAACTCAGATCCCCTATGGAAATCAAACTGTAAATATGGTCACTTCTATTATGTGGGAAAGGGAAATCATGTTATAATGTGTTGGGTCTGATGGCTGATTGATAGTTTTGACTCTGTACATGATTGTGTTTTACTCGTAATTTAAAAAAAAATAAAAACTAACATAAAAAATTCTGCTCTGGATTTGTTCAATTAAAGGTTTTTGACCCATGATGTCTTGGTCATCGTAAATCTGATGATGAAAGCTCAATGTTTATTTATTTTTTGCTATACAAACTTTTTTTCCACCAGAAATTCATAACTTAAGAGTTGCACTAAATTCACTTCAACACGTGAATGGCAAAACCTTGTTTTTTTTTCACTGTCTGTCAATGGAATGCTAATGCTAACGATGTACATGCTGTGTCTGGTTTCAGGTGAAGACATGAAGTGGTTGGGTGACAGCCCAGTACAGTTTACTAACTGGGAAGACAGCAGTTCTCCATCAGACCTGGTGCCCATGGACACATGTGTGGCTCTGAACAGCAGGACAACAAAATGGGAGAGTGTCAGCTGCTTGGATGATCTGGAGAACGGAGTGATTTGTGAGACGAGTCAGAGTAAGATCAGTGTTTAAATAATTTAAGGCCTGTTAAAATGCGTCTGGAAGATTTTTGTGAACTTGACTTAAAGAACACTGTGTGCCTTACCTAAGCCTGACTGTGTTTGTCTTTCTTTCAGAAGCAGAGGAAGCCAAATCAAGTAGGTCAATCCCTGAGCATTTATGTTCACAGTTTCTTTACATGTTCCTGTGGGGTTATGTGTTTCAAGCATTGAGCTTCCTTACATTGTTACTTGTCCCCCCTCAGAACCCAGCCCCTTGCTGTCCGCCCTGGTCATTCTCAGCGTGGTGGCTATCGTGGGAGTCTCTGCAGTTATTTGGTTCCTGCACCAGAAGCACAATCTTGGCTCCACTATCATCACAGCATTTGAGTACCACCCTCCATTCCGAGTACTGGAAACTGACCAGTCCTGCTTGGTGGAGGCTGAGGAGACTGACAGCGTGCCGTAGAAGATTTCCCACTCTGGGAAAGAGCGAAAGACCCCCTTTACTGAGTGGGTGTTCATGCAAAGATTGGCCCTTTCTATAAAACAGTCAGAGAAGTAGTTTGGGGTTAATGTCATGTTTTCGAATAATCTAGTGTAGTAGGAAGAAACTGACACCAAATATTAGCTTCTCAGAGTCTCTACTGGTGGTGTTATCTGCACTTATGGAGGAATCATCTGTAACTTCATCAAATTGATTCATTTTCAACTGTAGTCTGATCTACATGCACGCTAACTTGATTTAACACAAGGTTATCTTCTGGCATTCTTCTTCATCTCCATAATTTTTCGCATCAGGTTTTCTCCTTTGTATATTAATAGTATTGCACTGTTGCACATGAAAGAGGGAGGGACTACACATGATATTCTGTTGCTTACCTACTTTGCCAATTCTAGCATTGAATTCCTTTAAAGTTGGGAGACATACAAGAGGGAGACAGAGTGATTCTCTATTAAAGGCAGTACTTGATTTTTAATTTCACTCTGACCCAACCAATTTCATGTTTTCAGCGTAACATGTTCCCCAGGCTTTTTCAGAGACTTTTAAGATTCCTCTACAAAATATTGCATATCTGGAAAACATGATAAGTAAAGTGACCTTTTTTGTGTGAAATCAGTGCACTGTCCCTTTAAGCAGTATTCAAAGAAACTGGGATTCTGAATCCCAAGGGCACATGTAAATAGCTTTACTGAAACAGACACTTTGTTAGAGTTTGAGTGATTGTTGTATTTACTCACCACATGTATAGTAAGAATGAAAACCAATCAAAGCCAGTATTCAGTCCAGTGTCATTCCTCATGGAAGAAATCATTTCAAAGTGGCCATTATGAAAATAATCCACAGGATTAGTTTGTTTGTCCAGAACATGAGCATTTCGACTTGATCTTTCCTTGCTGGTCCATGAAATCCAGTCTTGGCCTTACATGTGACATATTTTAAGAGAACATTCATGGTTAAGGTGTTTATAAATCGTCCTTTAACGATTCAAGACAATCTAGATTTGGCTGTTACGTGAATGCAGCAGTACTGTGTGAAATATTCTTCTAAATACTGTTGCTGTTGCTTTTATGCTATGCAATATGTATGTTGCGTAGGATAAAAGTGTTTGTGCAATATGTGAGATTAGTGTTGCAGGATCTAGGTCCTTGTGAGTTTTTCACAATAAACAATGATTGAATGTATCAAGAGCTTGTATTTGCTTTGATTGAACTGAACCATGTCATAAAATTACAGTTAAATAGTTTAGCCAGCACTATGTTGTCTTCAAGATATGGGTTATTCAACTATGCCAAAAATGTACAAGCTAGGGAAAGGAAAGGAAGTCTTTCTCGCCATTCAGTGTGATCTATATAGAACATCTCTGCTAAATATATATATGTCAATCCATAATTGAAGAGAAAAGGATGAATTAGGACACCAAAATTGGGGATAGAGTCTAATTAGTTCTGAGAGGGGATCTAAATCACTGTCACATGTGGAGTGTCACTCCTTCCGAATGTCCAGTGACTCTGTCGACTTCCCAGTGTAGGCCTGAGATAAAAGCTGAACTGAGAGGAGTCAGCAGGAAATCTCTTGTTCCTACTATTCAAGCACATTTATTTTTAGATTGTAAGAAGTCAGTCATCATTTAACACCCACTTTTTAGACCTCTGCACTACATGCCTCTCTGTGCTGGGTACTTGGGAAGTGTTTATCACGAGTTTTAAAAGGATCTGAAGCATTTATCCGCCTGCACTTGTGGGTATAGCAGAATAATAGAGAACCATATCAGCAACAATTATATTTGAGCGTTGCAGGTCATTTCTGGGTTTGGCCACAAGGTGGGACAGTGAATTACAATTCTATCATATCTCCTCCCTGCATGCTAGTGAAGGGGTTTCCCTTCATCAGTCACTGAGGTCCTGAAATGGGAAAAATGAATAATTTGGTACGATCGAATACAGCTGATTTTTGTTGTTTAACAACCTTCAATGACACCTTTGTCAGTTTTAGGCAAGAAAAAGCCTAGAGGTGGCAAATACCTTGAAATATGCTCTTGAAAGTAAATATTGTCAAACGATGTTTCTCCTTGTCTCTTGGTAATAGCAATTAATTATCATGATGACCATGAGGGCCATTAGTGGTGTTATGTTTAATTAAAGAAATCAAACTGTTATTTTGGGTTTAATCAAGATGAATTTAACAAGACTCTCAGATCAAGTCATCTAAATACACACTTGCTTTTACATTCTCTGATTTTAACATGAGTTAACCTGATCAGTAAAAATCAAAACAACTGATCTGAGTCTGGATATGATTCATAGGTCTAACCCTAGCACACACTACTTCCATCATGTACAAAACTTCTTTTTTATATATCTCTTTATATGTTGATTGGACTAGATTTTCTATGTTATGTTATGACTAATATAAAAGGCTAGTTGGTGGTGATGAATGCAACAAAGTGTAAGTCATTCAAGATACAAAACCTGATTTGAGTGATTATTTTTGATATTCTTGACAATCTCTGAAAAAGTACTACTTTTTCTTTTTTTATTTCACATAAAAGTGTAAAAATGTGTGATCTGTGATGTCTCTGGGTAGCTGCAGTTGTCTCACATTGTTAAGGCAGATCAATAATCTTGGCTCAGAATGAATCCTGATTATCAGAGGAGATGGACCCACGTACTGTAGATTTAGCAGCAATGCTTCTTAGAAAGGAAGAAACGGTGGCCTAAGGAATATATATATATATCTTTAATTATAGTTATAATATTCTTGTTTACTGTAAAAGTAATGTGCCGAAAGGTAAATCTTACACCCTTTTCATATACAGATAAAATAAGTCCTCTGTTACAGCCCCCAAAAATTCAACCAATATGTATTGATTCATCATCATAATAAGGCTGTTGTCTCATCAGCTGCTTTACTTGCCTATTTTTCCCTAAATATCAGTAGATGAATATCATTTACATATCTGTACCCCACTACTTTAATTTGTATTTATCTATTTTATTTAACCTTTATTTAACCAGTAAAAACCACATTGAGAAAACAAAACAAAACTCTTTTACAAGTGTGTCTTGGCCAAGACTGGCAGCAGCACCGTTACCAAAGCATATACAAATTTACAGTCATTTGTAATAAAGAAACACCAGGTAAAAAGTCACAACCAAATCATTAGTTGATCTCAAAACATCACACACACAGAAAGAGGTCCACATAAGATGGACATTGATACTCATGAATAAGATATGATATACAGCAGCGTGACAGATGGAATGAAAGTGAGGGCCACGCTTAATCTTGGAAAAACCTGTTAATAATAAAACTAGAAGGAAATAAAATCTACATAAATCTGGGCAGATCCCAGGCTTTATAATGTGGAAGTTGTATAAACATGCATGCCAACTCTGGTCATTGTGTGTTTACAACTCTTTTCTCAATCCCTGTTTTATTTTCTCAGGATTTTTGGTAAAATAAATTATTGTTTGTTAAACTTATCCTTTGTTTGTTTCATGAGAAGGGTGTTTGTGTACAGCTGCGTGAAGCATCTGTTTCCTATGTCCTGGTATAGGTGACAAATAGCGCTGCAAACAAATGCCACTATATACTTGACTTACCTGACATAAGGCACCATGTAGACACAATAATATACTCTATTTTGTGTTTAGACTTAAATCCGCAATGTACCACCTAAAGGGGGGCAGACATGCTGGTGTTGGGTAGCTAAAGAGTACTGGTTTTTCACTCAAAACAGACACATTTTGACCCTAGTTCTGGCTTTTTATAATTAACCTCTCACAACGAACAATCGCAAACACACACTCACACACATCCTCATTAAGGAAAAAGAGGCAATGGAAGAACTGAGTTTTTAGTTCACACACTGTGCCGTTTTTTAAGTCAAATGCATGTGTCTGGCTGGAAGGCTTTCATGTTAAAGGGATCAGAGCATTGTGTGCTAACACGATTAAAATCTGTACAGTTTAATATGTCACCCTAAAAAAAAATCAATGACAGAGAGTCTTGTGCCTTTAGGGTATACTGAGTTTTCTGAGGACTGATAGAAAAATAATTATTAAAAAACAAAAGCAGCATCCTAATTTGTTTTCCATCATTCTCTAGAGAGATCATCTTTGCTGTGTCTTTGGTATCTCATTATACTTTCTAATCAAGACTCTTTAAAAATCCCTTTAAAGGGGACAGACTGTTTGCCCTTCCCCCAGCATGCTGCTGCATTGCAGCCATCGACTGCCACTTATTATGTTACAAATGTCCAAGGTAGGCTGACATTTTGATTGCTCAATGTACAAATAAAAACACAGCTGGAAAAACAGGTTTATGAATGCAATGCTGCTCTGACCTCTTCCATTACTCATCTCTCTAATGAAGATTGTCCGGCACAATTAAAAAGCCAGGTATCCTGTGGTTTGGCTGATGAATTGACTGAATCACTTTTTTCTCCCTCTCTCACCATGTGTATTCATACAGCCGTGTGCTTCACTCAGTCCAGGCAGCCAGGAGCTCCTGAGGGTTGGAGAAAAATCAATGAGCACAAGGGAAGGTGAGCAAGCAAATAAAGCTGTTTCATATCACAGATGCTGATCAAGGACTTTTTTATCCACATCTTTAATTCAAAACAGGCCTTTGTGCTTTAATTACTGTTTCCAATTAGCTCAACTTCATGGGCAGAGGGCAGCAGAAAAAAGGTGCAGTGCCATGAGTTTAAATCCATTCCATCCTCCAGAGCACTGACTGATCTTTTGAAAACAATGCTATTGCAATCACTTGAGACAAATGTATGTACCATTGGTGGGCAATAACCTCCCCCCAAAATTGACTTCTCTCTATCAAATTACCACAAAAAGAAGTCCCAATTAGCAGAGGACTTTACTGCAATAATATTATACTGTTTTTTATTTTATGTGTGTGTGCTTAATGATCATTAAAAGGCTGATGATTGTCCTTCTCTAACTGGAGTCGCTTTACTGGACAAAAGGGGTGTATTATAGGATGCCAATTTAGCATTGACAGTTTTTTAACGAGTTTATTCAACAACAAATTAAATAGAAAGGGGGACAATGCATGAAATTGTTTTTAGCATAAATAATATTAGATTTTGGGATAACTTTTTGAAAGCACATAATAATAATAATAATAATAATAATAATAATAATAATAAATTTTATTTACAACACGCTTTCACAGGTGCTCAAAGACGCCTTACAAAGAAAAAGAAGAAAATAAAACAATTTAAAATACAGAGCATTTTGAGAAATAAAACCAACAATGTACAAGGTTAAAAAAGACACAATATGAGAAGACAATAAAAGAACAGTTCACAGGTTAAAAGCCAATTTAAAAGGTGTGTTTGTAGGAGTGATTTAAAAGTATGGGGGTCTGTATAGTCTCGAATGGGTTTGGAGAGTGAATTCCACAGGGTAGGGGTGGCAGCAGAGAAGGCTCTGTCCCCCCACATGTATTGTGTCTCTCCACAAAGTTACATCTTCATTTTTTACTCATTTCATGTTTTGGTTTTCCTGTTTTTGAAGGTCTTTTCTTTTGGGGGTGAGGGATACTTTGATAAGAACTTTTACATTTTGATTCTGCTTTTGTGTATTTTTAATAACTGTTTGATTTCTAACTTTTTTGGATGATCCTTCTCTTATCTATTCCCTCCCGCCAACCTGCAATCCATATTTTGCTTGTTGAACATGAGTGAACTCATCCAACTCAACTCAATTATCCTTATTGAAGTGTCATCAAATCCTTACAAACCTGCTTTAAGTGTCCTGAGTTTACTTCTAGTTACTAGTGTCTTATGGAAATACTACACATGCCTGCATCCTTTAGTTAACAAATATAAATGAAATGCAGATGCAATGAGCTGATAGTTATTTATTTTGAATAAAAATACTATTCATTAAGGAGGGGGAAAACTACTGGTGACTAGATAACACAGATACAACTGGTGTGTTGAAATTAAAAGCACCTGAAAATGTGCACCTGTTTGTGATGGAGCCAATCCAGCTGCACACTTCTCCTACATGGTTATGGCTGACTGTTCCTGTATTATCATTCAGAGTGTTTAGTATGCACAGCAATTTTGCATTTGGAATTCTTTGCATTAATCTTTGTAGTTTGCACACTTGTCAGGCAGCTTTTTAAAGGACAAAAGTTTGACTCGCAGAAACCCTGAGCTGACGTCACTTCTCTTGAGTTGCTCGTAGTCGTGAAACGGAGGAGAAGAGACTCTGTTCAATCTGCGATTAGAGACCAACACACTCAGTCACACTCCCACCCACCCCGGACTCTATTACCCACTGACCAATTCTTCATTCATCTCTTTCACCGTCCCTTAAACAGCGCTAAACTGGAAAGCCAATTCATACTATTTCTTCCTCTTCGCCAGTTAAAGGGACACACCGAATTTCAACGATAAGGTGAGGTTTATCATCCGTGTTTTTCCTCCGTCCGTGTGTGTAACATTAGCTCGCTTGGTGTCTCACACTAACGTATGTTCAGTTGTGTGTTATCGCACTAATGTGTGTCGCTCGTGCTAACGGCTAAGCTAACCGTCCTCTGCTAAACTGGTAGCATCCTTTTCAGACACTTGCCTCATTGAAACGTTATCAGCTCCGGGAGTTCAACACGACGAAAAAAGCAACTGGAAAAGTTGTTCACAAAGTAGATAATGCTTCTTCAGATGTTTCTTTCAATGAGGTAGTCGAGGACATGAGCGTTATTGTGTTGAAGTTGTAACTTAGTGAGAAAACGGTCGGAGAGTTGAGTAAGTAACGGTTTAAATGTCACCGGTTACTTGGCACGGAGAGGAGAAGAGAGGAGAGGCAGCTCAGTCTTTACCCCACAGCGTGGATATTTTCTTTGTTGCCAAGCTGGTCCACTCTGCTGGTCCACCGTTTGTCCAAAAAAAGATTTTAATGAACAGGTGATGAAATAAACATGTGTCCCATTATTGGTTTTAGCTGTAAGCCCTCATTTTAAGCGCTGTATAACTAGTGTCAGCAGCCTATATTGATGCTTATTGGGTTTCAGTTTACAGCATGTTAAATTACCAGACTCCTTGATTCAGCAGAGGTGAAAGTGTACCATCTTCTTCATCTCTTCTTCTCACATGCAATGATTAGTTATCAGTGTTAAAGCCGGGGGGCAGTCTGCTGCATGTCTCCCCTCTATCTTCTTCAGTGTTTTGTTGCTGCCTCTCAAAAAAGGAAAGCGCAGCTAATGCTGCAGCTGCGGTCTGAGCTGAATTTTACCCTTTGAGATTATGACAATACCCTCCATTTTTCCGCTTTCATATTAACAACAAGGCAATCGCCATCTTGAGGTATTTAAATGAGCTGTGCTCTATGTAAGCGACGTTAATGTACATGTCAAAGTTTTGAAACTTTGCAGAAGGACAAATCTGAATGATGCGTCTTTGTTTTGTGGTGAATCTGAAATTAAAGCAACGTTTTATTCCCAAAATGAGGTTTGAAGTTGTGAGGAGTTTGATTTGACAATTGAGATTTCAAGTCAAATTTGTAATCTTGCATAAAAAAGCCTATTCTGTGTCAAATTTACAGTGTAATCCTGGAGATTAAGTTTTTGAACCCTTTACTGAATCTGTCTGCAAAAGCACAGTATGAAGCCAAAGCAGAAATCAGGGCATATGGAGATTGCCCTGATTTCTCTCATGTACTCTTCATCCTGTGCATACATTATCTTTATTGTAAGAAACCCTCTTGACATGTAATCTGTCTTTCATTTTACAGAGACACACACAAAGTTGTGCTGTGTTTTTAAGTGCCTGGCCAAGGGCAAATCTGCTTTTAGAGGCTGATGCACTATTGAAATGAAACATTTCAGGGTGTTTCAATGTCCCCACTTTTGTTTGTGGAAAAATCCATAAAAGATGAGAACCTTTAGCATAAAAATTAACTCATATCAAACTTGGTCATGATGGCATCAGTCACAGTGTGTTCCATTAAGTTATGTGCACAGTTTGGTTTATTGCAACCAGTGGTGTGAACGTGTCAATTTATTGTCTGTCCTCTTTCGTTTGCTATCATAAGTGACAGAAAGAAAATAGCATGTACTCTTTGCACACACTGCTTCAAGTGAAAAGGCAGTAAACTGGTTAAGTCCATCATTCAAATGGCTTCAGTAGCCAAGGCAGTGCGATAAATCAGATCACAGCCTTGATGTGTTATGCATGCATCCAGTAACTGCCAATGAATCAAAACACAGGTAGAAGGTCACTAAATTTGCCTCATATTTATTCAGAGCACATGTCCTTGAAAACCTCTGCAGAGAGAACAATGTTGAAGTGCTGTGTACTGGGATTCTGATAATTTATGTTAATATTTTAACATTGAGAAAGAGGAGAGTCAGCAGCTTGGCATTTGAATGTTAAAAATATTGAAGGGTTTTGTTCTGCAGGCTCCAAATGCAAATGTAGGACAGGGTTTGTAAATGATTCGAAAGGGCACTATTACGTGTAAGCAGCCTTTACATTCACATAAAAAATTAAAAACAATAATACCAAACAATCATGAGCATTAAAATGTTATTCTAAATTCTAGATCTTTAATGCAGCAGCATATCCAAATCACAATTTCTTATCATTTTTAGATTTTTCTGCCTGAGCTCGAGGCCTGTGGCAGTGTAAATCCAGGTGTCTCATATCTGATCTATTTCCTCACCGTAACACCTTTTACCCTTTGTCTTTTGGAAGATCAAAGCTAAACAGGCAGGACTGCAAATAATTGTATTTTCACCTATTTTCACCCACTCTCTTTCACTCTTACCCTTTCCACGAGTTTGCACTCATTAATCAAAGGTGCCGCTCTCCCGCTGAGGGCTGAGCAGGTTCATCAATTTGGCAGACGGCTTGCTGTAAGGAACGGTGCAGAGGCTCTTAACACACAAGCATAAATAAATCTACAGTCTTTATATGCAAGGCCTGAAGGTTAATACTGTATAATGCAATGTACCCTCTTTGTCTGTTGTGATTGATGTTTTAAAACATGTAAGGCTTGACGGGAGTCCCTTTTTGTAGGTCAGTGTTGACACTTTATGATTGGGTGAGCTCGAGGGGGGCAGTGGCACGAGGGAGGTGGATTATTAGGAATATGTCAGAGAGATTACTCTTTTTCACTCATCTTTCTGGTCTATTTTCTCTCTCCACCCTGGAGATGCTTGTCGCAGTGCTTTATTTGAACCAATGATGCTTTAGAGATTGAAGTTCCCCTGCTGTGTTGATGGAGCTGATGTTAAAAACGCTCGTAGTCTGCTCTACTTTTGAGGTTGTTTAGTATTTATTTGCGTCCTGTGCTGCAGGATATGCAGCTTGGCTGAGAAAGAATAAATTTACTCTGATTAAGACCAACCTTTTTTCCATTTTCTTTTCTCAACTACTGTATAGCTCTATTTAAACAAAGACCAACCTCAGCATCCCCCTTTTTATTGATCCACATGCATTTAAAATCTGGTCACTGCTGCCACAAAACACTTCCCATTGTTATTGTCGTATGCAGCTGCCGCAGCTACAGTTTTCAATATCACACCTTTCATCAGCGCTGCCTGACTTATCAGAACAAGAAAGTTATAGAATCAGCAAAGACAAAAATCTAGAGAATCTTATAGATTACATACTGTGTAGTATAGGACAGGCTGTGCATGTTCCTTTGTAAGCTATGAGGGATTTGCAACGTTGTCCTTGACCTATAAAACATTTGCTGAAGAAACAACAAAATTACAGATCCACTTTTTATATACACACAACTTTGAAGAAACTTTTTTTTTTCTGTGGAGTGCCTTTAAAAAGTTTTAGCTGAGTGGCCCGAATGAGTCAGTAGTTCCTTGAATGCTGTCTGTAACCATCTGCTTCCTGTTTTATCTTTTAATTTAACATATCTGAAAAATCTTGGTAACGGCCCCCAATAACCAAATCATAAAACCCAAATGAAAATGCTTTATATTGACTGATTTTGTGGGGGATTGTACTGATTATGCTACTTATGCAGACAATAACAAATATTAAAGTTCACCCTGACCTCTCTAGTTAGATGAAACACTTAAACCTTGCAATACAGGGAGTATGAAGCATGAAAAAGAGCCCCGTTTCTGGTACTGTTTTGGAACATGTTAGTTTATTGCTCATTAAGCTGTTAGTGTTTTGAAGCTTTTTTGCCATTCTGTGTCGTCTGAACAATGATTTGGATCCATACAAGCACAGCTGAGTAACATGAGGACACTCAGTCTTGTAAAGTTCAAAAACATGTTGCAACATCCAATTATTAGGAACTGGAGGGTGACCTTTTCCCTGCTGATGTACATTCATGAGTTGGTGACAGTAATCTCTTTTGCACCAAGAGTCACAGCATAAAAAGGTGTAGATGGAAAGATGACATATAACAAGTGTTGCTATTGATCTGAGAGTGTGAATCCATTGTTGTTAATGTTTTAAAAGATCTTATGTTTACTGTTCATATTTACACCACGATTTAGGAACTGTAGAAAGGGAGTTTTTTCCATTATTTTTACTTTTAATGTCTAAAAAAAAGGATTATTTTTTCCTGGTATGCTTGATTGATGTGAAATCAATGACCCCCTGCTTGATAGATGTTTGATAAATGGCTGGGTCAGAATGAAATGTTTAACAGCTGTCCAAATATATTGTCCTTGAATTGTACCAATATGGATTAACTTCATTAAAAGTCAAATATAGTTAAAGATGGTGAATTTTAGACCAAATACCCTCAGCAGAAGTAATAGCCTACTTTGTCATAACTAAATTTGTACATTTCAAACAAAAAGTTAGAAATAGAAATAAAGAAACAGCTTTCAGGGATGGCAGTTGGTCAAGCAGTTTAAGCATGTACCCCAGTTACAGAGGATCTTTGTTGCTGGGTCATCCCGATGACCCTTTGCTCCATGTCACTCCCTATTTGCTGCAGTTTAAATTTCTCAACAGAGCAAACTGGAACCAGAAGGTAGAATGGCTCCTGTTTTTCTTCTTTCTTTCTGTTCTTAATCAAGGAGGTTTCTTCGAAGTATAAGCTACATCATAAATCAAGTCAAGCATTGTTGAGCTAAAAAGCAGTGCTTTCCTACCCAGCATGTGTACATTTTACTTACTGGAGGGTGGCCTAGGTATAATAGTCATTAATGTTCCACACCGTGTTAATGCAAACAGTTGAAGCCGAAGCCTGCCATCAGATTAATTGGTGCTAATGTAGTGAGTGAAAGTACTTAGCAGATTTATTTTTGACTCAGGAGAGGAATACTGCAAGCACATGAAGAACAGCAGATAAAAACTGTAAGTTAAAGCTAAAAATCTATATAATATTTTTCTGCCATAGTGAATGGTCATATCCCATGGCAGAAATTCTCTTATATCATGCAGACCTGGTATGCACATCAAAATATATATATGGTGTAGATATTTTTTCATATCAAAGATCACAATGACAGTTTTCTAAGTACTGTGCAGTCCTACTGAACTGTAATGGCCAAAGACTCAGATGCTTTTGAAATTTTTGTGGTTACATTCCTTTAGATGTAAAAACCTGCAGGGAGTGTTCATTGTGTTTATGTCTTTCTTTGTCCATCATGTCTCCTCCTAGCATACAGTTGGTTCTGCTGTCTGCAACCTGGTCACAGTCAGGTGACTAAATGAGTTGTATGTTCAGAGCAAATGTCTTACCTAGAAAAACAGAGCACCTGTTTACTAATCAGTAAATAAAAACCATGATTTTTGTCTTATAAGACTGGAGCTTATCCTTAAATTGGCTTGCAGCCATTTTCAGGCAATGAGGATAACACAACAGCTGATAGAATTCAAAAAGCTCCTCGCAAAAAGTCTCCCCAAACATAAGGACACCAGCCCTTTTCCTTTAGCAGTCGTATAATGTGAAAAAAAAAAAAAGTAATGAGACATAAGGTGATCAGACAATGTGAACATAAAAAAAAGAGTTGATTAAATATTTTTTTTCCTGTATAATATTTAATTTTAACTAATAACTTAGAAGTCAAGAACCCCGAACAGCTAGTTATAGATACACTGCAGTGGTAAGGCTTGAATGGGATCAGACTTACAGTACAGAGCATGTCTCCAATAATATAAGGCTGGAGTCACACTCCAGACTTCATGATTTAAACTGATGTATGAAGGTTTTGGACTGATTGGAGCTGACCCATATTCTGTTTTATTTACAATGATAAATGGTGATGTATATTTAGTATATATGGTTTGGCAGGCCAGCATTGATTGTGGTTATTAGAATAAATGTTAAGTCGAATGTTAAAATGCAAAGGACTGCTTATTTCAAAATACGAACAATTGGGTTGAACTGCATTTCTCAAGGTCATTTGGTTTATCCAAGGTCAAAATATCAGCCATATAGCAGCTACTGTGTAGTAGACTATAGTCCTGTTTGTGCTGTTGTCGTGTCCCTTTTGCTGTCTTTAGTTGTCTGAAGTTTGATTTGGATATTCATTCCCCACAGGTCCGTCCACATTACCATTTTTATTTCATTTTTATGGAACTTTCAAATAAGATGCTGAACGAGTGAATCGATACATCCCAGCAATAAACCTGACTGTCTTTGTCTTATGTTTCAGGTCCAGGATAGGGATGTCACAGAGCTGAGGAGGACACTCTCCGACAGTAAGTGTTTGGTCCCATCAGCTACCAATCATCCACCTCTGCCTTGATGCTCTCCGAAATGCCTTTTTTTCGGTTTTTGCAGGGGAAAAGCAGGTTTTCTTTGTTAAATTGGAGAGAGTATCTAATGAATGGTAATACTGGATTTAGAAGCCCACCTCATTTTAAAGTATTATTTGGATATAGGATTAAAATTTTCCAATTAGCTTAAGATTGAACAAAGTCCCCCTTTATGAAATTAGTTTGTGCTGCATTACACTTTGCTCTCATTTTTTGTGCATCTAATTAAATCCCGTCTTTCTTAGAATAAGGCTTCAGAACATATTTAAATCTCTTGGGGAAGGATGGCAAACTTTTTTGACTATGGGTTATATTAAGACAAATTACTTTGGGGTTGGAGCTATTGTTTGGCTTTGTTTTACACTTTAATTTGGGCTACTCTGCACATACACATCCTGTCTGCTATTAAAATGAAACTGTTGCCTCAAGACTGATTTGATGATTGGTATATCAAATTAGGTTCCCTTTAGCCTGAGTTCCACTCTTTCAGAAAGTGTGACATGTGCTCTGTAGTTGGATTGCAAAACTTTCTGCTAAATTACGAGCTTATTATCAGCCGTCTTGCGAGTTCGAACTGACTTGTGAGTTTCTCTGTTGTGGATAGGTGAAAAATGATAGAATTTATAGATTCAAGGCAGTGAACATAAGAGGGCAGTTCCACCTCTGGCTTGGCAAACTGCAAGAAATGAAATACCAATGTTGATAAAAATGGTATAAGAGATAGAAGCCTGAAGTAACCAGGAGACTCATCAGTTAAAATTAACAATAAGCTTACTGAGTATGGTAAAGTTTTTTTTTAATGACTGATTTTGAGAGGGTTTCATGTTGAAAAGCACAAAATCAGTAGGAGATTGCAGACTGAAGCAGTTGCAAGTTTTAACACTGTGTTTTTGAGACTTTTCAGCAGAAAGGACATCAGAAGGGCTGCCAGCTGAGATGCCATTAATGTTAACTCAGCTTTTTTTTAAGGTGTTCAGTTAAGTTGTGGCAAGGATTTGTTCCCCTCATAAGGGTTTCACTGGAAGTATATTTCCTCTTTTATTTTATGTGGCTAGATAAAACCAAATCAGCGTAAATGTTCATGCCAAGCTCTTGGATCTCACACTAAATCAATGCTGTTAATGTTCAGTTAGTAATGCTAATGTTGATGAAAGAATCTGTGCTCATAGCTACAGGGTTAATCCAGCTAAAGCTTTGTCCTTCAATTCAGAATTCCTGCCTGAAAGTTAAGTGAAAGAGTGAACAGGACTGCTCACTAAACCTTTTATGGAAGCAAAAAAGTGAAGATGTACCATAAAATTTATGATATGTACATTGCCACCCTCTGATCTGGAGAGAAAGTCTCCCACTGTTTATGTGAGCGACCCTGGAAAGAGACAGGTCATCTCCAGCACCGCAGACAATCAGAGTTGAAATGGCAATGGCAGAATGAGCCTCGCCACAGGAAACCCATCATCTCCAAACCAGAACCCCCTCTCTCTCTCTCTTTCATAGCCATGTGAGTAGAAGCGCTAAAGGATTTATTATAGCAGTTACAAGTAACCTTCAGTTTACCTGCAGGTACCAACAGTAAGTTTTACAAACAGTGGCCAAGTTGGCAGGTTATTGCCAGCTAATGTTTTTGTTTGCCAGAAGCTGACACTGTGGTTTCCATGCTGTAGTGTCACAGACCTGATATGACACCAAACAAGGCAGTCAAAAACAGATTACACATTGTCCCTTACACATACAAATATGCTTTGTTATACAGTGTACAAGAAGCATTAAATCAGTTCCAAATGCTTTCCTCCTGTAACTTAAGGTCCTTTCACACCGGGACCGTTTTTGTCGTGCGATTATTTTGGACGTCAATATTTTTTTCGAACCCATGTCCTGGCAATACAAGCGTTCACATCAGCGACATTTTCCTGTTCTGCGATATTGCAGCATTTATTTTTTTGGGATTATGGTCAATTTTTCAAAATTTTCACATACTGTGTGTCCACTTCTGACCAATCAGATTGCGTGTTGTTGCAACGTCAGATTCACCGGCATCTCCAACATGGTCGATCGGCTGATTGTTTATGATCGTGTACACAAATAATACAAAGATAACGACCTGAAGGACAACTTGTGGAGGGTCATATCATCGGATTTCTGATATGACGATGTTTTGTGTGCTTTAGAAGTTTGCTTAACATCTTTGTTTTAACTTTCATCTGTGCTAACATAAGCTAACGGTTGTTACCATAGTGTAATGTGCTTATCTGGTACTGGCCCCAACTAAGTATGCTATTTTGACAGAAAGCCATTTCAACACTAGTGTCTAATCCTCTGCCTCTATAAACTTGGAGCAAATTGTTTCAGCAGAACTTCAAATTGTCCAATGGACATCTGAAAATAGGTTCTGAAGTGACCGTGGTACAGTTTCAGCTCCTGAACCAAGCAGCGAAACTCACCAAGTTCTCTTCTTTTTTGTAACATTGGATGTACCCATGTGCTACATTTCTTTTTCTTTTGAGAAAGCAAAAGAAGTACCAATTCGCCATCACTTGAAGTTGAAGTAGACTCCATTTTTGTCCCCTCGCTTCTACCCGGGACGCTGTAGGTTGTTGAGGGGAGGTCCCGCCCTCTATTGCCTTTGATTGGCTATAAGTGCTGACCATTTGGCTTGGGCGTGTGATGACGTTTCCAGCTTTTCTAGCCAATCAGAGGTGAAGGACACAGGACTTTCCCCCGGAAAAGTCTTCCCTGCGATGTGTCTTTCCCCCGGAAAGTCGCAAAATCGCATCGGGCTTGATGTGTATAGTCAGGCGCGTCAAAATTCGCCTCTGAATATTTCGGGATTTTGTGTGCTATATTCCTGCCGGCCCCGGTGTGTAAGGACCTTAAATCGAGTTTGACAAAAGGTTGGCAAAAAAATCTGGACAAAACTTTTGCTGCAATCCTCAAGCCTGTATCTGTCAACTAGATATGAATAAGAGAAAAGGGAATATAATAGAATTAACAAAAAAAGAGAGGAGAGGTGGAAAGAGGAATGCATTAAGGATTAGAAAATTAGTAGGATGATATAATTCCAACAATTAATTGCTGTGTGACTTTTAAAATATAAGGTTCTTTAAGTTTCCTCTGAATTAAAATGAACATGTACACAGCATCCTAGACGGTCTTTAATCAGGAGTAAGTAATGTCCGTCACTTCAGTGTACGTCATCATGTGCCTGCAGCTGCTTTTTAGTCAAAGCCAGGCTGGCATTCATCTCAATACCACTTCAGCACAATGGAGATCCCGAGCACACAAAGCGCATGTCTGGCTCCAGACAAAGCAGACATGCTTGTTTTCTGCAGAATTGTTGAGGGAGACAAAATGAAGCCGCAAAGTTTTCTTCACACCACTCATTGGAAATTCCATTGTAACACACTGATATGGTCATTGAGTCAGATTCTACCCAACATTTCAAGTCTAGTCAAATATTGAAATTAGTTTTGCAATCCAGCTAAATAGTTTTTGACATAGTTTACAGAGTTTTGTACTGTTAGGCTGTTAAGTTTTGTGTCCACTTCTAACCACATTATCTAGTAAAGCTGTCTAAACTAGTGCTATTTAAATGGGTAATACGATCTCCCAAACAGATCCCATTCTTGGATAAGGAGGATAAAAGCTCCATGGACCAGTTAGTGTTATGTTTTATACACACCATCATTTTCTTTGTTCTGTACATAGTTTACAAAGAAGGATGTGGAGTTTTGACAGTTTTCCGCCCCTCCTGTTTCAAAATATTTATGGGCTTTGGTTAATGGTGTAGCTTTACAGAACAGGCCATATTTTGTGACTCTGCCGACGGATAGCTTTGTCTGTATAATATGATGTTATAGTACGTACAGTATGAGAGCCCACTTGTCTTTGTGCTCGACACATTTGCCTCCCCGGAGGAAACTCAAAAACATGCAGAGACGGGAAAGTAAAATGATGAAAGAGCTCTGCCAAAGGTATATCAAAGACTTGGAGGATGATGCAACAGCAAGATGTGTTAGATTTAAAGAGTCCGCATTGACATGAGCTGTTATTGGAGGTTTGATGAGTATGGAGACATGTTTGACTTTAAAGAACCATGGCGAGGCATATGTGCATGATGGGTTTCTGTACAATACTAACCCAGAACCACTGCCTTATAAAGTTAATGATACTTACATCCTGCATATTATCCAAAAACTCTTAATAATGAGCAATTCTTCTTGTTCTCTACGTACATGTATGATGGACAGTACAAAGTAGCGTTGAAAGTAAATGAAGGATTAAAGATGCTTCACATACTTGGGCTGGAACGATATGTTTTTTTTCTGATTCGATTCTTTGCGATTATTTCTACGCTGATTTGATTTAGATTGCGATTCTACAATATTGTCGATTTTCTCGATTTTTAGTCTGCATTATTAGCACCAGTGAAACAGTTGAATGATTGTGATCATCTACCGACTATTCCAGGAACCATATTTCCCCTAAAAAATGCACATCACATGTAAGTCAGTTTTCAAGATTAAAGGTCCTTACACACCGGGACCAACACAAATATCCATTGCAAATTTACGAAATGTTTTGAGGCGAATTTTGATGCGCCTGACAATACACATTAAGCCTAAACTATAATCCATAAACATAAGGTAGCAACCGAGACCTAACGATGCTGTGACAGCAACACGATTGAGTTTGAGACAGTGAAAATACATATGGTATGTTGTATCTGAACAGGTTAGCTTACGAGCTAAAGTTACTTTTCACAGATGAAAGTTAAAACAAAGACGTTTAGCAAACTGTTAAAGCACACAAACTATCACCATATGAGAAATCCCACACTATGACTCTCCACAAGTTGTCCTTCAAGTCGTTATCTTTGTAATGTTTGTGTCTTTTATCAAAAAAAAAAAAACGAAAAAATAAATGCCACAATATCACAGGACAGGAAAAACTGGTCGCTGATGTGAACGCTTGTATTGACAGGATATGGTTTGAAAAAAAAAAATTGACGTCCATATAATCGCACGGAAATAAAACAGTTCCGGTGTGAAAGGACCTTTATTTTTAGATTTCAAAAAAAAAAGAAAAAAAAATTTTTTTGAAAAAAAAAAAAAAAATTGAACAAAAAAAAAAAAAAAAGAGAAATTTGATAAAAAAAAATTTATCTAAAAGTTGTAAAACAAAAATTGCGATACTTATGTGAATCGATTTTTTTCTCCCACCCCTATTACATACTATGTGATTTATGATTTATGGCACATAAAAACAACATGAATGAAATAGATAAGGATCATTCTGCAGATTTTTCACTGTGTTCATCATTGTTTTTAAGCAATTTATTGTCACTTCACTCAAGTTTTTAGAATTAGATCCACGTAAGTGTTTTTGATGGTGATTGTTCTCTCGTCTCATCAGCTTTACCTGCAATACCTTGAGTAAGTCTTGTTATAGAAGCAAAGGAGAACCACATCAAATGGCTAATGTCAAAAGTCACATATGGCAGCTTACAAATTGAAAAATCACATTATCAAGGTTTGTTTTCAGCTGATTATTTGCAATAAGAATCACCTGAAGGGCTGAGTTGTATTGCTTACTCCAGTATTTTTTGGATTGGTTGGAGGTTAACATGTTCATGTTTGTTTAGATACCTCTCCTGTATCTACAAAATGTTTTAATTTCAGAATTAAGCATTGAATTGAGTCTTTTCTGTTGGAGAAGACCGAAGACACTGCATTTACTCCAAAATGAATGTTGTCAGTTAAGTGGTAGTTTTCAGACTGTGTGCCTTTCCTCTGGGGTCAGAGGTCAAGCAGGTCTGGCCTTTGGGAGGACACTGATATGATCTGCTGAGGAGCTGAATGGAAGACTGTATGCATGTAAGAGTGTTTTTGAGGTGTGCAGATGGCATCAAAGAAAACTGAGTCTTCTTTGGTGTTCATGGCCAGCTGCCTGCTGCTCCTTCTTTACACTAAGTCTCCATTTGATGACAGAGGCTCGTTTCTGAGCTCCACAGCAACATTGTGCCTCGAAAATCCAGATCTTGCAGTTTGCTTTGTAATACTTGCCATTTTTCACAGACTTGATTTTGTTGCTGATTATTTTTTAGAATAAAAAAGAAATCCTAAAGGCTTCCAGCTGCTAGATCTCTAAAAAGGAAAAAGCCCCAAAATATTGTAAATGCTGATAAAAATGCTTACGGCTCCAGAACAGCACAAATGCCACTTAACTGGATGAGAGTTTTGTTGGCAGAGAGGATCTGTGGTGTCAGCGCTCAGACGGGCGTGGAGGTGACACCAAGGTGAACGCTGCGTTGTAGAATGGTTGGAAATCATTGATATTCTGACTCGGAGGCTGCAAATGGCTCGGTGGCAGATGGAGTCTTTGTCAGGGAAGAAAAATGGCAGCTCGGGAGCATCAACGCCATTTTCCCTATCAGCTCTGCTGGCGGGCGGTGACCTTCTGCCGCTCACAGACATCCCCCAGCACATGATCAATTATCTCTCTTTCATTGTTTACTAAGCTGGTGGAAAAGGATTCAAATGTCAGTTTTTCACAGAGGGATTGCGTGTTATCAAGGACCTAGTAGTTGTTGGAGTGCAATAAAAAGATGCAGTCAAAATGCTTCCCCTTTAAAGCACAGTAAAAATGAAGTGTGAAAGAATCGGCAGCTTTATGTTTGAGTTTTTGTAATTGATTTGATATAGATGCATCGTCTTTACATCAGCGTCTTTGGGGGAAGTGTAGGGAGGATACTGCAAGACTCCAATTTGCAAGTGGTTTTCATTAACATTGTTTGACTCCACAAACATTTAGAGAAGGTGAGAATGTTTATGCAAATATTATCAATTTGGTAATGGCTTGTCTCATTACACAGATAACACAGGCACAGAGAATAAAACTGTAGTTATTATTTCTAGCTGTAAACAAATCTCTGTCGCAGTAAAACGTTAAATGAACTCGAGGAAAAATGAAGCAAATTAACCAAAAATGCAGAAAGCAAATGACAGTGAGACCGCGGTTTAATATGTATGCATTTCAGCTTGGTGGTTGATTTCATTAACAGATCTCATTGTTATGCATTGACTGTCCTCCTGCAGAAAAATTATATTATATTCATGTAGTTTAAATATTCAGTGGGGAAGCATTTGGATTTGAATGGCACCCTCCAAAAGTGAAGTGCTGTCTGTTTTTCTCGATTATTCATTGTAATGAAATCCCAACATCCATTAGATGTGTTTATTTTGTTGTTTATTTTTATTTCTCCTCTTTAAATCAGTTTCCCTTCTTTTCAGCTTGATTACAAAGTTCTGTTTTAATTTTTTTGGTTACTGTCTGATTGTACTCTTATTTCAAGGGTTAGCTAGGCATCTAGCTATGCAAGGATATTTTCCTCACTTTAATACGTGCAGCAAAAGCCCAAATTTAATTGTTAAATGCTTACAAACGATCCCTTCCTTTTAACACGATAAACCCTTTTCTATGAAGCTACCTGTACCAGCCAGTTGTTTTTCTGTCTGTTAGGAGGATGTTATTAGGTTGCCATGCACTTTTCTCCTCTCTGTCAGGCCTGGCTGCACACAGCAGCTTTCAGAGGACGGTGCATTTTCAGTTTTTCCAACAGGAGCTGTGTGAAGAATTTAACATCAGTAAGAGTCTGTTTGTTCTGGGTGCGCTGTTTCACCCCGCCCTCATACATCTGCCCTGCAGTGACAATACCAGGATGAAAAAAAAATTTATGCTGGTCATTGGATTTTACTGATGGTAACTTAAAAGGAATGTACTGTATGAATAAGCTTCGACCAAACACAGGGCTGTAAACAACTTCTACTAAGTAAAACTGAACAGGTCAATCAATTAAGTCCCTTAAGGTCCTCACACACCAGGGCCGACGTGAATATAGAACGCGAAATTACGAAATATTCAGAGGCGAATTTTGACGCGCCTGACTATACATATCAAGCCTGATGCAATTTTGCGACTTTCTGGGGGGAAAAGATGCATCCCGGGGAAGACTTTTCCCAGGGACAGTCCCGCCTCCTTCGCCTCTGATTGGCTAGGAAAGCTGGAAATGTCATCACATGCTCAAGCCAAATGGTCAGCACTTATAGCCAATCAGAGGCGATAAGATAAGCACATAAAACTATGGTAACAACCGTTAGCTTATGTTAGCACAGATGAAAGTTAGAACGTAAACAATCAGCTAGTCGGCCATGTTGAATACCGGTGAATCAGACGTCACAACAACATACAGTCTGATTGGTCAGTATGCAAAACTTTAGAAAAATCGACCATGATCCAAAAAAATAAATGCCGCAATACCACAGGACAGGAAAATGTCGTTGATGTGATTGCAAGTATTGACAGGTTATGGTTTAAAAAAAAAAATACTGACTTCCGAAATAATCGCACGAAAAACGGTCCCGGTGTGAAAGGACTTAGTTTATCTTAACAGTATAAAATGTTTGAACAAGATTAAAAAATAAGCAGCAAAAATGCTTTCTTCCTCTAAAGTAAGCTTACATGGTTGTCATCTGCAACAAGTTAATTGTGTTAATTATCTAACCACCAAACCATCAGTGTCACAAATTAATACTGAGCAGAGTATGAGTTCTAAAAAAGATCTATAAGAACTATAAAACTAATAAAGTATATAATATATATATATATATATATATATATATACTCTTAAAGCAACTACTTTTGGAATATATATGATTGAAAAAATTTTAAGTGTCAAATAATGAGCAGTGAATGATGAAAATATAAAGTAAATCCAAAAGAAAACTGATGTGGGCGTTGATCTAAACAAAATAAACTATTTTAAACTAAATATCAAGATTCATTTAAATTCATAATATGAATTCCATCAACAGATTTTCTCACATTTTGACATATTCTAACACATGGACTACTATTTTATGATTTTGTCACACCTAAATGAATTATTAGATGCTAGTTTAAATTGTTGTCAAACTTGTAGTCATTTTGTTAAGGGGACTTTTGTACCACCCCTTTCGGTATCTTTTTCCTGGTTATAATTTTACCTTAATATTGGCATATATAATATTGGCAAATATTGGCATTCTAGTTAAGTTTTGCTGAATGTAAAAGCACTTTATAAACTCTTTATTTAAAGGTGTCACTTTTGACATTGTATGGCTGCTACCTTGGCCAGGTCTCTCTTGTAAAAGAGATTTCTAATCTCAGTGGGACTTCCTGGTTAAATAAAGGTTAAATTTATTTAAAAAATGGACTGTGTTTATATTAAGTTAGTATTTGCTAGTAGAACAACCCTCCCAGCCATGTAGTGGCAATAATTAAATCTTGTGCAGTAGTATTTCACATTTATAAATACAGTTTTTACTGTTGGTAGTTTGAGCAGTCAGTGGTGTTCAGTAGCATACAGTTATATCTAAGCTGATACTGAAGCTATATAATACAGTGTCTGATAAAGTGTGAGCAGGTGATGGAAATGTTCATTTTGCAGCAAAGAGACGGCTATTTATGAAGATGGCTCAGAGGCAGACAGGAAATTAGTTATTTTCTCTCACATTCATCAAAATAAAAATAGTCAGATGAGGATCCCAAGTGGCTCTACCCCGTCTACTGAATCCTCAGCAGCATGCACTGTGAGCATAAAATTAACCCTTGAATGGATTACAGGTGTTTTTAAACACTATTGTGGTCTGGTAACTCATTTTGTTAGAATGGCAACCACATCTAAAGGCCAGCAGAGTGCTTTTGGAGTTTGCAAATCAGCACAGACCCATGGATGAAACACTTTGAAACCATCCCGTAACAACAGTTAATCTAAAAGTCAAAGTACACATCATAGCATTCATTTGATCCCTGAGTCAAGATGTGAAGACCTCATTTTCACAGAGTATGAACTTAAAAACGTTTTTGAAATGCAAAATAATGGAATTTTTGGTATGTGATCAAGTAAGCAATTCACTGCAACTTAAAAAGTAGTCATTTGACAGCCCTATGTAAGACAAAACACTTTGAGTTCAGCCATTGTAAAATGCTGGTGATTAAAAATTAGGGGTGCCTGTAATTGCTTGTCATTGCTGATATTTGTAATTGCCCAGATAATAGCGCTGTGCACTGTGCACAAAAATAACTAGGTTAGACAAATTAACAAGCTGTTGATTTGGCTTATTTCATTGAACCAAGTACCGCTAATGTTGTTGTAAGACCCACTTGTTCAGCATCTCCTTCATAGCCTGTTTTATATGTTCTGTCGTATTAGACCCACATGAAATACAGCACGCCTGAACTCTCAAGTGGAGGAATCAATCCTTTCTGAAGTGCAGCTCAACAACGTCATGGGACCAACGTCAGAGCTCCAAGTGTCCTTGTTGAACTCCTATCAGTCGCTCCGTGTTTTAAATCACCTTGTATGCTGTCACAAACTTTGTTGTATAGCTCAAGTAAGGCAGAGTGTGAAATGTAGCATCAGGACAGCATTACAAACATGGATCTATGAGACAGCAAAAACCTTCATCCTTTACTTTGGAGAAGGGTGGGTCGTCGAGAGTGATAATACAGATTTTCACAGCTTACAGTCTTGAAATGGTCTCTAGACTATTTCATGTTTCTATAAGAATTTGTGTCGGTAGCAGAGATGTACCTATCTGTATTGCAAGACTGATGCATAAATCCGGCCATTAATAATTGTGCTTTCCTTCTGACAGCCTGGCGATATATAGATGTAAAGGCATGGTACCAAATTACATTGGCAAGATATCTGATAATCTCCCTTTATCTTTACCATTGACCTTCATTCAGGGCGTTGAGTGTATGCACAGGTGTTTGTTTGAATGTAACCAGCATCGTCTGCTCTAATAAAGCAGTGGACATATGGACACTGTGTGACTAATGCTTTGGAAGGGACACTCGGGATCTGTTTTATTGCTTCATTTGGCACACTGCAGTCCCACTTCCCATTATGGTTGCCATGTGATTTATGTTGTACTCTTTGGAGGATGAGAGAGAAGCACTTGGAGCAGAAAAGCATTGATAGCAATGTTTACCTTGATCCTGCCTGCCTTTTATTTCATCTTAGACATTGAGGATAGAGAGAAACGGGTTAAAAGCCCTGCTTGGCCACATGTTTTCTTGTTTAATAACGCTGTTTCTTTTGTCATCCAAAGCATGGGGATATGTTTTAAATTGCATTATCCAACCTCTCAGATTAAGCAAACCTTTGGCTATTTATTGACACTTTTCATAAAACACAGAAAAAATAACCTCATCAGACTTGACAGTAGAATCTTTTAGCTGCAGAAAAAAGCACAACTTCTTGTAGATCATCAGAAAAAAATCAATCATATGACTGCCTTACAGCTGTTTTTCTAACAAGCAAATTAGCAAAAATTATTACCAGGTTTTCTTTGCAGTCACTTGAAAAGCTGTGTTTCCTTTCTACATAAGCAGAATGGCAGATAACCTTTGAGTTCACACCCAGCACTCATATTCAATTTGTACCTTTTACTCCTGACTGACAATTGCGTCTAATAAATATTCAAGTTCTTTTCTTCTGGGAACATGCAGATGCGCACTTTTGTCACATTCCAGTAACACTGAAAAGTGTTTGTAACTGCTGAATCCTAACAGTATTTTGAGTCAAAGCCTGACTACGTTAACAACTTGCTTTCCTTTTAAATATTTGAGATTGAAAAGTAAATTTAAAGCTATCTATCCATCTTTCCATCTTTCCATCTTCTTCTGCTTTTCGGCTTGTGACATAGACATGACATCCCTCTGCTCCTTCTGAGACGTTTTCAAGCCAGATGCTCCTCTCAGAAATCTCTCCAGTCCATCCCAGGGTCTCGACTCCTAATTGGATACACCTGGGAAAACTCTAAAGGACACCCACTTAAAATCCCTATCAGTTCCCAAAACCAGGTTCTCAGCTCCTTTCAATGGGAAGGAGTAACGACTCTATTTAAAGGCTGCCTCTGGTTAGAGCACCCAACCCTGTCCACTAAGCTGGGCCTAGTTGTCTTTTGGTGGTAACCCCTCAGCAGCTGCATGCTTCCTCGATCTCTTTCTTTTAGCCATCCACAGCTCATGACCAGAGGAGAAAATTGAAACAGAATTGAACTGGTTAGTTCAAAACTTTGCCTTAAGGCTCAGCTCCTTCTCCACCATGACAGTCCAGTTTAACATCCAGGTTAGTTCTGCCACAGCACCTCTCCGCTTGTTGATATCACAGATGTGAGAACTTAGCTTGTGCTAGTGAGGTAAAAAAAAAAGAAGTTGAAATCATTATTTGATCAACACAAATTTTCATTCTCATTTATCTAATTGAACATGCTTTTATTGTTATTGATCTAAATGTAAATAAAAGGGAAACTATCATTCAAAGTTAGTTACTCAATTTTAGCTTCTTACATTAATCACTTCATCTTTAAATGTTGCCAAAAAAGTGTAATTACTAGAAGTGCACGTCTTCATCAATGAAACCTTGTGGAAATTGCCTTTATGGGGTTCAGTATTTCCCGTTGTGAAAACTGTGAATTTTCCCTGTATTTACTCATCTAGTCCTTAACAGGAAATTATCCTGACCAGAAGCATGCCTTTAGGAGATGATTTGAACAAATGGTGCAGAATAAACAGGAGGGGTGAAAGTTGTTTAATGACAAAGTTCATACTAGACAAAGAGTTTAAATTTTAACTTGATCAAGTATTGGCTTGCACGTCTGCTCATTCCATTATAAAAGCACTTTAAATGGCAGGAACTGAGTCCATATTAGGCCATTAAATGTACTCCATACCATAGATAAATAGCAGCTGATTGGGAGATGAAATTACCTGTCCTTTTCTCTCAGCCTCCTCTGTTCCCTCTTCTCTGCGTGTGTCTAATTAAAAGCTGCAGGCTGAGCATCACAATTTATGGCTAATGTTTGCTGCTGATGGGGCAGCAGTAGGCAGGAGCTCTTTGAACATGTTCATGATGGATGTCTGTCTGTGCAGAGCGTGTGGGATTCCTGTTTCCACCCCAAATGCATGCAAGCTGCAAACTGTGCTAACACCGCTGTGAAGGACACATGTGTTTCTTGAGGTATTTGTCATACTGAGACCTCACATCATTCATCAGAGTCATTTACCCCCCTAACTACCAACCCTCCCCATGTATTCACGGTAGCACTCGATGGAAGCCAATATAAATGGGTATTAATTTTTTTTCTCAGTGAAGGTCTACCTTTTAAGATGGATGAGCCCTAAAAAATAATGATAACAAAATGCCTATGTCTTGTGTTTTGTGTGTACGTCTCGAAAGCAAAATATGGATTATTATCATCATCCTGGCAGTATCAACACAGGTGGATCTTTGTGTGGCTCACAGCATGTGTTCCCTCTTACATAGGGGGTCAAAGACTTGATTACACCGATGCGTACAACAGTGGCTGTGAAAGGCACATCGGTGAATAAACAGAAAGCTTTGCTGTTTGTTTACTGACAGTGATGGGACCCCCACTGTATCAGCATCAGACTATCCCAATACTGCTCTGCCATCTGCCACCCAACCTTAAAGACAGTGTTGTAGACAACCTGCTCTCTCAATTCTTAATTTACAACTTAAATCCTGCAGCTTTATGTGGATTTCTCCAACCATGATGACAACTGTCCTCCTTACCCACATACATGCACTCTGTGAAGCATACATTTCTGCCATCACAGTCACAAAAGGACCCTTACTGTGAAGCACAAACCTAAGATTAATGGTTAATAAGCCTGTACTGCTGAGTTTTGATTGTGTAGCAATACAATGTTTTCTTTTCTAATCACTCAGCAAGTTGTAGTGAGATGGGGACAGGTTTTCTGCATCTCTCTCTGGAGGGCGTTGGATGCATAACATCATATCACATCAACATGACATTTTTATTCATAAACTTGACACATTAATTTCTCCAATAGTAATTTCCATTTTTTGGTCTTATATCTGCAGTAGTTCAGAATTATGATATTAGGAGTTTTGTAAAATTGTCTCTACTGCTGACTGAAGAAGAGCTCTTCAGGGTCGTGTTCTTGATCTTCTTCTCAGTTTAAATGTGAAAAGCTTACAAGATCATGTTTTGGAGAGACTTCAACACTAATTAAAAAAAGCAATTCTAGCCATTTGTAGTAGGGTTGGATGATAAACCGAAAATTTACAGATACTGAAATTTATGACAAAACAGACGTAATTTTACCCATATCGGTATGTTCGGTATCAAAAAACAAAATAAATAAAGGTGGTTTTGGATGTGTGTAGGTAAGCTATGGTCTCATGTCCCTTTAAGACGCTGTCCTATGTCGGAGATGTGACTCCACCCCATCCAGTCTGTGACAAAGAGGGAAAGACAAGTGAGGAGATGGAGGACAGTTCAAATGTTGGAGTGGCAGGAGCAGCGGCTGAAGTAGAGGAAGTTCATGTGGGAGGGGGTGAGCAACTTGTGAAGTGAACTGCTCATTATATCGTGATATTGATTTGAGGCCATTTCGCCCAGCCCTAATTTGTAGTTTATTTGTTTCTTACTACCATAGCAACATGGAAATGAATGATGGTGGTCTCAGAGAGGGGGGACCTGCTCCCTTTGAAGATACAAAAGGGATACATATATAGATATATTTATGTTAGGAGTGGGAGAAAAAATCGATACAGCATATTATTACAATATTTTGTCTGGTGATATATCGTATTGTCTCATTTACAAAGTATCGAATTTTTAAAAAATGAATTGCTCATATGAACTCAAGTCTATGATTAAAAATATATAGAATTAATTGTTTGTCCAGAGAGGTCAGCAGAGGCGACATCATTGGGCAGGAGTAAAATTAGTACAACAAAACATGGCAGGATCTGGGGAAAGACATTAGGAATGCAAGCAGGGCACAAATGAGATGGGCCTGACTAATGTATTACAAAATGATTAAAATCGTAATGATATCAAATCATGTCCCAAGTGTCGTGATAATATTAAATCATGGGGCCACAAGTGTGTATTGGTACCACAACATGGTATTGGTTAGCCCAAGACTTTTTAAAATATACTGATGTATACTTCTGTAGTATGGTGCCTGATATCGGCATGATGTTTGCTCTGTTAGCTGGTGGGATGTGTATGACAGGACACTTCATCATTTTCTAGGTAGAGTAGGAGTTAGGGCTGGGAACAATAACTCGCCATCTGAAGACATGGGCAGAATAAGGAACTAATTGAAAATCAAAGGAGCATGATATTTCAGCTGAACTGTGGGTGTACCGCTGAACTTATACCTGACTGCAGTGACCCGGCACATTGTATTATCTGTCTGTCTTTGACCATACATAAACCTCCCTACAGTAGGCTCATATCCTGCATATCTGGTAAAGAGAGAATGGCAAGTGACAGACTAGAAAGCTTTCCCCCTCTACTGTATACATCCACTTTATTTCCTCCCATTAAATAAATCACTGACGCCAAACAATGAGTGACGTTGCCTCTTCTTCATTTTAGCAGATTAAAATGATTTAATTGTCTTTAGGAGGATGATGGACATTGGCAGTAATTTTCGAGGTCTGTGAGACACAGCTGGTGTCAAAGCAACCATGTATAGAATCAATCAATAGATGTTAATGACTAAGGAGGTGGATTTAACCTTGTGATGCAATGCTAATTGGTAGGCCACCAATTAGCATGGTAATTTAATCGAAACTTGTTCTCTATTTACATACTTTAATTTTGTCTCCAAACTTTTAGTCATAAAATAGCGGAAAGAATAGTTAGAGGTTCTTATCTAAGCTTTTATGCAAATAGGATGATTTCTGTTGTGCTGCTTGTGTATCCAGGCCACCATGTTGTCTTGGTAAGTTAGCTCTGCCTCTTCACAGCAGGGAGTCTCCATGTTTGATCCCAAGCTAAGTCTCTTTGCACTGAGACTGGTTTTCATGTACTTGCATGTGTCTGCTTTTGGTGTTACACTCTGTGTTGTCATTACATCATGCATGAAAAGCAGAATAAAGATACTAGTGTGTTTTTGTGAGTGAGTGAGGAATGAGGAGATGAGTGTGGCTTTTATTCAAAAAGGACTGGCAGTTTGGTAAAACATTTACCTGCAAAATATAAATATACCCGAGCTTACCACAGACAAGCACAATTTCTAGCCAATAAAAGAAACCTGTTGTATGATTCCTTTTTTGTATTGTGGTATAAACTAGATTGCATCGTTGAAATGTTGAAAGGTTGACGTGTTGGTACCATAGACTGTATACAGCATTGACAGCGTCGGCCTACCCGCTGGGTGAAGCCACCATGAGGACAGCACCCTCTAGTGACGGGCTGCAGTAAAGGTCATAAGTCCCGCCCCCTCCATCAATCCTTGTGGAGCTTTGGACAAACTTTAGAAGTTAATCACACAGAATATACATTTTTCTCCCCCCTGGTTGCGATGTTGACATGAAGTTACTGTAAGACTGGTTTGTGCTCAAGTCCTCTTTTTTTTCTGTACAACTCCATTTTTAAAAGTTATTTGGGGGTTCATGTTTTCTATGATTGACACTTGATACAGCCTATGGGCGTACAAAGATTGTGCACCATTGCTCACCCGGGGATACGCTGTTTGAGCTGAGCGTCATTTCAGTGACTCTCCTGCTGAATGCGTACAACGCTACTGCGCAAGTGGTGGTCCCAGGAAGTGAAGAAAATCCCGGAAATACCGAGAGCAATTCAGCTTCAAATTCGTATAATGATGGAAGGTCAGGCTAAGTTGTCCATAGTATATACAGACTATGGTTGGTACCAAAAAGCTGAGAAAATCTAAAATTGCGTGTAATATGCAGTACGTTTATTTTGAAAGGAGCCAGTGACATAGGAAAGCGATCTAACATTTTCTGATGTGACATTTCTCATGAAAACAGTTGCACAGCATTTGCATTATTGGTTAGATAGCTTATTTTATTAGATTTAAGAGCTTATGTTTAATGATGGATGACATTTATGCTCTTGTCTTATTAGAATGTCACTCTGTTGATGCGTGTGTTGTTTTCTAGTAGAGGGATGATTTTACACAGGGATGACAAGCTTCATTGTGTTTGTGTCTTCAGTTATAGAGGTGAAGATGGTTTGGAGTCATTTGCTCTGTAGATCTATAAATAGACACATCTGGTATACTGGCAACTGGTTTCAAAGGATGTATACTGCTGTTTGAGGTACATATGTGCTCTGTATTTTCGTCACCTAACGTGCTAAAATTAGTCTAATATGGCGTTGAAGAATCATCAAAATGGCTTTTCTAGCAGTCCGTGATATTTCTTTAGTTTGATTTTTATCACCCATAAATTAAATTTGCTCGTTGAATTTTCTTTAATGAAGTTGTGATAGGTGCTAAACATTCTTGTATTTTGCCTTAGGTTTGATTAATTAGTGTTACCTGATTAAATAAATTACTGCAAATCAGGTTTTGGCACACATGAAGGAAAAAGAAAAAGGGCTATACTGGTAGATATGGGTAATATAATGACGTACTACAGTGAGAGACTGTCTGAAACAGGGCTGCAGAATGGAAAAAGACTGACACTTGGATATCAAGGGAGCAGATTTTAGAAGTGACACAAATTTGAAATCTCATGGAATCAGATCTCAAATTTACCCCCACACAAACACAAACAGGTTTTTAAACACTGGACATTTATTAATGACAGGTAGCTGTAATTGTCCTTTTTTGATGTTCCATTATAAAACGCGAAAGCACCTTTTTGTTCTCTGTTGTGCACAAACTCACATCACCTCAGGAAAGCAGTGGCCTTTGCAGCGAAGCATGTCTGCAGCTTTCATGTCATTTACGTCTCATCAGTGCTGTTCCTGGTGAGGGATGATACTTGATATTCAGAGACGAGCTTTGTCTCCTCAAATTAATCAGCCGCTCCTGTTTTCTTGTGCAGAGGAGAATCACCAGGGAGATCTAGGAACTGTTGCTGTAATGTATGATACTATAACAAAGGCAGGCTGTAAAACACAATCTGGAAGCATGCTGTAAAAAAGAGGATTTTTAGATGTGGGCTTGTGTGATCAGTGGGATATAAAGTGGTATAAATAATGGAAAAATCCAGGAAATGTGGCGCTGATGAAAGAATACTATTAGTGCTCGAATCTGTGTAGGCTGGAAGTTATCAGAGTGAGTGGTGAAGACCTCATGCCTGTGTTTATTCATCTGTATGCATATCAGATGTAAAGATTGCAAAAGGATGAAAAAGAAAGATATGTTCCTGGAAGACAAATAGCATTTCTTTAAGGCTTACTCCTTTATTAAACAGTTACAGTCTGTGTGCGTGTGCAGCCATTTAACATCAAAGAGCTGTGAGGGCTTTCAACGTGACAGGCGTTTATGAATATTTAGCCAACTGAGTACAGAATCACTGATTAAATAATCATGCTGATGTTAATTGTGATGAACTTTGTTCTGATGATTTGCTTTACACCAGAAAAAAAGTCATTTAATTAAACAAACAAAGCAGCAAAATTCATTCCCTGTGCCCAGTAACAATCCAAAATGTCAAATCATTAATTTAGACAAAAAGGTTTTGTACATCTTCAAAAATATTGATCACATTTCACAACAGCAAGAAAAAGATCAGCCACATCAAAACTTGATTAAATCACAGCATGCCATTCTCTCGTCTTGTTGCCAGATGACAGTTTTTATGAGGTCTGGGGCCACACCCGTAAAGAGACCAGTACCAGTTGTCTGTAGGCTGATAAGTAAAATGATGGTAGTGTGGTTGACACCAATCCATATTTTAAACTAACATTAAAGACCAACCATGGAGTGTTTTATACAAACAGCTGAAATTAGTGCAGAGAAATAACGTGTAGTGTTTCTTACATTTAAATTTTCCGATCAAGATGTGGTTATATACGTCCTTATAATTATATACAGATGCGTGTCCCAGTTGTCACAGAAAATTATTAACTCATCATTGAGTCATTATAAATTTAAAAGAAACTTGATTATTTTGAGAAAGTCCAGGAAGCAAAGACATTTTCTTGCTTTTATTTTTGAATGCCTGCACCCTAATACGCAGATAACCCCTTTACTCCTCATCTTAGGCCAGGGTTGCACCTTTACAACACCTTCAGTGCTATTTAGTCAGTAATCATATAAAACAGAGCAATGTGTCAATTAATTTATTAAGATATAACTATGATACATATGATAAATGACCAAAAGAGTTTTCCTCTTTTGGCTGATGATAATCATTTTTAGAAAACCCTGAAATCAAAACAGAAGACATTTATTCTTAACACTGATCTGTGTTACCTTCCTTAAGGTGTGACAAATCATTTTCTTTAAAATCCCTGTGGGTAGTATTTAACTCATTATAAAACACACTGGAACCCAAATTTGCAGCTACACAAGCAAGCAAGACCATCCACATAAAGATATTTATTTATATTTTAACATTTTTCAACTGCAAATATTCGGATTAGGCTTTCGACTTGAAGCAGGATTTAGTTATAAACACTGCCTCAGCACGGAGAGGACAAATTTAGTCCAGAGATAAGAAGGTACTGCCTTATTCACAGGGGACGTCAAAATCATTACAAACTGAAAGCTTCTCACAGGAACTCCAAATAAAGGACATCGCACATATCATACAAACAGAGATATTTGGAGCAGAAATTCAGTGTATCATGATGTAAGCATTTAAATGTCAGGGGTGATTTTTACCCCCTACACCTTTGCTTTTTCTCTCTTGCATCTCTAAGTATTGAGTGGACTATGTTTGACAGATATGGAGTTTGGAGAGCGGCTGATCCCCCCAACATCAGCTTCACCCTCCCTTCACATGGCCTCCCCTTCAGCCAGCTCCTCCCCTGCTCCACTGAAAACATCCTTTGCCAAGAGCAGCCTGGCCCCCAGCCCTGCCGCCAGTTCCCCTCTTCCCACCTGTGGTACGTACACAGTCACAAACACACACATGTTTACATAGATGTGCACCAGTCGTAGCATGAAATCTGGTAAGATTCAGACTTTGACATGTAGTTTCAAGTGTAAATTTCTTATCATTCTGTCTACATTTTAGATAAGGCTGAAAATGTATTTTGGGTTGTTTTGGGTCTGAGTGTGAAGTGCTAAAAACAAATCAAAAGTCACCCACAAAACAGCTTCAAGACTACGAGCTATTAATAAATGTAAATTAATGCACAATCCCACGAAACTTTGGAGAAAGAAAATAAGAGAAAAGGCTAATTTATTTGGAGAGGCCGTCCAACATAATTTCCTGGAAAACACTGCATTAAAAGAGTGCAACAATAAGGGGCTTAAGACACATTCCTCCAGCTCTAACATGACAATTTTGATAGGACTGGAAGGGCTGTTGAATTAATGAATGCCAACAATTAAAAAAAGCTTTGTACGCCCTTATGGACGTCTTTTGACAACCTTTAGCTCGGGTTTATCCTGTGTGATTTGACATGTCTGTCAGCCTCACAGCTTGCCGGCAGCCGCCAACATCCTCTTGTTTTCTCTGCATACTAATTGTGGTCAGAGCCATTATGCATTGAGCAGCGGTGATGCATAAACTGTCAGATTACCCCTGACCACAAAATAATGTGCAAATTTACATACTGTGGTTTGTGATTATTTTTTCTTCCTCTCTGATAAGATGCCCCCCAAATTTTTTTTTTTTCAGCTATCACAATGAAGAACACATTAGAGACGTTGTAATAAATAATTCATTTTCAGACCCCCAGACGAAACGTGCATAGAAATTTCCCATATTATTTATTTTGTACTGAATGCTAAAGGCTCAAAGCACATTGGCACCTCTGTTGTCACGTGAGGATCAAGTGAATTCGGCTCTTTTGTAAGATTTCTCATCCCTTGTTGGAAGCAAAAAAAAAAACACACAACCAGTAAAGCAAGCACGTCTTTGAGTAGTGGTACTCGAGCTTTTGTACTCTTAAAAGCTGTGTGAATGCTTTATAGGTGAGTTTATTTGAGACATCTTCTTGCAACTTTTCTACTGTGATTTAAAACAGTGAGAACACGTGTCTGAATCTAATGCAGAAAATGTGTCTCAACATCTTCAAAAAAGCTTCTGAACAAATCTTATTCCATCATGGCAGGAATATGTTACAGAGCAAAAGGAGTGAAATGTAAGCACTCTGCAAATAAAATACAGATTGTACCTGTTACTGTGTGACTGTCCACTTATTTTAGAAACAGATTTCAAACTAGACAAACATCTGATTTTTACCATAAATTACATATATGTCCTTTTTCAAATGTAGATAATGTAAAACAAATAACTCTGGGTTACCGGTAGGGCTGGACGATATGGCCTCAAATCAATATCACGATACATTGAGCAGTTCACCTCGATAATGATAAATGGACGATAACTACTCCACAAGCTGCTCACCCCCTCCCACATTAACTTTGTCTACTTAAGCCGCCGCTCCAGCTGCTACAACTTTTGAACCATCCTCCATCTCCTTGTCTGTCTTTCCCCCTTTGTTACGGACTAGATGGGGCGGAGTCACGTTTCTGACGTAAGACAGCGACATGGGCAAAATGACGTGCTATTGTCGTAAATTTCGGTATTGGTAAATTTTCGGTTTATCACCTAGCCCTTATTATATGACATCAATCTAGTGGGAAGTAAGGTTTAACATGTTGACAGGACTTACAGTTAATGTCCAAGTGTCCTTTTTTGAAGGGTACATGAGAAGCACTAGAGGGGAGCTTCTCTTTGTGACTGAATATGAGGCTTTGCAATTAAGGTAAAGTCACATCAGAGAAGTAACAACAGCCAAGCATAGTGTAGTGAGACTCCAAGTGCATTATAAGCCTGAGCAAGCCCGCATCTTCCACCACACAGTGGGCTTGCTATTGAGGGCGGGGATTTCAGTGATTTTTCTGTCGAGCATCTCCACCTTCAGGTGGCTGTATTGTTTTTTTTAGCTTCATTGAACAGCTGAGAAGAGGCTGCCGACAGGTTTTGGCCCCCTCCGATGCTTGTTCATTCTTACTTCCCAGAAACCCTTGGTGCTGTTCAAGGTGGCAGTTCTTGAGATGCACAATTATAGTGGTAATGTTAAAAGAATGTTATTTTGCCTCTCCTTGCATCACATGTGCTTCACAGCCACTACAAATAGCTATGCTGTCTGTTTCTGACACTTCAAAAACACCTCCATACAGATGACATGTTGAAGCTCATTGTCAGCGCGCTAGTTCATTGAGTGCACATTTGATCTTTTATCTGCCAATACTGATATTTTGCCAGTTACATCGTGTATCCCTAAAATAATGTTTAAACCATTGGATGAAATTCTAGGTGCTCTGCTAACTGTGGACTTTTTCCTCCAGGCCAGTTGCCCAGGATAAAAGGGGATAAATATTTAAATCTGCCTACCTGCTCCAATGGTTCTCCTTTGGTCACCCATCCAGCTTTTGGTCTTTACACATCAAACTCAGGAGGCTCTGAGTTTGGAGGCCTTGGAAGTCTTGGTCTGTCTGCCCTGGCTGCTCACTCACAGTTTGGAACAATTCCAGGTAGGGCATCTTCGTGTTTTTTAATGGAGGTTAGGAGGAAATTTTCCTTGATGGGAATTCAGATTTTTTTTCAGCAACATGTCTTCTATGTCTTTTGAAAGATCCTTTGTAGTTCAGTCTGTGTACTTTCTCAATAGTAGGAAGAATTTTACATTGTACATTAACAAGTATTTTCTCTGTCTTTAAAGAGCAGCTTTTTCTCAAAAAAAAAAAGAGTGTACTAAAGACATTTATTTGACATAGCCAGTCTTTGTTCTAATGGTTCATTTACTCCTCAAAACATGATAATAGAGTTCCTCTTCCTTTTCCAGCCTTTTTCTTAGAAATAAGGGTTTGAAATATTATCCTGCAGCAAGAATAAAAAGTGATACCTTGTTATTTGCTTGTTTAATCTGAATTAAAGTAATCATAAGACATTTAACTTAAAGCAGGTTTAGCATGCACTCCAAGAGGAAAAAAAGTCAAAAAAGTTCAATGCTGCCTTTGAGTGATGTGACTTGATTGTCAGACATTGTTTGAAACTGATCTTGCATCACAATATCGAAGACAAAATATCAAGAATACACTGATTAGACACAACATTTCAAACACCAAACAGCATATTCAGAGGCCTTCAATGTCTCTTTGATCTGAGATTCAGCTCTGTATTACATTTTCAAGATTTAAGGTTCAAATGAACAAGTTTTATGGAGAACTGTTCAAGTTTTGTTACTTGTGTTGACAATCCAAGCAAATCTGAGTGTCATTTGTTCATATGTTTTCTAATGTGAAACTAAATACTAAAACAAAAGAACAAAGAAAACATTGTTTTTAACCCAAAAGAATCTTTATCTTTTATTTCTGTTAAACACATAAAACAGTTAATTTGTTATTAATGGATTTTATTTGGTTCTATTACTTTACATGAAAGCCTCTTCAGGCATAATCCCCTGTCACCACAAACCCCCTTCCCTCAAACACTCTAAACAATAGTGCAGGACCGTGTAACTAGATCACAGTATGTACTCGTAAATACAGCTTCATATAATGTAAACAGAGAGGTTTTGCGCTGAATATTGTGCACATTTTAAATGCTTCTTTTTTATATGTAATTCTTACATTTGTACTTGAAACACAGGCTTATGCAAAAAGTGAATTAATTTGAGAGGTTACAGATGATAATATTTTATTTGTGTGATTATTATTCAACTATGATTTCATCTATGCAGGCGGACATGAGCGTAATGCAAGGCTACACAGCAAGTACATTTACAGCCCAGGGGAACATACTTGTTTTCTACAGACCCTGGTGAAAACATGTTTCACTGAAAATCTGTTGGTGTTCCTTCTAAAATCATAACCTGTATTGCAAATAATCACAATATGATTATTTTACATTGGTGCAAACCTATCTACCTTTAAGTTTTCTGGAGACTAGACCCCCAACTTTATACTGCACAACAAACATAGCTATTCAATATGTCACTATTGACAAAATAAATGCCAAAATCATACAGCACCAAGTTATGCTATGAAAAAAGTATGAAAAAAGGGTTATTTGGGTGCTATCATTAACAACAACAACAATGATAATAATAATAGTAATAAGAAGAAGAAGAATAAACGATGATGCATCAGATTTTATACAGTCCTTTATCAGAGACCCTCAAAGCGCTTTACATTGGATACATCATTCATTCACTCACACAGTCCCACCCTGGTGGTGGTAAACTACCCTAATAGTCACAACTGCCCTGACGCAGACTGACGGAAACGTGGCTGACAGTTTGCACCCATGGCCTCTCTGACCACCATCACACAACACTCACAATCATATACCAGTGGAGGACACACACTGGAAGCAAGGTGGGTTAAGTGTCCTGCCCAAAGACACAAAGTTCTTTGGTCAGTAGTAGGGATAGGGGGGTATCGAACTATTGTCTGTGTTTGTCTTTGAATTTTGAAAAGTGAAAAATGAACAAATGATACACAGATGTATACCTCTATTGTACTAACAGTTTCAGTCTTGATATGCAGTGAGATCACGATCATGAGAGCACACTTGTCACTAAACTGAGCATTTAGTGTTAACAGAATAAAAAAAAGAAATTGCTTAATGACATGTGTGCTTGCTGTCTAGTTTCTCTGCATGAATACAATAGATGGTGGTTATTTATGAATAGCTGTGCAAAATCTGTTCCCTTACCTCAGACTGGTGGCGGCCCTCTGAGGCACATACTAGAGGAGCAGCAGCCTTCTTCCCTCCTCTTCTGGGTCTTCATCCTGTATTTGCATCAACTTTCAAAGGTCATGATCCAGGACTCCTGCAGTCCCACACCTCAGGTACACAAATAACTATCTCAAACTCAGTCAAGATGATGTTATTTGAAGCAAAGCAAAAACTTTTGTACTGTTATTTCTTGTTCTCATGAGTATCCATTTAAAGAAATGCACAATGCCAGTTTCTGTAGGCGTCACTGGAACAGTCAATGGCAGGAGCGCTTCTTCTCCTACTGGGAACTCTGCTGTGAACACGAGTTCAGCTCCAACTAAGGAAACCAAGGAGAAAGCTAAAGCCAACAGAACCCAAAAGAGCAGCAGGGACCTGGGCCAACTGCAGCAGAAGACTGTTCCGAAAATCAAAGAAAAGGTTAACGCTTTACTCGCTCTACTACTCAAGAACAATACACTGCATGAAACACACTTTATCTATTTGATCCAGTTCTCTTCTCAACTGTTGATTAAGACTTTCATTATCATTCAGAAACCCATCAAAAGACCACTTGAGACCTCCAGCATGAGTGGTAGTCAGTCTGGCTCGTTGTCAGACAGCTCCAGTGATAGTGAGGAGAGCAGCAGTGATCCTGACGACATGGAGGAGGATGAGGAGGAGGACGATGAGGATGAGGATGATCAGAGCATTAACAGTGAGGACTCAGATTCAGAGAAGGAAAGCCAAGTGAAAGGGAAGATCAAGGTGACTTTATATCTCACATCGTTAATGTTTGTGTTTTGATACGATACTTTTAATGTCCTCTCAGGGGACTTTTTGTTGGACAGATTGTGTAGCATCCATTAAGCGTTCTCTGCAGTGGTGTATGGTAAATAATTGGCAGCATTCTTGGTTAGAAAATCAGCAAATACTGAATACAAAACTTACCTTTCTAGTCTCTTTCTGAATAGTTCATAAAAGCATATTGTTTGCAACAAAAAACGAAAAGTTCTTGTTGTTGTTTAGGGTTTTCTAGCACCAGATGTTTTTTTTTTAAGTGATAGTTTGGCTGTATAACATTGTTCCTTGTGTAGTAAATGTTACTTGGGTTGTCAAAAGCTTGGATAGTGGTGGGTGGCAAACAGGATGTATGTGCTAGTTGACAGGGTTGCCACAGCAGGAGCTGACATGACACACTGTCTTCTCCCCCTTTTCCTCATCCTCCCACTCAGCGGCTGACACAGAAGACTTCAGAGAGTAAAAAGGAAGGATCTGGCTCTGCTGATGGAAAAGTAACCCAAAACAGTCACCGTGACTTTGTCCCCTCAACTCTGCACCAGCTCAGCTCCTCTACTCATCCTGCTGGACAACCCCAGTCCACAGCACTCTTCCAGAGCTCCGGGACCGCAGAGGAGAACAGCCAGCAGCACATCAGTGTCATCCAGGCCACAGGGTTGGCAGCTGGAAACAGTCTTCAAGGAAAGTCCCACAGAGTGGCCTCCAACCCGAACTCCGTGTCCAATTCGCCTAAATACTTACCTCCTTCCTCTTCACCACAGCACAAGTCTGTCTCCCGCTCTCCAAAACCTCTCGCTCTCTGCTCTCCATCAAAACCCCTGTCACTCTGCTCCTCGCACAAATCTCTCACCCTCTCTAAACAATCAACAATGTTAGCCACACGAAAGCCCCAACATAAACCCAGGTTCTTAATGCCCTCTTCAAAGCACAACCACCCTGTTGATGACACTAAAGAGGGCAGTGGAAACCCTCCTGAAGAAAGACTGTCGCACCTGAACAGCTTAAAATTGAAACAGGTGAGTCATGTTTGGTAGTTGGGTTTAAGGTGATAGATATTATTTGTTTGTTTATCTAAAAGTCTGTGAAAAAGCACCAAATATGAGAATTTTTAACCTTTAATTCTGAGGGGAAAAGAACAAAAGCTCTTCAACAAGGAAGTCAAATGAATGCATTGTTTTGGCACGTACGCATCCTAAATCCTGACCTATCATCTTCTGAAAATTCTGTGCAACATCAGAGGTCTATTTTCCCCGTTCTTTATAAATTCTTCTCTTACTTTAACATTTTCCAACCATTCCAGGGGATTTAGAAGGTCAGGCAAGAAAAAACAACAAATTTTTACACAGATAACAGCCTTGCATTTAATCATTTTTTTCTCTCTTTTCGCCAATATACAAGACCTTAATGTTATTAGAAATTCAAAACCCTAAAATCACTCTTGGAGCTTAATATATTTACAAAAATAGATGCATCTTTAATAAACCTCTTATGTTTTTCCATGTTTTACAGTAGAAAAAAGCCTGCTCTTAGTTGTCGTCCATCAATTTTCTGTCAAAAAATAAATAAAATTAGTGTATTCCCAGTGGACATAAGTAAATGAATGCTTATACGCTATTATTTGGGCTTTTATTTTGCTGCACGTCTGACCGCTACGTGACTACAAGTGACAAAGCATCGGGCTCCGCTGGGAATGCTTCACAAAAGTGACAAGCAATTAGCTCTGTTATGTTTTGGGATGTTTGTTATCAAGAGAGAGAAATCTGTCTCTTTTAGAGGACTCTGTTATTGTCGTTATTTTGAAAAGTCTATAACAAGGGGCTTTTAATTCATATGATGGTGGGACATTAAACACCAGAGTATGACAATAGCAACAAATACAGGCTGACAGCTGAAGTCCCACAATGGCACTGAGCCAAACAATTTGGAAATATTTTCCACAGTAGTTTTTTTCGTCTCCGTTGTTGACAGGCATGAGCCGACTCTTCATTGTCCTTGTCTCTTATTACACCTCAAATTCTTTCCTTCACAGCCCACAGCGATGTAATGTGAGTGACAGTTTGTGTAATTACTTCCTTTGTTCCTTTTTGTCTTCCTTTTCCCTTTCTTTTTTTATTTATGAAGGCCCTCCATACCAAGGACCCTGTGAGGCAAGCTTCATCTCTGCCACCAGATAGCCATGACCAGCACATGAGTTCAGCCTCCTCCTCACCTGATAAGCCATGGTCAGATCCGTTTAGGAGTCATTTACTGTCTCTTCCACACAGTAACGACACAAATCTGTTCCTGAGTGGCCCCCTTAATGGACTAAACAACAGCGCAGTTCAGGAAGCCCCCTTGGCCCTCATCACTAAACCCCGCAGCCAGAGCAGCAGCAGCCTCGCAAGCAAGCCCCTCCTGGCAGCCTCAAGCCCTCCGTGTCAAATGCCCATCAACTTAAGCACCAGCACCAAGGACATGTCAGCTAGCTCCTCTTCCTCACTTAAATCTTCAACATCACCGGGGCTGGTTCACAAACCAAGGAAGACCAAGTCTACCAAGGTTTTGAAAGCAGGACCAAGCCTCTCTAAACCAAGCCCACCTTGTCCAACTGTAGACTCAGTACGAGGCAGAGAGTCTGGTATCCACAGCAGCAAGGACTCCGACGATTCTGTAGGAGATGACTATGATGATGATGAAGATGATGATATTGACGATGGAGATTCTGGCAGTAGCTTGTCAGGTTGGATTGAGCCTACTTTTCCCGAGTTTCAAAAATAATGCCTTCAAGTGCATGCAATTACAGATAAGAATGTAAATGAGGTTTGTCTTGAGGTTTCATTCTGCTCCTTTTTCCTCCCTCAGAGTTGGAGAGCAATATGGAGAGTGACTCTGATGCCTCTGATGATGAAACAAAGAATCGCAACGGCACAGAAGCAGATAGCGACTCAGACAAGACTCCTCTTAAACTCGATAATAAAGCTCCTTCAGCGTCTGCTCCACAGTCCACCTCCTCCTCCTCGGATCTGTCAGCAAACTCCTTCCTGCTTAACCTGCACATCATCAAGCCTCCTAGTTTACCGAGTAGCTTACTCAACCCCACCAACCCAGTGACCAGCTCAGGGCCACTGTGCAACCACAGGAACTCGTCACCCTCCTTCACATTTGCTGCACTGCCAGGTAACAAACCTATGATTTCTCTACATCCTCAACCTGTAACTCAACTTACTACCATGAAGATACGCATGCTTGTGATTTACTCATAATGAAAGTGTAACTCTTCCTGGAAAGAAAAAAGGATCATGACCCAAGTTAGTCATTTGTCCCTTTGTATGTTTTATCCAGCCCATCAGTGGAAAAGACAGTCATTTTTCCCTATATGAAAATATGTTTGCACAATTCTAAATTGTCGTGGGTTAAATGAGCTCACCGGGGGAAATCAGTTGCATCATTGTTTTGATTGTCTCCAGCAGCGTTTGCTTTCATAACCCGGGTAGATGTTTAATGTTTCTGATACTGGATGAGTCATCGAGCACATTATGTCTCAAATAGAGACAATAGCTGACTTGCCATGGTAAGAAAGTCCTCATTTCTTGTACCATTATGTTAGACAGTAAGAGACACCTCATGCCATAGCCAGATTTCTGAGGAATTAATTATTCAGTAGAACCATTTATGAATTTTAATCTGAGAAAAAGAAGGAACTGCAATGTGTATTTTACAGGAGCAGGACTGAAACCTCTAAACCGTCAAAGTAATATTGAAGATAAGAGAAGAACTTTGTTTATCTCAGAGGGGAAACTCCATATCATATCATATCATATCATATCATATCATATCATATCATATCATATCATATCATATCATATTGTGTTATGTCGTGTCATGTCATGTTATATCATATCTCATATCACATTATATCTCATATCATATCATATCTCATATCATCAATAATATCATATCATATATCATATCATATATCACATATATCGTATCGTGTCATATCATATCATATCATATCATATCATAGGCTTTTTTCTATTCAAGCTCTCTTTTCAAACTCTGGAGTCACAAATGGGATGTTGCAATCAGTTGATTATGCTAAGAACCCCTTATCCTGTACTGTGACAAATTCAGCTGAACCTGTTTATACATTTATTTAACCACATGTGAAACTTTCTGTTCCCTAAGTTGAACAACAATGTGCCAGGTTTTCCTTCTTTCGCAGATTTGCAATGTTAGCCTCCCTCCTTTTTCAGCGTATTAGATAAATCTGTAAACATGGCAGGTTTGTGGATTTGCTCTGTACCCCCTGGAGGTGTGAAAAGCGCTGAGTCATTTCTCCTGTTTTTGTAGGGTCAGGGAAGAGGAGGAGAGTGACAGATGAGAGAGTTCTGCGGCTGCCTCTTGAGTTTGGGTGAGATATTGTCCGTGCACTTCATATAAGAAGACACCCAAAGATTTGATGGTGTTAATCTCTTTCTGTTTGTGTTTACTATTTCACTACCTGCATTGTTTGTGTTTATGCGGCTGGTGTTAAAAGTAAAATGTCAGCTCACTGAAGGCTAGCAAGTGACCTTTCTTAAAGGTCATCTACAGTTATCTTTACTCTCTGAAGCAGCCTCAGACTGTCACTGTCAGGAAACATGATCACATCTGCCAGTTAGTTACATTTAATAAACAATATAATATGTGGTTCTGTAAATTTCATTTTTGATTAGAGTTTTATTGTAATAGTGCCTGTAACTGCTGCCACTGTGCCAGAAAAGGGGTCTAACAGCATGCTGTCAGAAATGAAATGTTTGCATTCTCCACAGCAAAGATTCACAGTTAAAAGAAAGCAATAAGAGGCTTTAGGAAAGCATTATCAAAGTATGTTTATGACAGGGTCACCAAAGAAACTACACATATTGCTTAATCAGATGAGGACAAAATGAAAGTCCCTCACTGTAGCTTGGACCTGCTTTCATTCTCAAATCAAACACCCCAGCTACAACAGTGAGGTCGAAATAATTCAATCCTTGTAACTATATTTCGTGTGGCTGAACAGTCTGTTGAATAATCATGCTTGAACAAGACAGCTGTAAATGTTTTTAAAAACTATTGCTTGTGTTCCTGATTTGAGAACAGGCAATCTTCATGAAGATCTGAATGAGATATACCACAACAACATCCTTGCCTTCCTTGAAGGGGTCTTAAAAACCTCACTCTTGCGCTGTAGGTTATAGTGGGCAGGAAATGAAATGAGGCCCAGCAGCTCTGCATCCAAGGGTTAATTACATCCAGCCTCCACACAGACATGCAACATTAGCAGCTCCCTTCCCACAAATTCTGCAGCCCTGGATCAGGATGCCTTTCATCTTCTGGGGATGTTTTTCATCAGCTGGATCAGGAAACAGGGGCCACAAGACTGTGCAATATCAGCCTCCGCTCCGTCCAGAACAACAACCCACATGTTGTATCGCTAAGCCTGGCCTGCTCCCCAGCGGAGCTCTATGGAACTGAGGGGTTACCCTCTCTGGCCCGTGGCCACTTTGGAGTGTGCACGGGACAAGTTGGCCACAGAGCATATGTGCACAATAAACAGCTGTGAAGACATTACAGACTCAATTCATCTCCTTCTGTGCTTGCTCTTGGTAAAAAATAAATGATATGAAACTCACCACGTTGATAGGGAAACAAATTTCAGACCGCAGGGGGGGAACGTCTTTTAAAGAAGAGCCCAAAAGATTTATACAAGTGTGACTGAACACAGCTGTGTGCAATACTTCGAATACTTCTTTATATTATCAATAAGTACCCTGCATGTAACTTTCCTGCATTTCCCTTGTTCTTCAGGTGGCATAGAGAGACCAGAATCAGAACTGTGGCTGGTCGCCTTCAAGGTGAGGTAGCTTATTTTGCACCATGTGGGAAAAAGCTTCGTCAGTATCCTGATGTGATGAAGGTAAGTGAGAAGCTTCATTTCATGTAAAACAGATTAAAACCAATAAATTATTGCACATTACACTGGATGATATTAGAAATGATGATGTGTGAGTAAAAATATCTTCCTCTCACTTTGACAAATATAATCCGTCTTTTGTCTGCAGTACTTGCTGAGGAATGGAATAACTGAAATCTCACGGGATAACTTCAGTTTCAGTACAAAAATCAAAGTTGGGGACTTCTATGAAGCTAGAGAGGGACAAGAGGTAAAAGTTTCTAAATGTTCTGTCACATAACTTTGTATCATTGTGTAATATGTACATATCACAGTATAATATGTACAGATATTTCTGTTTTATTGTAGTCCTGATTTCAAACCTTTTCAAAGTTTGTGATGAAAGAATTTAATAATAGAAATTATAACATCTGTGTTAGGTTGAATAGACATCAAATTGTATTGTCAGATACAAACATATTTATATTAAATGTGCACAGAAAATAAAAATCAGTTATTATTAAAGCAATGTGTAGAAAATAAGTCTTGTCGGCTCATCGTTTTTAGCCCACAATTCCTCTCATTTTAATTGACCCAGGGTTTTCAGTGGTCTCTGCTGACTGAGGAAGAAATCGCTCCTAGTATCATTGCCATGGACGGGAGGCGCAGCCGTTCCACAAAGTCTGAGAATCAGCCAGTGGGTGATGTCTCTGCAGCCAGACAGTGGCTCTCTCATCCTGTGAACGTGGGGGAAAATAACTCCCAAGATGTCAGCGATGCTAAACTGCAGCGCAAACTGGAGGCTCAAGGTCAGTTTACGTCTTGAAAGCTGTCCCCAGCACCTGCTCCAGAGGAAATCAAAGACGAACTACAAGCTGTATGTTTTATCAGCGTTTCTCACATAGAGGTTTACTGCCTGAATTATTTATAGTATGATAAATGGTCAGCTGGGGATATAGATGTGAAATTGACTGCGTTTATATAGGGCTTTCTCCAGTCTGCTGACCAGCCTTTGCTTTTACATCATGTGTCACATTCACCCTTTCACGCACACTGATGGCAGAGGCTGCTATGTAGAGCGCCCATTGCTTTCAACCAATTCCATTCACAGGGTCGAGTGTCTTGCCCAAGGACACCTGGCATGTGGACAGCAGGGAATCAAACCCCCCAACTTTACCCTTAAAACAGTATTGTTAACTTGAAAGAATTTAAATATGCTGTCAGGGCAAGGGAGAAAAATTAACAGTTTTCAAGCATCTTAAATATTAGTGGAAGGTGTTTCATGTCTCAAGATTAAGTGCTCTGCTTACAATCACACATGGCAAATGCTATTTAAAAGGAAGCGACGCATATAGATTTCCCATAAGTTTCCATCATGGCACAGCAATACCTTACTGCATGAATTCAAAACATTTTTTTGCAGGTATTGAGTGATTCCAAGAAGCGTAAGGGTTAAATTTGGACTCATAAATGTCTGCGATTTTGACAACATATTTCCTCATGTTTCAGAAATAGCTCGGCAAGCTGCTCAGATCAAAATGATGAGAAAACTTGAGAAGCAGGCCATGGCACAAGCAGCAAAAGAGGCCAAAAAGCAACAAGGTATACAGCAGCTGTTTAGTTTGACTTTGCTCAAACACCAAATCCTTACATCCTTACATACAGCTAAATTTGTTTGTGTTTTTCAGCTATAATGGCTGCAGAGGAGAGGCGGAAAAAGAGAGAGCAGATGAAGATCCTTAAACAGCAAGTGAGGATGTTTCTTTGCATATGTTTAGTTTTTCACGCAAAGCTTGATAACGGTCCACAGCTGCTCTGCAGCGTACAAGAGTCTCAAGGTGAAAAGGTTTTAAGCACCATTTAGCCGCTTTTGAAATTCTGTAAGAAAGTTACTATCCTTCAAAATGCTGCACCTTTCTCATCTGCATAGACTCGCTATACTTCTCCACTTCCCCCTAACCCCCTGCACTCTATAACATGCTTGACTTAACAGTTAATTCATTTGATCTCGCCCTCATCCTTTTACCAGGAGAAGATCAAGCGCATTCAGCAAATTCGTATGGAGAAAGAACTCCGAGCACAGCAAATTCTCGAGGTTGGTCCTAAAGTTATTACAGAAACATTCTCAAACACTTCCTTTTTGCTGTTGATAGAATTTTTAAAATACCCGACCAAGAGCTTTTCCCTAAATTATGTGCTCCCACTTTTGGGAGTGTGTTCATGTGACTAATGCCTAATTGGTTTTATTTTGCAAAAGTGCAATTAAATATGAATCCCCTCGGACCGTGATGAAGTGTTATACAAAGTACAGTATTTCATTAAGTAAGAGGTGGTCCACAGTTCACTGTGGCTAGGTGAAACACCTTTTTTGTATTCTCTCACTTCTCAAAGCTGTGGAGTATTTTAGCTTTTTATAAATCAAATTTCAGTTGACACGCTTGGCGAGCGGCTCTTAACAGGATTTTGTCGAGGCTATAATTACTGAGAGAATTTTTGTTTAATTTATTCTCACTGCCTGCTGGTGTTTCATAATAACCACAGCCAATTTGTCTCTCTGTGTTAATGTGAGGAAATAACCATCTCATTGCTCAAGATCTCAATATGTTAGGTTTGACTTTATCACTGAGCCTCTGGCTCTATTAAGCTTCTATAGACAACATTAGCAGATTGACAAAAAGCATTACTGCAAACACATACCAGGCTACTGCATAATATTAAGGGCAATGCTTAATAAATGTATCTGTTTAAAACATTCTGATGATTTTAGTGGTTCTTATTGTTTTTAATTAATGATGTAAATTACCAATAATGTAAACGTTTATTTTACATTTATTTCATTCAAAGCTTTCTTGTGGTGCTTAAAAGGCCTTTTAGCTTATTTTGCATGACTTTGACACCCCTGTTGCTAATACAGACAAAAAGAAAAAGGAGAGCTGAAGCAGAAAATGCCAAAATACTGGAGGCAGCAAAGAGAAACAAGGTGAGTGTGTTGTACACAAACTCTTGTTGTTAATTGTTTCTCACTTGCGTTATTTTGCTACCTTGCTCATCTGCCACAATTGTCCCCTTACGCTCCCTTCATATGGTTTTGTTCCACTCCAGTGTTTTTGATTGAAAACACAGACCCTGTCGAGGTTAATCACTTTAATGAAAAGCATTCAATATTTTTCTCATTATCATAATGGATGGAGTGTAGAACCCCAGGAGTTTGGCATGAAGTTCTATATAGGAAGTTGAGGCATATGTGTACACCAAATGTTCTTTTTTTCACATTTTCTGCACTTCTACTTTCCTAAAATTCACTCTGTCATGTTCATTTCTATGTAGACTACTATTGCTATATAATTTTTTATCACCATAATTGTATAAGTAGTGAAAGTATCAGCATTGTGACCACCTGGAGCATTCATGAACTGCCTCTAAATATGACTGCTAGCACGACTGACATGAAAGCCATCAGTGTTGTACTTCGTTCTTTTTTCTATTTCACCCTCAGCCACTCAACATCTTATCTTACTTTGAAGTGATGTTCATCTGTTTTTTTGGGTTTTGATCTAATATTTACCGACTGTATTGATCTTCTTCTTAAAGGAGAAGGAGATGAGAAGATTGCACGCCGTCATAATGAAGCACCAGGTTGGTCTTTTGTCCACAATATTACACAAATCAACCTCTCCTCTTTATTTGAGCAGCTTTACTGAGATTAAAAGTCTGAGATTTATTTACCCAATGAAGTGATTTCGTAAAATACATCATGTAAAGCTGAGATTCTTGTTTTACTTCCTCAAAGCTTACCATTACATTTGATTTAGCCTGTCTCTTGCATTGATTTTAATGTGTGGTCTTCTATTTGTTAATTCTCTGCCGACTCTTCCTCCCAGGAGTTGGAGAGGCATAGACTAGATATGGTATGGGTATGTTTGTTTCTGTACATTCAATAACATATCGTTGACGTCTTGTGATCAGTGGTTGTTGTCATACCCGTGCCTGTAAAGAGTAGCATTGGCTGCAGTCATACTACATCTTTCTGCATGGCCTTTTTCAAAAAGTGCACTCAAACATCTGCTCTGTCCTTTTTGTAACAAGAGAGAAACACACTCTTCATGCTGCTGCTGCTGCAATCAAAAGGCCTCAGACACCCTGAACGCCTGAAAAAGCACAAACTGCCTTTACTTTTTGTATCATTTTAGATCAACTAAATTAGAGTACTTACAATCTGTTTACTCTGCAGCATGTGAGCCAGCTTTTTATAATCTATTCTATCACCTGAAAAATGAAAAAAATCAATACACAGTTTGTATTCTTGCCAGAGAGTTAATTGAATCAACATTTGGTGGTCTTATCAATTTTCCTGATATTCAAATGTGTCATCCTGGCTTTGCTTTTGAATTATTCTAATAAAAAGATAAACTTCAAACTGTAAGAAAGGCAAATATGGCATGATTGACTTTTTGAAGACAAGGTTTTACACTGAAGACATTTTCAACTAGATATATACTCAAGGATGTTTTGACATCTTTCTTTTTTTTGTCAGTGTTTAGCAGCTTTACGTGTTTTGATTGTCCGTGTATCACTCAGTGTTTGCTTATACTTCCAAAACCCCTGGCCTGGACCTTTCAGTCTGCTGCTTGCCACCTTGCCTAGTTTAATAATATTAATTTCTAACTTTGAGCTTCTGCTGTATGAATGCGTCAGTATCAGTTTTGACCTGTCACTGTGGCCGTTTTGATTTTTTTGTTGGTGTACTGTCATGTTTAGATATTCTGCAATGTGCAAAATATTGAGTGTGTTTTGATTGTGGCAAATCTGCGTGTCTTCTTCTTCTTCCATGCATGTCATGGGGTTAACACCGGTCATAGCATATCTTTTAATCTTTGTTAATATGGAATTGATTTAAAACAGATTAAACTGTGTGTTTGTGCTTCGGCAGGAGAGGGAAAGACGCAGGCAGCACATGATGCTCATGAAGGCAGTGGAGGCTCGCAAAAAGGCAGAGGTGGGTTCGTCCTAATCTAAACATGTGCAGGGATTTGACATAAAAACGCTGTACTCAGCTGCAGAGATGGTAATGCTTCCTTTCTTCTTATGTAGGAGAAGGAACGTCTGAAGAAAGAGAAAAAGGATGAGAAACGGCTGAACAAGGAGAGGAAACTGGAGCTCAAGAGACTGGAACTGGAGAAAGCAAAGGAGCTGAAAAAGCCAAATGAAGACATGTGTTTAGCAGATCATAAGGTATTCACACACTGTGGAACTGCTGGCAGATGATAATGAGAGTCCGTGTTCGTCACTGTGGATACTCTCCATCTGTGGAGTAGATGTGTGTGGAAAGATTAGATTTTCCAGCAGCAGAGGGTTTTCAAACCTGGACATCAATCAGTATAATCACTGCTGGAGCTATAGGCAAGAAGATTAAAAATGCTTTTGACAAATTTATGGATTCATTGTGTCACTTTGAGATCTACCAAAATAGATGCATAATATCACTGAAAGCATCTGGATTTGATTAAAAAGAGAGCAGGTGTAGGTCAAAATACTGCCACCAAGTGGCCACTGCTATTATAAGTTGGTCACTGGTGTTATTGACAGGAAAAAAATCTCTGTAAACAGAACCAACTTTCCAAATAAGCTTGTTGAGCCTGTTAGCACTATTTGCCTCCAGTCTGCCACCCCAGCACACTACAGGGTAGAAAAAGGTGATGGCCACAGACACTGAGAGATCTGAGCCTCCTGAGAAAACACAGGTGGCTCAGAGCCTTCCTGTGGGCTGGACCTGTGTTATTAGTCCAGTCCAAGTCAGTGTCTGCTTTAATACCATGATGGTCACCGAGTTAGGACAGGTCCTCTTGTTTCCTCGTCTTTGTAAGGTTGTCACAAAGTTTCTCTGTGTTCCTTCAAAACATATTTGCATGTGGTTTGGTTCACACCATTTCACAAACCTGTCCCTCTTCCAGTGGGCCTCCTGAACCCTGCTATTACAGCTCAGGATTGCAGGGCCATCAGATAAATTCTGCAGGTGACAGGACTGTGAGTGTGATCTAGTCTAAGCTGTAGAGTGTGGGGAAAAAAAGGGAGATGAGGCTGACCCTTGTTCTGCGTTGATGATGTTTGATATGCAGTTCTGTGGGCCTGCATACTGTGAGCAGCCTGTGAAGTAGTTCACAATCCAGGAAAAATATATCTTGATGAAATGGCAAATTATTTAAAAAAGTCCATTAACTCTTGATGTGATGTTTGACATGTCAAAATCTTGTCTTTGTTCCTCCAGCCACTTCCAGAGTTGTCCCGGATCCCTGGTCTGGTCTTACCAGGAGGTACTCTCTCGGACTGCCTGATGGTGCTACAGTTTCTCCACAGCTTTAGTAAGGTCCTCAGGTTGGACATAAACCTGAACACGCTCAACTTAAGTGTCCTTCAAGAAGGCTTGCTCAACATTGGGGACAGTATGGGCACAGTTCAGGACCTGCTGGTGAGCATGCTCTCTGCGGCTGTGTGTGATCCTGGAATACCTGCTGGTCACAAGGTGAGAATCTGACATTGAACTGTAAATTATTTCTCCACTGTAATTTAGATGTTTGTATACGAGGAGAGATACAGGAACCAGAGCCTGCATACATCATTTGTCTATGTTTTTAAAATGCATTCACTCTGATGTAAATACTCTCTTTACTGTACTTAAACTTTCTCTGCTTTAGGGATTACATTAGTAACAAGGGAGCTAACTTCTTGAATATCAAGTTTGTTTTATTTATGATGTCAAAGGAATAACTTAAGGCATGATAATACATATCATATTCAGCCCTATATTCAATGTTTCTTTCCTCTAAATACATTTAAATATAGTAAAAATATGCAAATCTAATGCTCTGTTTTGCCTGTGCCTTCTCTCAGTAACCCTCTGATGGGTTACAGAAGTTCTGGTTTAAAATTAAACTAAAGAAATGAACACTGTGGCCTCACTTCCTCTATATGGAAACTTTATTTCCACCAGAATAAGACCACCTTGGGGGACAATGTGACTAATGTGGAAATCAACCAAGACAATGTGTCCGAGATCCTGCAGATATACATGGAGGCTCACTGCGAGCAGACAGAGCTGGCTGCTCTGGCCCTCAGCCTCAGGACCAAAGCTTTTCAGGCCCACAGTCCCTCACAGAAAGCCTCTCTGCTCGCGTTCTTGGTTAATGAGCTCTGCTGCAGTAAGGCAGTGATCAGGTGAGTCATGGCTCCTTCTATATGTCTGTCTGCCTTTGATTTGTAGATTTAACACATCGAGGGAACTCAGGTTTGATGGCAGCAATAAACTATTCATAGTGATCCAAAATGGCACTTAAATAAACATACAGCATACATTTAAGGTAAACAGATAATTACTTGAGAAAAGGATCGAGTGTGCTGTACAAAGAGTAGGAAGTAATGGCTTGTTTTATTCATGGGAGCTTCAGTTTTAATGAAAAAGGAGACACATCAAAAGAAATAGGACTAAAATCGTGGTCTGATGGACAGTTTCACAAGGTTGCATCAAACCACGAATCATCAATTTTTCATCAGTTCTGGTAACACTTTGAAACACGTCTGCTCCTCGCTGCAGTGTGATGCAAACACATCCACTTTTATTGTACTGGCAGGTCACAGAAACATGTGTTTCATTATTGTCTGACACTTTTCAGCGAGATCGACAAAAACATCGATCACATGACCAACCTGAGGAAGGATAAGTGGGCCATTGAGGGAAAGCTTCGAAAGTGAGTATTTACATGATCTAAGCCGATCTTAATTCAGGTGAATGAGTGATCTTCAACCAAACTGTGTGTTTTTTTTGTCCTGAAAGACTGAGGAGGATCCATGCAAAGAAGACCGGAAAGAGGGACAACAGTGCAGGGGGAGAGGACAGCCACATCTTTATCATCCCTACAGCTCGAAACAAATCCAGGAGGAAAGAAGGAGAAAGCGAGGAAGAAGAAGACGAGGATGATGACAGTGAAGATCAAGGAGAGGATGACGAGGAGGAGGAGGAGTTAGGGGGAAAGAAGGGAAAGAAAGCAGAGATATGTGAGGAGGAGGTCAGTACTAATATTTTTCATTGATATTGGTATACCATACATGTCAATCACTCTTCTGGTGATGTCACACTTATGAGATGTTGTTTATCTAGGACAACAGTGTTCAGTCAGCCAGCATGGAGGAGCTGGAGAAACAGATAGAGAAAACGTACAAGGTAAGTGAAACCCTGTGAGTCCTTTTTCTGTTCAGTTGCAGCTCATGAATAAATGAAACGATCTGCTCTTTCTGCCCCTTTAGCAACAGAGTCAGATCAGACAGAAGTTAGCGGACTCATCTCACTCTCTACGCTCCATGATGATCGGACAGGACCGCTACAAGAGACGTTACTGGATCCTCCCGCCGTGTGGCGGTATCTTTGTGGAGGGCATGGAGAGCGGTGAAGGTGCAAACTAGAAACTTTTTGTTTTTTTCTATTCTTAGTTTTGAAAAGTTGATGTCTTGTTTAAGTTAACCTTTGCTCTCTCAGGTCATGAAGAGGTGGAGAAGGAGAGGAAAAGGCAGAGGCCCGCTCAAGCTGTCAAGATAGAAGAAGAGTACCTGGAAGACACAAAGAAGCCAGTGGTTTCCAGCCCAGCACAGAGCACAGACAATGACACATCCCCACCTGAGAGCCAGCAGGACAAAGAAAGTCTTAATCTCTTTCTTCAGAAACCCGGCTCCCTCTCTAAGCTCAGCAAACTCCTGGAAGTCGCCAAAATGGCCCGTGATTCAGACATTGATCCTCACAGCAGTCATAAAAATCACTCAGCACAAGTCCCCACCACTACATCTCATCCGTCATATCCCCCTCCTCAGACAGCTACCGCTCAGCAGGGACTGTTTGATAAAACAGACACTCCGGTGCTCAAAAGCAGACATGAGTCTATCCTTCATGAAGACCAGCTCTCCAAGGTACTAACAGAGAAAAGCAACCAGTGGTTTAGCCTGCTGCCTCGCTCTCCTTGTGACGAGTCCTCTGTCACCTCTGGCTCCAGCCCTCTCACCTCATCCTCTCCTTTACAGACTAACAGCAACAAATCCCCTTCCCCCCTGTCCTCTGATCCTGTAGCCACAGACAGCTCCAGTTCTCCTGCTGGGATCAATAACATGCAGCTGTCTGTCCTCCAGGTTGGTGGATAAAAACAACACCATACTAAAGTCTGTTACAGTTGTGTTTAATGGGGCTGTTTGGATATATATCCGGGGTATTAGCAATGAAACTGCATCATATCAGGTGTGTTTCTTTTGATATTATTTGTATGTTGAATTAAAGTTGAAGGATGTGTGTTTTTCCTCTCAGCAGTTTCAGGCAGGCATGAATGAAAGCAGACCAACACTGTGTGACATGTCAAGCGCCTCAACAACTCCCAGCCTGCCCTTCACTGGTACTTTTCTACCTCCCATGCTGGTTTTGTCCTCCCAGCATGCAGAGGGTAATGTGAACAGGATCTTCTTCCCAGAAAACAACAAGAGCCAGACCCCAGAGCCCTCGAGTGACAAGCCAGCTTGTGGTCCACTCCCTGCTGTGGACGGGGTCAAGACTCAGGACTACCCCTACCCTCAGCCGATCCCTGAGGGTAAGAACGGCTCACTGCCAGTGCCCACAAGTGAACATGACGTGAATACATGCTGTGATGACTATCGGTCAGTTATAAGAATCTCCTTTGTTGCTGAAATTAAACATTTTCATAAATGTGTGTGTGGTTAGAGATGCTGTGTGGCTGGTGGAGGGTGTCAGACATGGAGGACCTGCACAGCCTGGTTAAGGCCCTTCATAGCCGGGGCATCCGAGAAAAAGCCTTACAGAAACAGCTCCAGAAACACATGGAGTATATGACCCAGCTCTGCACCAGCACCAAAGATGGTTTGTGACATTTTTTCTGTCCCTTTTGAGTTAAAAATGTACAGACTAAATAAGCTATTTGTGACAGCTTAAAGGGATAGACACCCCCTCGAGAGATGAATGTTGCCAACCGCTTGCTTCTCTAGTTTTACCAACTTAATTAACGACCGCACGATAGCAATACACAGCAGTCAATCAAAAAGCCACAAATAATGCTCAGAACAGCACCTAACTTCATCAACAGTACATATAGGGTCCCAGCCATAGGAATAACCGCCAAACATCTTTTTAACTTTGGCTAATTTCTTTAGCAAAACTAAACTCAACTTACCTACTCTCTTCCAGCAGCTGCTTGTTTGTAGGGAGCCCTGATGAGTCGATCACCGAGTGCAGCAGAGTTCTGCAGCTCAAGGAAGAACATTTAGGATAATTTCTTCACGAAATGCAATCAGACTGAGACGCTAAGGCAGAAGAACTACCACGCCTGCAGTGCAAAATGATTAAAATGATGATTATTACTTAATAGAAATGATAAAGTAATGATCATAAATGTTCTTCCTTGGGCTGCGTCACCCCGCTGCAGTCAGTGATGGACTCGTCCGAGGTCTCGCTACAAACAAGCAGCTGCTGGAAGAGTGTAGATGAGTTGTGTTTGGCCTCTTTGCTAAAGAAATTAGGCAAAGTTAAAAAGATGTTTGGTGGCTAGTACTATGGCTGAAACCCTATATCTACTGTTGATGTAGTTAGGTCCTGTTCTGAGCATTATTTGTGGCTTTTTGATTGACTGCTGTGTATTGCTATCGTGCGGTCGTTACTTAAGTTGGTATAACTAGAGAAGCAAGCCGTCAGCAATATTTATCTCTCGACAGGGTGTCTGACTCGCTGTGACGGTGTGTTTGACCCTAACTTAATTTTAAGCCGGAATATCCCTTTAACGGTTCATAAAAAATGTGTAAAGTCAACAGTGGTTTGCAGTATTCTGTGTGTGTATTTGTGGTAGTGATTGATGTGACACAGCTGGACAAGCAGGAGGTGTGTGAGGAGATGGTGGCAAGTTGGTGTGTGGAGGAGCAGGCCATGGACGTGGACATTAGTTTGTTGCAGCAGGTGGAGGAGCTGGAGAGGAAAGTCATCTCTGCCAACCTGCATGTCAAGGTACATACAGTCAAGCACCCCACTTCTTTATCTTCTACTTATTTTAGAGAGTGTTCTCTGAAAAAGTCTTCAGTGCCTCTTTGTCCTTTTGTTGTTTTTGTGCTAATAGTAGTTAACATCACTTGTCCCCTCAGGGCTGGATGCATCCCGAGCCTCAGTCAGAGAGTGAAGATCTGGTCTACCATGAGCACAAGCTCTTTACCTCCCATCCTGCTCCAGAGAGACACAGACAGAGAGAAAGCAGCCATGAGGAACTCCCTGGCAGTGTGGTGCGGCGGCCTAACAATCCCCTTGACATAGCTGTCCTCAGGCTGGCAGCGCTGGAGAGCAACATCGAGCGAAGGTACCTAAAGAGAGTCTTGAGTGTAACCTTTAAAGGCAAACTAGATAATGTCGAGCTTCCATCTCTGCCATCCTTGAGTGGTGAAGGGAAGAGTTAGCCTTATCTACACCTTAGAGACAGTTACACAGGAGCAACATTGGTTCGTCTTTTTACTTATTTTCCCCTTGTTGAGTGTCAATGGTTGGTATTCATCTCATGATAGTCTAGCAGGCCATATGTGTGATGGCTGTACAGTAATACTGCGCCCTGTGTTTTCTTTTAACCTCAAGCAGTGAGGAGGCAGCCGCTCCAGGGATGAGGTTGTGGCATAAAGCGCTCGGTGAGGCCCGCAGCTCAGCTCAGCTGTCGCTCTGCATTCAGCAGCTCCAGAAAAGCATCTCCTGGGAACGATCAATCATGAAAGCGGTTTGTGTCCCCTCGAATTCTCTCTCAAAATCACACACCAATTTACAGCTCACATATAAAGATGTCAACCGTTCTTTATGGCTAGGACAGCACAGTTAGCCTGAACATTTAGGGGCTCCTAAGAGGGTCGTTTTCAGAGACAAGAGATAAACAAAAGCAATCACCTTACAACACATCAGTAACAGTCAACAACTGCATTAGATTAAAGCAAAATATCTTACATAAATGCAAAATGATGAAATGACAGAAATGCAGGAAACATTCATTTGTTTGAGTGTCTGAATGTTTTGTTTCCAGTACTGCCAGCTATGTCAAAAGGGGGATAATGAGGAGCTGCTCTTGCTCTGTGACAGCTGCGACCAAGGATGCCACACATACTGCCATAAACCCAGGATCACCACTGTTCCTGATGGGAATTGGTACTGTCCCACTTGTGTGACAAAGGTACACCAGCAAGCTGAAAAACAACCTGTCTGGGCAACAGATCCAGGGGGTCTCAACACATTTAGCATAGCTGCATCACATGTACAGGTTTGGTTAATTGATTTAAATATCATGTGTTTTGTATGTCTCTACAGCAGCCTTCTGTGTGCGCTGTCACTCAGGAAAGTGGCCAATCCCCCCGGAGCAGGAGGCACCAGAGCCGAACAGCTGGAGGAGGGAAGAAAGGCAGCGAGGTAAAACGAAATAGCAAGCCATCTGTGGTAGAAGAGCTCATCAGAGAGGAGGCTACCAGCAGCAATGCTGCGCCAAAGAAAGGTACCAAGGAGGTTAAGAAGAGGAAAGGAGGCGACAGCCCGCATGGCTCCCAGGCCGGGTATGACAGCCCCAGCCCCTGTCAAAAAAAAGCCAAAACAGCTAAAGACAACAATACAAACAGACTGGGGATGTGTGGGTAAGAACGAATTTCTCCTCAGTGCATGAGAGAGTGGGCCGTACTTAAAACACCTCTTCTCTCTGTTCAGAAAGCTTTGTTCCATATGAGTTGTTGACTTGAACATCATTAACCACACACAATCTTTGCACAGTACATGTGTTTTGAATATCTGACATTTTAACCAAATCTAACAATGTTAAGCTTCACTGTAACTACTTCAAACATTGTATTTGCAGGACAAAGTGCTCAGCTTTATTTCCCTTTTTCTCTGCAGCGAGCTGCTGTCTGAGCTTGAGGCCCACCCAGATGCTTGGCCCTTCCTCACACCAGTCAATCATAAATCGGTCCCAGGATACAAGAAGGTCATCAAGAAGCCCATGGACTTCTCCACCATCAGAGAAAAGCTCACCAACAACCAGTAGGTTGTTTAAAAAAAAACAGTCACAGTTTTACATTTATGCTTCATATGCACAGTAATGTGTTTCTTTTACTTAAATGCCAGCAATAATTGAAGGTAGAACCTTTTTCCGGTGATTACAGGTACTTGAATTTGGAAACCTTCATTGTGGACATCAACCTCGTTTTCGAGAACTGTGAAAAGTTTAATGAAGATGATTCACAGATTGGACGAGCCGGGCACAGCATGAGGAGATTTTTTGACAAACGATGGACTGAACTGCTGCAATAACACAGTTTGAACTTTGTAGGCTCCTTCTCACTAATCAAACTTCATATTTTGCGGCTCTGGCCTCTCCTTCAACTGTGGCGCTTAATGGATCTGATGTGCAATGAGAGGATGACTTCTCCTGCTGATAAAAAACCTCAAAGTGCAATATTTTTCTTTTTGAAACAACACTGACTTTGGACCACTGACTTCAGACATAATTTGGGCTCTATGTACGATCAATAGGTTTACTCGGTAGATACTGTAGGTCATTGTCATTTCCAATATCAGTGCTGAATTGTATATGTGTGTGTTTATTTTCAGAAGTATTGTGTTACAATTGGTCATTTTTTTTAAGAAAAAGCAGAAAAAGGCACACAACTTAAAAATAATGGTTGTTTTGTGGACTATAAAACAAGCCAGTTTACAGCTTTTTGACAATAAGGTCACAGCAGTATCACTGTTTAACTGTATTTATGTTAATAGTCTCATTTTCAAAATGTACACACAGTAACAGTCTTGGTAAAACATTGTTGATGCATACACATGATTGTAGCACTTCATATGTCTGATTCTGTTCTTTTTTGTTCCACTCAAAAACACTGTGGTCTCCTCAGTATTGCAGTGCCTGGTTTTTGACTTCTTAAGAGTGTACAGATGAGTTTCTTTTTTTCAGTGTGTGTGTATGTGTGTGTGTGTACTGTACATGTGCCTGCGCAATATCCTGCAGGAAATCCTGAAAATACAAAATGTCAAACTCTTTGGAGCCCCTGAAAAGAGTCAGTGTGGTGCATATATCATCTCCAAGCATTTCTGTCAGCCACCATCCTGTCAGACATCCTGTGGACGGACCTGAAACCTGCACTGGGCTTAAATCCAGCAGAGAGAGGAGCGGAGGGAGTCAGACGGTGTCATGGTCCAGCGGAGGCGTCTTCAGACAGCTGAAGCCAGAAGACTTGAAGTAACTGTATTATATGATGATGAATTTCGTGAAATGAGTAGTGACTTTAATTGGGGATATTATTTTTAAATAATGGGTGTGTGACAAGGTTAAAATAAACTTTCAAAACTGTCTGGCCCTCATTGAGGCCCACATTAAATCTCTTTGATTAAACCAACATTAAGTTCAGAGTTTGAAACATTCAGTAATTAATTAGATTAGATTGAGGTAGTTAAATTTCGGTTAAGTTAATGTGGGTTGAATGCTGCTACAAAGTTAAAATGAAAGGGAGTTCAGACACAAACTTAGAAGATAACTCAAAATGTTACTTGATTTAAATCCTGCACTCGTAAAAAAATATATATATATTTTTAAAAAATCTGTATTTAACAGCAACATTTGTTTTACACTGAAATATTTTTTAAAAATATACATCTCATCCATCTAAGAGAACTACCTGGAGAGAAATGGGTAAAATTAGATAAATTCAAATTAAGTTTTCGAAGCAATATATGACAAAATAAAAAAAAACTGAAGCTTTGACATATCAACTTAATCGTTATTTGCGTGTTAAATTCAGTTTTAGACATTTTTAAAACATTTAGAAATCACTCCATATACTGTACACCCTCGTTTGTTCTAAAGATGTTTTTGTCGAGCTGTCGACTCTGACCATTGTGTAACTGAACATAACTCAGTCACATGACAGATAACAGCTGTGAGAGATAGACTTTATGGCTCTGTTTAAAGAGGAAGTTTTCCACGACAGAAGCGAAGCAGCAGTCGAGTTCAAGGTAAGTTTGTTTTCAGTATTTCAGAGGAAAATGTAAGGTTTAGTGGAGCTCTTAGCCCGTCGTCTGTTTCTTTCTTCTCTCTCTCCTCAGACGGATATTTGAGTATTTTGCGCCACCTTGTGAGTGAAGTGCTCCCTCAGCAGAGCTCACATCTAAAGATGGTGTCACTAATGTGCACTCTGAGAGATCACACAGACGAGGTGGGCTGCTGTGCCTTCTCCCCATCCCTCCTCGCGACTTCCTCGGGAGATAAAACCCTGCGTGTTTATAACACAGCGGACTTCTCGGAGGTCCCCTTCTCCCCTCTCTCGGGTCACGGCTACGGGGTTCACTGCTGCTGCTTCAGTTCATGCGGAAGTTACCTGCTCAGCTGCTCCACAGACGGCTCCGTCATCGTGTGGAGCTCAGAGACAGGTGAGAGGGCGGCGGTGCTGCAGCACCCTGATCGCAGTCCACTCCGAGTGTGCGCGCTGGCCCCAGACTCCTCCCACCTGCTGGCCGGGGCCTGTGACGGTACTGTGGCCCTGTGGGACTTCACCTCCAAGACACTACGCAGGTACAGTGTGGCCTTCAGTGTGAATCACGTAAATGACTATAAATCATCAAGGCCCCTCTACACTGCAGTTCTAGCCTCACAGATGCATGTAAAGCACATTTCTGAGGCAGCCTTTGCCTTTATAAGCTTTACTGAATACAATAAACAATTGATCCATAATAAGAGATGTAAAAAACAAAAAGGGAAGAGTGGGGTAAGTTGAGCCACCCCCTGTTGCTTGGAAATGGTAAAAGAAATTAATCATGTGACCAAATATTTAGGAGATGGGCATCAATTCATGGAGTCTGTGAAGGTTAGAAGCACATGGGTGAAGGGGTTAGACATTTATTTACAAAAAAACATTTTTCACTCTTGAAAGTGAATTTAGTCTGTCACAAGTTTTATTAGAATTGTCTTCAGACCAAAAAAGATCATTTTAAATTTGTTTTATACATCAATTGAAATATCTATGAGCTATAACATGAGGTCAAAAACCTAACATAAAAGTCCACCATTTTAGCTCAGAGGACTAATAAAGTCATAATAATAGTTCTGGGGTAAGTTGAGTCAGTGACTCAACTGAGAAAGTAAAGAAGTCTGATGAGAGGATCAGAGTTTCAGTTCAGATTGTTGAAATGTGTTACTTTTTCTTTTCAAGGATACAGCTGTGAATGTTCTGAATCACTTAAATACATTCTCATTCTCATGTTAAAATGACTTTTTACAAAACAGCTTTTCAGAAGTTATATGCTATAAAAAACAGTATTGTACCAGTTGAATAGTTTATAATAAATAAAAATACACATGAATGTAAAGAAGTGACTGTTATTTAGGGAGAGAGAAGGTGAGGGAGGGCTTGGGTGGAGAGTGGGGGAGTAGTAGGGATACGGCTCAACTTACCCCGCACCTATGGTACACAGGGTAAGTTGACCATAGGAGACCACTTTTTATTGGCATGCAATATTATCAAGACAGTTATGTTAACACTCATTCTGTTGTTTTGCAGGGATGCACAACATTTTGAAATATATGCAGATACCCTAGTTAGATGTCTTGATGTAGTGATCCGAAATATGAAAAATGGCTCATCTTACCCCACTCTCCCTTAAAGCATCAAAAACAGGACTTACTAGTGCTCATTTTTATTAAATGACTGACTCCTGCCAGCTGAGCATCTGAATTGTTTTAGTAATTCCTTTAGGCAACCTAAGCCAAAGTCATCATGAGCACAAAAGTTCATTCTTAAACTTTGAAAATGACAGAATTTCCAATTACATGGTCCACAAACTTGGTTGGTTTTTACAGAGCTTTAAGCCACATCTTGTAGCAGTGCTGTGCTTGCAGCCCTCATCATCAGCAAAAACTATGCCCTCAAGGTTATTCTGAGTCTTTACTGTGCAATTCTGATTGGGCATCAGAGCATTGCCCACTTTGTACTCAGGAGAAGTGCATTATAAAAGAAATCTCAAAGACAGAAATATGCTGTCTGAATTGCAACAGAAAATAGTTTCAGGGCCTTATCACAACTTAAGATGAGATAGTTCTTCTGCCAAATTTCCGTTTCTTTTCTTAAGGGAAATAGGACTTTATTAAGGCAGGTTCAACCATAGACACATGTGAGACCAATCCCTGAATCGTTTGTTTGTAACAGATGCAGTGCTGTGAGCGAGGCCAGTGTCGTGGCCTGCTGCTTCTCCCCCTGCGGTCAGATGTTTGTGAGTGGCTGCACCTATGGAGACCTGAAGCTCTGGGATGTGACAGACGTGAACCTGCTGCATGCTGAGAAGGACGCCCATGACCTGGGGGTAACCTGCTGCAGCTTTGCACAACAATTTAAAGTTGGTGAGTAAAGTTCAAACTGTGACACTGTGTACCCTCCAGGGCCTTTCTCAGACCTAGATCCTCAGCTTGCACACCTTCACTCCATTTCCTTGTGGACGGTCTGCCACATTAAACCTGAGAGTGGAGTGGGAGTGGGTTGTTTATCCACCTGACAGTCGGTCTACACCAATGCTGGTCCACTGACCATGATCCTTTGTTAATCATGAAAGAAACTAAGCAGATTAAAGAAAGCCCTGTAGTGTTTTCTGTGTGTGCTCTCATGCATTGCAGCAGTTGATTTCACTTTTTTACACTTGTGTGTGTTTTACCCTTTCTTTTATTCCTCCTGTTTTTCATAAATTCTTTGTTTTAGCTTTTTCTTTGGTTTTGTTTTATCAGTACATCCTTTATCCCCAAAACACTTCAGAGGAACAACAGATGGGTTCAGCCAAATCTGTGTAAAGAAGCAGAAAGTTTGTTGATGTTTGCCTCTAGTGATTGGTGCTGCTGCCCTAAGACATGAAGGTGAATTAAGTGTTGGTTTTGCTAAGCCACTCTTTAGCCACAAATAATGCTCAGAGCAGCACCTAACTTCATCAACAGTACATATAGGGTCCCAGCCATAGTACTAGCCACCAAACAACTTTTTAACTTTGCCTGGTTTCTTTAGCAAAGAGACCAAACGCAACTCACCTACTCTCGTCGAGCAGCTGCTTGTTTGTAGCAAGACCTCAGGCCAGTACATCACTGACTGCTGCGGGGTGACGCAGCTCAAGAAAGAACATTGATGATCATTTCGTTATCATTTCCTTGAAGTAATAATCACCACATTAATCGTTTTGCACTGTAGTCACGGTAGTTCTTCTGCCTTAGCGTCTCGGTCTGATTGCATTTCCATGAAGTAATAATGTGGTGTGTTTGACCCTAAATTAATTTTAAGCCGGAATATCCCTTTAACTAGTGTGTAAATTATACGTTGATTGATCTATTGTTATTATATTCATTTATTGTGATATTTCTTTGCCTTTAACATGTATCCCTTTGAGGTCTCTGGATGTAAAGGGCACTACAAATAATATGTTTTTTTAATCATTCTTATTATTAATATAATTATTATTATTTAATTAAATATTTTAATCAAAATCTTCATAAACTACATATCTTTGGGTCTTGGTCTGTGGGTCAGATAAAACAAGAAATCTGGAGACAGACTGGGCTGAGTATTTTTGTTGACAATCTCTTAAAATTAAAAAGTATTTATATTATCCAATTCCTATTGAATAATAATAATAAAATGATAATAGATTTTTAACCTTAAACTGTTTATATCTGAAGTCAGTACAAACAAACTGAAGTTCTGTAGTTACATTTCACATTTTGCCCGTGTTGAGGGCAGCATGTTTTATTCATTTATGAATTGAAAAGCATTTATGCTGTGTGTTTATTGATGCAGTTGCAGAACAAAAAGTCATATACTGTCATGGAAATCCTGCCTGAATCCAAACACTATATTAATACCACATGCCGTGCAAAAGATGCCTGTTGTTACTCCCCACAAACAGGTTGTCAGTTGATATCTGTCTCCTTTTGTTATTAAGCTCACTCGAGTGTGAACATCCATAGACTGTGGCTGTTTTTGCCTTTTTGTTTTTTTTCTTTGCAGATGGCTGCTGTGTGGAGTTTCGACTGGCCTCCTGTGGGCAGGACAGCCAGCTGAAAATATGGATTGTTTCCCAGCGTGATGGAGCGGGTAGGCCAACCTCTCTGCCCACTTCTTCATCTTAAAGCTCCCTCACTCCATCACCTGAAAAAGAGAGAGAGAAAGAGAGCGAGAGAGGCAGCTTACTGCTATAACCTTGGATTCTCTCTGCAGAATAGAAGAATTTTATTACTGCATGGAATAAATCAGCTGCAGACTGACTCATTAATAATGGATCACTTTAAGACACTGCTGAAATACAGCAGCAGTAGGGGCAGAGGACAGGGTGTGTGTGTGTGTGTGTCTGTGTCTGTGTGTCTGTGTGCACATGCAGGTGGAGAAGAGTTGGAACACAACCAGGTGCATATATTCTCTGTGACATTTCTATCATGTTAAACCAGGAGCAGAACAAGAACATTTCCTGTACATTCTCTGCGCTTGTATAAGCAGCCTACAGACCTTATTTTCATTAGCGACGAATTCCATGATGTTGTTAGGTCCTGAGATGTGTTGCCTTGGTAACGATCATTTCTTCGAAGGATGCAGTGTGCCCTATGTGGTGACCTGCTATGCTCAGTGGGGGTTTTTCTCATCCCTGAGCGGCTTGTAGAGGGACACAAAGAGATGAATGTTCGTTTTGCTTCTTTAAAAGGATTTTTTTCCCGGAACTGTTTTTCTCCGCAGAGGGGCTGAGATTGGCATTTCTTTGTGTTTGCACGATGATTACATGCTTTAATCCTCTTCTAGTTTCCAACTGTAAAATGACTCAACTGCATGATGAAAAAAGATCTACGTTACCAAAGTTTTGATACAGATCGGCTGGTCAGAGCTCAACAATGTCAGTCTTTTAAGCCCTTTCCTTTCACCCAGCAGCATGTTGTTTATCAGACTTATTTGACTGGAAGTGTTCAGCAAGAATTTATCAGGTGGTGTTTTTGTTTTTGTCATATTCAAATAAACCTCTCACAGAGGCGGCGAACCTTATATTAACTCTAATGGAAAATAGGGAGGTTTCATTTAATACACATTAGTGTTTAAAGGCCTATTATTCAAATGCTGCTACAGACCAATTAATTGTGGCGTGTGGGATTGTTGCTCAGTGAATTATCAGCCTCTGCTCAGAGGTGTCTCGGTATCTGAAGCAGTGAGAGTCTCAGGTTTATTGCCAAAAAGAAAATCTTTTGTTTCCCAGCAGCTGTCAGCAGGAGGCACAGCTGTGCAGCAGCAAGGAGGGAGACAGTTATTGACAAAAGTTTGGAGTGTGAGCTGACTGAATGGACTCAGACGATGATGCACTTTGAAGAGTGTGTGTGTGTGTGTGTGTGTGTGTGTGTGTGTGTGTGTGTGTGTGTGTGTGTGTGTGTGTGTGTGTGTGTGTGTGTGTGTGTGTGTGTGTGTGTGTTTCAGAGATGGAACTTTTAGGATTTTTTGGGGGGTCAATTTATGGACAGTTTCCTGTAAAGTGGTTGCTGAACAATACAGACATGATGAGATTTTGAACTTGTACCTTACCTCTGTGTTGTGTGTGTGTGTGTGTGTGTGTGTGTGTGTGTGTGTGTGTGTGTGTGTGTGTGTGTGTGTGTGTGTGTGTGTGTGTGTGTGTGTGTGTGTGTGTGTGTGTGTGGCCCCTCAGCCAGTGTCATGAAGCTGCTTCACACTCTCACCAACCAGTCAGCTCCAGTTCTGTCCTGTGCCTTTTCTCCTGATGGAGAGATAGTTGTCTCAGGGTAAGGCTCACACATGCACTCCCGCACTCACACACACACACAGGTGCGCACACACTCTCTCCATGTCTTTGTGAGCAGCACTAATAAACTCCTCCTGCACTGGCTGCTGAATAATATTGACTTTTGTGCCTGTCAGGCTTGTGTTTTGAAGAATGATTCATTGGCTGAGAAATCATTTGCTCATTAAGGACAAATTAAGTTTGAATTAATTTCTCCTCTGTGTTTAAATTGCTTTTTTTTTTCCTCTTCGGTTGTAAATGGCAGATGTCGGTGTTGAGCACTGATCCTGCTGTTCCCTCAGTTGGCCACAGGAGGAGTGTCTTTTGTTATGTTTAGGCGTCTGCTGTTTGGTGTCTGGCTTTGATTCAAACATGCTGAAGGTTAATCTGTGCTCTGATGGCAGCATTTAGTCACATTTGAATAATGGACAGGAGTCTGATTCTTCTCTTTAACACTCTGTGATTAAACAAACACGTATGTACCAAAGATGACTTTGTTTCCTCTCATCCTTCCACAGTTCAGTGGACAAAAGTGTAGCTGTGTATGATGCAGTGAGTGAAGAACAACAAATACATTCCCTGTTAAGTTTTTTTACATTTGCTGTTTACACAGAGGTGATAAAGCGTTCCTTCTCATATTTGTTTGTTCTTTGCTTACAGAACCTGGGAACTCTGCTCCACACTCTGAAACAGCACGACAGGTAAATGACCGGCCCTCCTGCCGCTATGCAATCTCTGCAGCTATCAGACAAACAGCGGCGCAGGAGTCCTGGTGTTTCAGATCAAAATGTGCGATTTTTGCTTGATTAGTTTTTCCCAGAAGCACTGGGTGTGGTGATGCAATAGCATCCAACTCTGCTTTCCAGACAGTCATTGAAGTGGCACCGCAGGTAAGCGCAGGCAGAGCTCTTTGAAGTGCTTGAAAGGATTTAAGACATTGTATGATCTAAGAATGCTTTTTTTCTTATTTTTTTAAGGGCAGCGGCAGCAGCCCGTCTTTAAAGCACATCTCTTCCTGTGCTGTTTTTTAGCCTTTCATACACACCCTTCACATTACTGCTCCTCTTCCTCCTCCTGGCAGGTACGTGACAGCTGTTGCCCTGTCTCCCACTATGCCCTGGATTGCAACCGGCTCCATGGACAGAACGGTGAATGTGTGGAGAATAGGAGATGAAATCAGCGCGGCTGGTAAATACTTAACAGAGAGTTGTTTAGTTTGGCGTCTAAAATGCACAATCACTCCTCTTTTTATAAAACCAGACTATTAGCAGTGGTTCAGAGCCCAGAAGCCATTTGGAGCCTCCCAAAAGAGTGTTTTGGGAGCTATCCAGCAGGAGAAGGTCCCATTACATGTGTATTGCTGTCTGGCTGCAGAGACTAGAGGAAGCATTGCGATTGATGTTTATTGGTGCAGCGGGGTATACTACCGCCAAGCCTCAGAGAGTTGTTGTTATTGAGGTGGATCTTCCTTTAAAAAAAGTTTCAGCCCAACATGAAAGAGAAAGATGGGAATCGTAAATGAAGAAGGTGCAATCGTCAGACATCTGGAGGCCTTGACTCTTCGTTGGGGCTGCAGGTTGATTTTTATGAACCATATTTCAGCTCAGGGAAGACCTCGCTCTTTATTCCTCTCCTTTCGCTCCGTTTTCCTCCTTTTCCTTTAATCTTCTTTCTGCTTTCTTTCCACATATTCAACTTATTCTCTTTTATGTTTTTCCACAGACTCTGAATCACAGCAGACAGTGTGCCAAGGTAAATAAACGCATCACTCTGTTTTACCCATAAAAATCACTAGAGATCCGCGTTGCTCCTTCTGCCAGAAAAATGCTGCTGTTTTATTTGATATGTACTTAATGCATGTGTGTGTGTGTGTAAGTGTGAGTTTGTGTGTGTGTGTGTGTGTGAGTGGTTCAGGTATCACTTCAGCACAGGTGTTAAGATGATGAAAAACATCTTCTCTTTTTGCCATTGTTGCAGTTGATTGTCGTAATCCTGGCATGGCAGTGAAAGCTTTTATTTTATCTTTTTTAATACAGTGTATCACACTGTGTGAACCTCAGAAAGGTGCTTTCAGAAAGCTTAGGTGGATGAAATTAATAATAGCTGGAGTCCGGCTTTAAAGGACAAGGCTGGTATTATTGAAGATATTTCTCTGGATGCAAACTAATCCCATGAAATCACCAAAACCATTAAAGTGTTGGTTTGTTTCCAAAAGGCTTTCCTTAACAAATTAGACCTACAAACTTTATTTAAGTGTTCAGATACACTGTTCTTTGTAAAAGTGATTTTTAGCTACTGTAGCGAACACTCAAACTGCTTTTGGTTAGTTTTGGGCCTGTGGTTCACCAGTTTGTTCCAACCCAAAACATCCAAGTCAGCTTTGGACCACTGCTGTAAAATTAGGCACTGAAACTTTGCTCTCCCTTGAGATAGTTTTATTATACGGCTGTATTGTGGTATGGTTCTGCTCTGAGAGCTCCCTGCCCCTCTGTGTGCTTACGTGGACTACCAGAGCCTGCAGTGGGGAGAGCGCTTTCTTTCTTTTTCATGTGCATGCATACATGAAAGCATAGAAAAACTCCAGAACAGAACATCAATGACAATGCAAAGAAACTGTAAAGATCAGACGCAGTGTAACAGGAGGAGCTGGGTGGAGGTGGGTTGCAAAGCATTTGTGTAGGAAGCAGCAAGAGAAGGCCGGCTGAAGAGGTGTAAATAAACCACCCTCTCTGACATTTGCCAGTTGTCCTGCATGAACTCCCACTATGCTCAATTAGTTAAAAAATAATCATGGTGATTAGCATCTTTTAATAGACGAAGTGCACACGTTTGCAGCCTAACAGGTAATAGCTCAGTCTATAAAGACCAAAGGCAAAATGACACCAATACATCAGTGCATTACTGAAGGAATCCTCATCTGAGCCTATGGTAAGATGAACATTGTTACAGTAGTGTTAAACATACTGTATGTTTGATGTTTTCAAGTGTCTATAGTTGGAAGCTGGTCTTGTGTTGCGTTCTAGTTACCTCAGAAGTTGGATGACTGATCTGTGAATGACATTTCACCAGAGTTCACGGTGTTCCAATAAACAAGTCGGAAAACCAAGATGGACGTCTACTGTTAGCCGTTGTTAGCTGTTGTTTACAATGTCCAGCTGTCGTTGGCAATTGTCAGTTAATGTTAGCCATTGTCAGCGGTTGTTAGTTGTTGTTAGCTATACCAGTTGTAAACAACGCTTAACACAGTATACACTTTACTCAATTTACTCTTACAAACACCATAGCACCGTGTTCACAGTTAGACATTGTTTCACAAAAACAAAACAAAACAGTAGTGCTAATAGATAACCCAGAGCTTGGAAACTCTGACTTCCGAGTACAACTGGAACGCAGCATTGTTATACAACACATATAGGATTTAGGTTGTCAGATGGAGATATGCTGTTGAGCAAGGCACTAACCCCCCCAATGCTTAGGGTACTTGTCCATGTAAAGCCCCCTCACTCTGATGTATCTCCATCTCCGCATGTGCAAATAGGTGCCAACTGGTCTGTATGTATTTAAGCCTGTGTGTGTCTTGTGTCATATAATAGCATAGGGGGAAAAATGTAATTTCCCCTTTAGATTTAATAAGGCCTGTCTTCTAACATCAGCATGCAGCTCAGAGCTAGCTGTGGACTTCACAGGGGTGTTTGTTATGGCAGCACATTAAAGATTCTCTATAGAAAACCTGAAAACTCATCTAGACTCAAAATGATAGTACCACCTCCCCGAAACCAGGCTTGATTGACAGCCCTCTTGGCTGCACCTGTCCTCACTGTGGTGCTGAGTGTAATCAGCCAGAGTGAATGGGAACACCTGTTCATGGGAGCGAGTTAGGCTTTGATTTGAATACACTGACAGTTGGAGCTGATCTCAGGTTTTGTGGAAGTTTGTTCTGTATATGTGAAACACAAAGGCAAATGTTTCTCCTATCTGTTAAGCATCTATTCAGTGATCTGGTCTTTTCCCAGGATTTACTGACAACAGGAAAAAGTGACTGTCACCAGACTCAGTTTGTAAGTAAAAGACTTGATGAAGAGATCTTCATGCATCTGTCCAAGTAATTAAACACTGCAGTGTGAGCTCTTCCAGCCTGCAGTGGGGCTCTGTGAGGTTTTCATACTTTTGGCACGGTGTTTCCATGACTCAGCCTGCTAGACTGAGAGACTCCACACTCTATCAGCTCAGGCTGCAGCAAGGGGGAGGTGTTACTCTGCTCACCGTGGTGCAGAACGAAAAAGTGGATCTTTCCACTTAGTGTGCAACTAGGCTTTGGGCAAGATGCCTATTTACATGGTTTTGGACTACTCAGAAGAGGATTTTTTAGGGTCTGTTGGAGGTTTTTCTCAGGGCTAAAGTGCATAGTGACAATTTATTTTACACACTGGCATTTCCAGAACAGCTATGAGTGAGACACAACAAACTATATTATCTATTAACAGAGCAGCAAATTTGATTCTGGGGTTGGCAGTGCTGCCAAGTCCAGAAATATTTCAACAACTAAAAGCTAAGCTGCCATCAGTGTTCATTTTTCCTGTTTTATGAACTGTGGTGAAAATTGGGACACATGCTGATGCCTCCCTCTAGATAAATTATGGTTATTTCATTCATTTCAGGAACTAATATTTGGTTTATAAAATTGTCTGGCTTACTGCTAGCCTCAGCTCTGTTTTTGTGGTGCCAATGTTAGAGTACTGAATGTCTATTCTCAAAATATAAACACTGGCTGATAGGGGTGGGAGAAAAAGTATTGTGATATTTTGTCTGGTGATATATCATAACGCGATATTTTGTCTGGTGATATATCATAACGCAATATTTTGTCTGGTAATATATTGTATCACAATATTTTGTCTGGTGATATATCATAACGCGGTATTTTGTCTGGTGATATATCATAACGCAATATTTTGTCTGGTAATATATTGTATCACAATATTTTGTCTGGTGATATATCACGATCGCGATATTTTGTCTGGTGATATATCATAACGCAAAATTTTGTCTGGTAATATACCATATCACAATATTTTGTCTGGTAATATACCATATCACAATATTTTGTCTGGTGATATATCACGATCGCGATATTCTGTCTGGTGATATATCGTATCACGATATTTTGTCTGGTGATATATCGTATCACAATATTTTGTCTGATGATATATCATATTGCGATATTTTGTTTTGTGATATATCATATTGCGATATTTTGTTTTGTGATATATCGTATCACGATATTTTGTCTGGTGATATATCATATTGCGATATTTTGTCTTGTGATATATCGTATCACAATATTTTGTCTGGTGATATATCTCATCGTCTCATTGAACAAGTATTGATCTTTCGAATTAATAGCTAATATGAAGTCAAATTTGTGATAATGGAAAAATAATAATAATAAAATCAACAGTTTGTCCAGTGAGGTTGGCAGAAGTGTAGAGCAGGAGAAAGTTAGTACAACAAATAAATAAAAGGTTAGCAAGCCGTGTGACATGAAATGAAATACAACGTAAATAAGACAAACATAAAGGAAAGACAAATGCTAAATTAGCTAAACAGTTGAAAAAAATTGTATTATTCGCAATATATTGTATCACAATACTCAATGTATTGCAAAGTGTTAAAAATCACAATAATATCATATCATGGCCCAAGTATCGCGATAATATCATATCATGGGGCCAGTAGTGATCCCCACCCTTACTGGCTGATAAATATTAGCATGTAAGGCACAGGCTAGTTTATCTATGATTTTCCTAACAGAAAACATTTTTTCTCATTCTTTTGGCTGCCAGGGGAAGGGAGAGGTGACAAGGAAAGCCAACATGTGGTTGGCGTAGCTATGAGCAACACCTCCACGTTCTCAGGGTTATCCTACTGGTCTCTAACAGAGGGCGATGGGAACCATGCAGCTGCTGGGAGGTGTCATTTATGGAGTAACACACAACAGGCCAGTTTATCTCAGCCTGGTGTGATAAATGATGGCGGCCCACTGGTGTAGTGTCATGTGAAGGTTGATTAGCTGCAAACTGGCACCAAGTGAAGACACACAACCCTGGATTTATTTGTCTTCTTTGGGAGGATCACATGCTTGTACGCTTAGTCAGAAGTTTGTTCGTGTGTGTGTGTGTGTGTGTGTGTGTGTGTGGTATTTATCACTTTAACATCAGTGCAGACTGAGTCTACCCTTTGTGGAGGTGTGAAGGGAAATAGTTTACCGCAGATAATTTTTGTTGCTGCAGATGTAGGGAGTTGGAGGTACAAAGCACAGCACTTCCGCCCTTCCTGTTGTGTGTTTTCGCAGGAAGGAAGCTGACGGGTCACTCCAGGCTGCTGCTTGCCGATTGGTCGGAGGAGGATGTGCAGGCTTGGATGTGCGAGGAAGGGCTGCAGGAGCTCATCAGCATCTTTAAAGCCAACAACATCGACGGGCCAGAGCTCAACAAGCTGAACAAGGAAACAGCAACAGAGCTGGGGATCGGTAAGGCATCAGAATATCAAACAAAGTCACAAACATAAGCGTACGCTCCACACACACAGTCATTTCAGTCTTTTCGTGCAGATTTACAGTTTGATCCTAAAACACGAGCAGATTGAATGGGATAGCACGATATAAGCCGCTTTTTCATCGAAGCTTTGATTTATATTTTACCCTCCCCACCCAACAGCTTTCCTCAAACAGTGATCTGATTTAGGGATGTGAAGCCGCAGTGTTTCTATCTGCTTATACAATCATAAATCACGCTGTGAGGACAGTACCCCACAGAATGACCTTTACGTCACAAACAATGATAATCCCTCTGAAAATAAGATTAGTCCGCTCAGGGTTGTCCAAGGGCTCTGTGTGGAGAGTCACTGCGCACACTGTGGCCAGAAACACTCAAAACACTTTCTTCACTGCGGGCCACAGACACCAGTGTATCAGTAATGTATACAGAAGAGCAGGGCGAACAATATGCAACAGTCAGCGTTATCATCCGACCACGTCCATGTTGCTCTTTTATGATGAGTTGTGGCTCTTTTAAGTCAGACTGGAAAAAAAAATCAATAAATAATTTAAAAAAAGGAAACACTGTCAGCAGAATTGATGCATTGCATCACTTCATTCTGTTACAAACCTCACCATAAGTGCCCACAGTTACAGAACCACGTCTTTACAGCGACGCAGACAGTGACGCTGCAGCTGCATGCGGACGCTGCCCCGTCCTGTCAGTCATAACCCCTGTGAAGTGCTTACCGAGCCCAATCAAAACTAGAGATCATGATTCTACCACATCAACTTTTATCTGTCTTTCTAATGGAGCGAAAACCATTTTTGATTAAAGGTTCAGGTGAACTTCAGCCTCTGTTTCAGATTAAAGATGTGGAGTCATGGACACTGATGTTGCATCTACCAACTATCCACGAGCTTCAGGTTTGCAAGATGTGTCATAAACATACACACCTATCATTCAACTCGAACACATCATAATTATGTAAATGTATCCATCGCTCGTAGTCCTAAAATCATTTAAACAGTGAAGTTCCTATGCAGTGTGGATGAATAAAGGAATCATATATTCAGTCTAAATTTATCTTTGTACTACGCTAATTTTGCTGTTGAAATCGGTCATCTAATCATGGGACCTAATGAGGATTCCTTGATTCATAGCCAGCCTCAAGTGGACACTGGAGGAACTGCAGCTTCTGCACTTCTGCAATGGCTTATTTTTCAGTGCCTAAGATCGCCACATGACGCCACCTCTCTTCTTTAACTGATTTATTAGCTCAGTGAACATTTTCCTTTGAACTTTTTTGGGAAAATATGAATCATTTAACTTTATCTTTCAAATATAGTTTCAAATAAATAAATAGATTGGCACTAGTCAAAATGTGCCAGAGACAGAGCTGGACCATAGACTGTATATAGAATCTACAGTACATTATATAGTATATATACTATATACACTATATATAGTATATACAGTCTCTGAGCTGGACTACCTGTTTGATCCATTCACAGTCTACATTGTAACTCACTGCTGAGTTTAGCGACGTCTCACTCATCTACTCACTCAGTGCTCTGCAAATATGCATGTCTCCTAAAAGCTCATTTATTCCTTAAGCCTTTGTTTGCATGTTTGTTCATTACTGAGTGTAAAAACGAATCTAAAGACCTTTGTGGCATCATCTTGTCACTCCTTTTTAAAAATGACAAATATCTTGTTCATGAGTTATGGCCCGTAGCTGAGTGCCAAGCCTGAATACAAAGAAGACTGAATCTAATAGTGTTTTAATTCTCTTATCTTTCACTTTTATTAGCATATTAGAGGCTCCTATCCAAAAGTCTGTGCATGAAATACAGCAGATATAAACTTAATTATTTGTTGTTGAAAATGAAACATTCGAGGTTTGAACCTTGTATTGTGTTTCCTTGGTAGCATTATGTTTTGTGTTTTCTATTTTAATATGCTGGTGGTTTCGGTTCAAGGCAGTGCAATCTTGAATTCTTAATGAGTTGTATAATTTTTAAAGAAAATTGGACAGTTAAACACATACAACAGTACCCAGGGAAGCTGTCTTTGCATTGAACACTAAGTACGTGCAATCAAGATCATTATGCATGAGGCTGAATCACAGTCCTGCTCATGATTATGGTAAGTACACTCTTTTTGGCTGCTGTTGTATACACTTTCATTAAACAGCAGTAGACTTATTTAAAAACAGTGAAACAAGCATGCTGCTCAAGTATGCAGAGTGTGTCCTCTGTCCTGTAGTCCAAGCATCCTTTTTCCAGTGTCTTAACTGAGGAGGACAACTCTAATCATTAGTGCAGAACGAGGACAGAGGAAACAGCAGATTGCCACATTTCTTGTCCTTTCTGGGCTGTGCATCCAACAAACTATCGTTTTCCATGCATGCTGCTTGTGTAAATGTGTGCTCTGGCATATACACACACATGCATGCACACACACCCACACACACACACATAGCAAATTAGATTCCAGCACACTTTACTTGATGAAATATTCATGAATCTTTGAGTGAGGGGAGGAAAAAAAAAGTTCCTCTCAGATATAATTCAGAGTGACTCTGCAGAGAGACAGCCTCATTCTGCAGTTTTATTGTCGCGTCTCATCAAATGATCAATCTAAATGTAAAGTGGACCATATACTGCTAATGGCTTGCACCCTCATGAAAATATGGGAAGTACTTATGGAAATCTTAAACCCTATAGAGGCGTTAAGAGCAGGTTTTTCTATCTAAGAGTAGTTTATAGGATTAATCGGAGGATTTAATGGATTCAGCATGTCTCGCCGTGAGGGGACGTTTTGATTAAGCACTATCACTTTTCCCATAGGATTTCAACTATTTGTGATTGCAACAGCAGGCCACCAAAGCTGCATGAGTCTGTTTTGCTTTAAACTCAATTTGAGGATTTGCAAACACTGAGATCATGCTAAGATTGTGGTTTGAACTTAAACAGCCCTCCCACCCGCCCTTCCTCTATTTTCACTTCCTGCTCTGTGAATTAGTGCAAAATGAAGATCGATAGGCTAGGACATTTCTTTTGCTTAACTACATCATGACGCATTAGTGAATATTTTAAAGGTTGGAGGAACTCATGACCTTAAATAGTCCTTACTTACTTACTGTACACCTAGTACAGCTGATCTAGTCTGGATAGCCACCTTCAGTTTTACCTCGTGATGTAACTAGCAGCTGATCACAAGTCTTGAAAGCATCATAATAAATCAGTGGTGTGCTGATTGATCTTCCTCTATCAAGGTCTTGTAGTTCTTGTTTTGGAGTGGGAAATAATAACTTGACAAAACCCACAAAATCTTGAGTAGAACCACCTTGCCTTAATCACTGAGTGTGTGTGTGTGTGTGTGTGTGTGTGTGTGTGTGTGTGTGTGTGTGTGTGTGTGTGTGTGTCTCTCTCTGCTGCAGCATCCTGATGAAACAAAGAGCCAGATGTATTCCTGAGGAAAAGACAAACACTAAAAGTCGCCTCTTAGCGGAATAAAATTAACATGAAATTGATTTAAGTTTATGTAAAACACCGGGCCCTTGTTTGTTTTCATCATCAGTCTTTGCTTCGCTTTTTTTTTTGTGTGTTTTAAGAACTTGGACTGTGTATGATTTTTTTAAAGTCATATTTGAAAACTTTGTTGGCTTTTCCAGAGTCTGTGGGCCTTCGGGGTCGCCTCCTGAGAAAGATTGAAGCCCTGAAGGCAGAGCAGAGTGGGTCAGAGGCCCCAGATGAGTTTCTGTGTCCAATCACCAGAGAGCTGATGAAGGATCCGGTCATTGCTGCAGGTCGGAAAACTCAGAAGTCTTTCACTGAGTTCACAATCATTTCTTTCTCTATTTTCTCAATGTGTTGTCAAAATGTGTCTTCCCTGCAGATGGGTACTCATATGAGAGACAGTCTATTGAGAGCTGGATCAGGGGTAAGAACAAAACCAGCCCCATGACTAACCTGCCCCTGCAGACCACGCTGCTCACCCCTAACAGATCTCTGAAGATGGCCATCTCACGGTGGAAGTCCAGCCAGTAAACAGCAATGTGTTTCAGCCACAATCCAACTCATTAGGTACCTCATTATCAACAGGGAATCTTTAATCTAATAACAGAGTCTCGTTATCGTTTAAAAAAAATTAATGACTATTTTGTTGTTCAGGCAGATCTAAGATAAGATGACAGACTTTCATCAAAAATAATGAGTCAAGTTCAGCTTAACATTTGCTATTATGTCTGTTGTGAGGTAGTCAACATTGTTTGAAGACACAGAAATTCAAACTCTTAAATGTTGAAAAAACGTCTGTTTCTCAGAAATATAAAGATGACTATTTAAATTATATAAGAACCAAAACATTTAGGAGTGACTTTCATTTAACTTAAGCTCCATCATGGTCCTGTGTGTTCCACGTCATTGTCTACTGAGTAAATCAAATCCAACACTTTCAATGTTTTTTGTCTCATGATCAAATGCTTGTTGCATGTTCTCCTGGGAGAAAATGGTAGAACCACCTGCCTGCAGCTTTGGATATCACAGTTCTTGGAGCCCACAATGTGCTGACTCAGTTTACCTAAATGTCAACATTAGTTTCTCCACGGTGGCTGAACAGACTTTCAAACATTTCAGCTGAATCTTGAGCATCCATCTCACCTCAGTCTTATATAAGTGATTAGGGGGTAAGCAGGAGTGATTCTCTTATCAATAGATTGAGTTCTTACTGTGATTGAATCAGAGCCTGCCCAAGGCGTAAGCTAACTAAGCACCTATTTAGGCCCCCGCGGCCAGTAGGGGGCCCCCCCGAGAGCAATCAATAAAAAAATGTTTTAATATTTTTTTATTTTTTGCACGTATGAGTGATGCTTTCTGTACGATCAAATACATATTGTTGTGAAAATGAAATAAAGTAAAAACATTTTAGTGTAAAAACATGTAGGCCCATGATTCTTACTGCCGGTATGCCAAAGAGAGAGGCTTTGTTAGAAGTTAGGGAAAAAAATACTGACCCCACGGTAAAAGTTGAGACCCACTTGCTGGCTGAAGAAATCAGGTCATTCAGATTTCAAATTTGCCGTGTGGTTTAGTATGATATTCTCTCCCGGATTAACACCACGAACAAACTACTTCAGTCAGCCAACATGCAGTTGGATGTTGCAGTACAGGGCCTCATTCAGAAAAAACAGAAAATTTAATCAGTTACAGGGCAACTGGTTTTAAAGATGCACAGATCTCTGGAAAAGAGACGTGAACAAATGAACACTGAAGCAGTGCTGAAACTGAAGAGGCTGTGAACCACAAAAAGGCATTTTGCCTACGAGATGCCTGATGAGCCACAATCTGATGCCATGAAGAGGTTGGAATTATCCTTTCCCAATGCTGTGGTAGACTGTACCATCCAGTCTTTAGAGGACTGCTTTCAATCCCTATGAGAGGTCAGAAGCATTTTTGGACTGCTTTTCAACTTTTGCCAGCTTGATGGACAGACAAGAAAGGACCAGTGTAAACTTCTCAGAGACAAACTCACCTTTGGAGAACAGTCTGCTTAATAGTGATGGGAGTGCACTGGCAACAGAGATGGAGAACCTTCTAGTTCTCCCTAAAGAACAGATGAGCCCATTTGAACTGCTCACTTACCTGTCTCAAAATGAGATCTGTGAGTTGTACCCAAATCTATGGGTAGCTCTACGGATAGTGTGCACTCTCCCTCTGACTGTTGCATCTGCAGAGCAACAAGAACAACTTGAGATCTTCCATGGCACGAGAAAGACTGTGTGGACAGGCAGTGATAAGCATGAACAACAAAGTTGGCCATCAGATCTCGTACAGCGATGTCACAAATGACTGCCTCCAGAAAAGCCAGGAAGCACAGGTTTTAAGGAGTGGGTGGAGTATTGAGGAGCAGAGTAAAACCAAACCTTTTGCATAGTTATATTTTAAGACCTAATTATTTACGACCTAATTCATGTCGTGGAGCAGATAAGTAACATGATCGTTCAGTTGGTGATACAAGCATGAAAATTGGCATGAGCATTCTTCACGGGTCACTTTACTAGGAAAGTGTCCCAGCCATTTAAAATTTTAAGATTGCTGTCATTTTTCAAGATGGCCGCCGCCTAGGTGGAACCATAGATATATATAAATGCTAGATGGCTTACGCACGCTGTTAGCAGATGGAGACCATTGTCCATGTATGGCGGCCATTTAGCTACGGGACGCTCGCCCACTCATAACATTACAGTCTACTGTACATGTAGCATTTAATTAGTCATAGATTGCTTAATTTTAATTTTTAAGAATAATTTACCATGGATTTTCATAAATAAACATTAAGCAGATAGGTAGAGCAATAGCTACAGGCCTACACACACAAGGCAGTTATATTTAAAACATTTATATATGAAACATTTATTCATTCCATGTATGTTACATTAGTAATATTTCTATTATATGGATAACTATAATATATAACAATAACATATATAAATATTTATTTTCAATATAAATTTCTGCCTCATGTTGCCATTTTAGATATTTTTAACAAACCAAACTGCTTGGAAATCATGTGCATTAATATTATGTTGAATTGAAAGAGCATATCCGCCTCTACAACTGATGTAAAATTGCTGGGTCAACTTTGTAATATTTGCTTGGTTTCACTCACAGCAAGCCTGTTAGCCAAGTTAGACAGCTGATAAACACAAGCACATCCACAAAGACTTTCACTTAGACAAAACAAATAAATAAAATGAAAAATAGGCTGTCATACAAGAAATTAAAATCTCAGTTGTGGTCTGCCTTGACAACTCGCGCAAAGTGTTAGCCCTTGCGCGAAATAGCTGTGAAACGACTGTGCTAAGTTTTTTTTCTTTTTTTTGTGTCTTTTTCTCCATGCTCCTTTAGGGGCTCTGTAGTTTATATTCTTTTTATATTTAATGTTTTGTATTTTTTACTGCTAAGCACTTCGAGATTCATGACTTGATGTAAAGCACTATACAAATAAAATTCATTATTATTAATTTATCGAATAGAATAGACATTGGATAGAATATGTTTATTGTCAGTGGACAACGAACCCAAAGCGATAAATTAAAACCACATAAAAATAGAGTCAAAAGTCTAGGTGAATTTTAAAGTCCAGGAGCCAAAGTACCAAGATAAAAACGTGCAGAGCTCATACCCTAGTGTGGATTGTATCTTGTAGTGCTGTGTGGTAGTCAATTTGCTCCCAGTGTGGGTACCCCGGTTCGATTGCAGCTAGTGACGGGGAAGTTCAATGTAATGAAATGATGAGAAAAACAGAACTTAATCTAATGTCTCAAGACTGTAGAAGTGGTGAATAGTCATAATCACTTCTAATGATGAAAAAATAATCTGATCATTAATAATACTCTCCAGCAACCAGCTGGTATCAAACCAGGCCCCACTGGGTGCCAATAGACTTCCATACAGGGCCACTAGATAGGATCCACACTAGGGTATGAGGTCTGCCTGCTTTTATCTTCTTACTTTGACTAAAGAACTTAAAATTTCAACTAGACCTGGGTAAGGCAAGAATTGAACCCATAACCTCAGGAGTCCAAGTCAGTCTTCTTATCCTCTGAGCTATCTGGACACGCAAGAGAATTCCGTTCTTTTCCTATTTCAGTCTCCTCTCTAGGCACTGGACCTTAAATTTCACCTCAACCTGGATAAGGCAAGGATCGAACCCACAACCTCAGTAGTCCAAGTCAGTCTTCTTATCCTCTGATCTATGTGGACACACCAGGACTACTATTTCCCCATGTTTACCTTCCCCTTGTCAGTAAGAAAAAAAGGTACAAATAAGGTACAAAAAACAGAAAAGCTTTAAAAATGTTTAAAGAAAAAAATCTTTCTTGTGACTGTTACCTTGTTGTGGTAAGGGAGCTTGCATACTTCTGTGAACCCTAAGAGCATCGCCATCCGGAGGCAAATCCTGGCAGATTTTTTCAAATTGTACAGGTCGAGAGTGAGGAGTTGGACAAAACACATTCAAGCATTTTCTTGTGAAGTGACTTGGAATGCACTCAGTGATCGATTTGTCTGGGATCCCCCACAAACAAGCAGCCGCTGGAGGAGAGTGGGTGAGTTGTGTTTGGTCTCTTTTCTAAAGAAATCAGGCAAAGCTGAAAAGATGTTTGGAGGTTAGTGCTATGACTGTGACCCTTTATGTACTGTTGATGAAGTTAGGTGCTGTTCTGAGCATTATTTGTGGCTATAAAGTGGCTTTTTGGTTGAGGTTTGGTTAAGACTGCTGTGTATTGCTATCATGCGGTCATTGCCGGAGTTGGTATTACTAGAGAAACAAGCAGTCGGCAAAAATCGTCTCTTGAAGGGGTGTCTAACTCAGTGTTGCAGTGTGTTTGACCCTAACTTAAAATTACGCCGGAATATCCCTTTAAACAAAGATTAATAGGTTGCATTGTCTTTGGATCTCTAGCATTGACCACACACAGCTGTGTTTTGTTTGAACTGGTGTGGGTTCATGATAATCCTGATATACTCTCATAAATGAGGCAGCCATGTGTGGCAGAGTAACAGTCAGCAGACCTGTGTTGTTTCTTTTTCCTTAGCGGCTCTTTATTTCTCTCTCCCATGGTGGCTATGGCAGTAATGTTCTATTACAGTATGTGATCACTGCTAATAAAGCTCACAATACTGAAAACATGGCAACAATTGCATTTAACGTACATATTAAAATAGAGCTGATGGCGCTGTGCCCTGAAACCGTTTCTGTTTATATAGATTTTTTTGACTCTGTAATACAAACTGCAATTGTAGCATGCACTTAAACTCAACGTCATTGAGAATCATAAAATGTCTTAGTAGCTGTGCAAAAATAACTATATAAAATATATTGCTTTTACAATTAACCAAGCCATTGGCGCTGTAAATAAATTAAACTAGACAGCAACAACAAGCAGATACAGAAAGGAATTCGTTTCCATGTTATGGTGATTTTTATCATGTACAAACACATTTAGCAAATGCTTTTTTCAAACCTTGAACACCTTTTTGAACAATATTGTGCATAAAACTCAAAATACACAAGTTTGAACTTGTTATTACATTGAACATAGACCTTCAGTGAAAAGAAGGAGAGAACATATTTGTACAATATACACAACATGAGGATCGATAACATCCTTCCTAAAACACAGGAATGCCCGTCCTTGAGACTTTCTCACACCTTCACTGAGGACTCCCTCCTTCTTCTTCTTCCTCTTCTCCTCGCAGCACCATGGACATAATGAACACAGCTCGAACCCCAGTATGTTCTGTAATAACTTCTTTATGCTGTAACTGAACATGTTTTTTTAAGCACTTGAGCGGCCTAAGTGTGTATAAAGTGCTTCCTGTCACCGCTGCATTGATGAGGACTGTACAGCTCATGTCCAAAATTCTTCCTTCAGTGCAAAGTCTCCAGCTTGGCTGAATGACAGCGGACATGTTGTCGTGTAACAGAAGCTGACATCCACAAGCGACAGGTTGGGAGGAGAAAGTCTGGAGTGTTCTGTACACTTCCTGCAGTCTGGATTCACACGGGAAAACAAAGCGCTCGCTTTCTGTACTCGTTACAAGGCTTCAAAGTGAGACTGTGTCCGTTTGGGGTTGGTTAAAAAAAATTACAACTCTTCCTTGTCGGAGATTTTTGCAGGTGTTTGTGCGTTTTGGACTGTACAGGAGATAAAACAAACATCTCTACACGTTTGACTCTATAAATGATCGCTTTGGTTTCATTGAAGCTACGTGGATGGCAGGATTATCTCGGGCTAGGCCAGGCTGCTTGGGCTTACTGTCCATGAAAGTGTGCGGCAGAGCCAGCGCTGGCTTGGACTCTTTGTAACAGTTGGCGGCTTGGCAGAACTTCTCCGTGAATTCCTTGGCGTGCATGCCGTTTTGTAAGCTACTCATTGCCATAGCACCCTGAGGTGGTGGAGGTTTGTGCTGCTCCTGGTAAGTGCTCACTGTTTTGGTGTAAGGCAGCTCACAGTCGACGGGCAGCAGGCCCATGGCGGACATGTTATGACACATGAGGCCGCCGTCAGATGAGTGGTTGATCCAGCTGCGGCTCTGGTGACTCTGCAGGCCGTGATGATGCTGCTGCTGCTGAATCTGCTGCTGCTGTTGGAGCTGCTGCTGAAAGCGAGCCGTCTTGTCAGTGATGCCCATGAAGGGTCTGGGTTTGTACTCTGATGCCTGTTGGCTGTGCTTGGTTTTGTCAGTGATCTTGGTGCGAACATCAGGTCCCAGTTTGCCGCTGTCCGACAGGCTGCTGCTGGACGCCAGGCTGCTGGTGGAGCTGGACACTCGCATGCTGTTGCTGCTGCCCCCTCCCTGTGACCCTGCTGCGCCACACATCGCTTCCTTTCCTGCGTCCGTGTGGTTCCCCTGTAGTCCAGCACCTGGGCAGGCTAACCCGTCCAAGGAGGACGCTGAGTGGGCAGAAAGCCGGTCCTGTCCTGGAACTTTGGACGAATACGGTGCCTGGGAGAAGTGGAGACCCTCATTTTCACAGCTGTGACCCATGGAGACAGAAGCAGCTGCCAAAGACGTGCGGTTACTGTACACCGGCTCGTCAGCGGGGGGTGCCAGGGGGCTAATGTCGATGCCGGGGCCCGGCTTCAGCATACTTGACATGTGCCGGCTGGGTAAGGGGCTGGAGGGAGCATACTGAGATTTGGCTCCTGCGGTGCGACCCCCCACAGCTCCCCCAACGGCCTGCATGGAGCTCATGTGCTGGTTGGTCTTCACAATCTGAGCCTGCTTAGTGGGCTGCAGGACCAGACCCTGTTGGGCGAGCGCCTCCCGATGCTCCCGAG